TATATAATAACCCTTCCCATGATATCCTCCTTCTGTTTTGGCGTGTCAAGCTTCGCTGGCTCCATCGCCAGGCGGCTTGAGTTGCCCTCGGCCAAGGAGGTAGGGAAGCCCGCAAACCGGGGGGAATAACTATGGTGAAGGATGGTCCAGGGTGATGATGATGGTAGTGGTTTATTAATGTGTATTAATGGTTATCAATGGTGATATAACTATGGTGATGATGATGATGATGATGATGTTATATTATGATGTTTCTTAATGTTTATATATGTTTATACATGTTTATTAATGGTTATTAATGGATGGATGATTTTGGGATGATTATGGTGATGATTACTGATGGGATGATAGAACTATGGATTATATATCTGATGGGATTACTATTGGATGAGAATGATGATGATGATGATGATGATGATTGTCAGGTTTATGATGAATATTTGTTATTTTTCTGTTGTGCTAAAATTCATTGTTGTGTATGAAAATGAGAATGAATAACGCAATTTGCCATGATTTCCCCATTCATTTCCCAATTTCCCAAGAAATTCCCTTCAGGGGCCCTTAACAAAAGGCCTCCCGCCCCGAGTCCCCAAGTCCCTGAGGCACAGCCGGTGCCAGATCCAGCAAACGAGGCCACCAAGGGGAGCAAAATCCACCCATTTTGAAGTTCGGTAAACCATCTATTTCTATGGGCCATCTATACCATGGCTATGTTAGTCATAACCAGAGGGTAATGATAACCCAATATCTTGGGGATTATAATAACCTAAGAACCGGGAATCCTGTTCTTAACCAACCAGTAATTCATGGAATGAGGGCTTTTGAACATTGCTCAGTTGATCGGAAATCGCAAAAACAAATCTAGTTGCTACAGCCTTAAGTATGACAAGAAGGATTCCTTGAGAATTTGCCCGTAACGCCTGCACATGGGATATTTGCAATGTATTCAAAAGACCTCACGCTGGAGTTTACCCATGATTGAAAAATATCAATATTGAAAACATTGAACACATGATAAATCACGATTCTTTTCAGTGTCACATAGGGCCAATTATGTTTGGTGGTGTAACTTGCAAGGCAGGAAGTTCCCACATGAAAGTTTGCTGAGTCCGAAAACACCAGTTTTGAAGATGATGTCCATTTTGGACAATTGGGTGTTTCCCAAAATTGGGACCCAAAGAAAATCCAAAATGATTGGTTCCCCTGTTAAACATGGCCATTTTTGCATGATAAACTGGGATACTCCATGTTGAGAAACCCCCACGTGTATGGGTGTTTGATACACTGTATTTGTCGGACTGGTGCTTGATTTATCTTGATTTCACCGTTTTCTTCGGACTTACCCTCTGGTAAACTAACATAACTATGGAAAATCACAATCTTTAATGTGTATGTCAACTATCAATGGCCATTTTCAATAGCTATGTTAAATTACCAGAGGCTACTCAACTTTCTTTCCCAACTTTCCCCTTCGCCATTCTGATCGCAGCCGCAGCCACTTTTTTTGGGGGTCGTGCCGCTGCCATGACGGAACCCCTGACGGATCCCCTGTCCATCTCCATCCTCTCCTTGAGCGGAGATCGGGTTATCAAGTTCCGGGCACCCAGTAGCTCGGTTGCGACCTACGGGGTAGCTATGGTGGTCACCCATCACCATGGCATGACCCATGGTATACCGGTAAACCTTGGATGGCTACTTAGGCTACTTAAAGGGGATATGGATATATGTATATGGATAAACATAGGAACCCGCCAAAAACGATAGATGGTAAAAACTATAGATCGGCCATGATATAGCCGGCACAAGTACCATGGAACCTGTAAGTTTGATGGTGGTTGATTTTCAGTACCAGGACATGGCATCAATCACAGTAACAATCACAGATGGTGTCGGGGTAGAGGTGTTGTACGAGATGCACGCAAAACATGAACAAATCCGACGGGGAAGCCATGTAGATTCATGTAGACATGCATGAACATAGAGATGTGTGGACATGTATGAATGTGTAGTATGAACATTAAAATCAGATAAAATCAGTAAACAATTGCAAGGCATCAAGTTATTAGACCAATTTAGGGTATACTGTATCATGAGTCAATGAGTAAGTGACAGATCCTCTGGTAACAGGCACAGAGTGGCACAGAGTGGCACAGAGGCTGTGAAATCGCCACCAGCTACATCTCCTGTATAGATTTCTGTGGTGTCAAGAAATTTGCAGGCCCTGAAGTTTGCAGGTTGGTGTTGGGTGTTTGTCGAACTTAGACACCTTTGAATAGTTTGAATATAGTTGTCTTGTTTTGATATATTTGAGGTCATGTTTGAAACATCTTGAAACTGTGTAAGACCAGGTTTGATATTCCTTCATTGACTTTGTGTTTTTCTTTAACTATCAGACATGTCAGTATATATTGTGCAGCGGCTACGGGACAGCCGGAGTTGTTGTTTAGGGAAACCTGTCTTAAGGTGAGGGCCAGCAAGTCACCAGTTTTTTAGGTAATGATACCATCTGGTTATTTAACATAGCCATGGAAAATCACCATTTTTATTAGGTAAACCATCTATAAATGGGCCATTTTCCATGGCTATGTTAAATAACCAGAGGGTAATGATAACCCCATTTACAACCATAAAAATCCTTGGTTTCGAGGGCTTTGAACTGTGGGGATCCCACGCTATCTCTCTGATCTCCTGATGAACAGTGTTCACAACCACTGTTGGTTGATGATTAGTTTCGGGCATTCTACGACCCAATATCTTGGGGATTTTAATAATCCATAATAATCCATGGGCCATCTATACCATGGCTATGTTAGTCATAACCAAAGGGTAATGATAACCCAATATCTTGGGGATTCTAATAATCCAAGAACGGGGAATCCTGTTCTTAACCAGCCAGAAATTCATGGAATGACACGGGGAGTACACTCTCATGATATGCTGAGGAGAAGCCTCCTCCACCGTCCAGCTGATTCACCAGGAGTTACAGACCTTTGGACGAAAATCGGGTGGGTTGGTCCATAAGAAACATACCCGCAACCGAGGAACTGTAGCTAGAAAATTGCTTGAACTCTGAAATATGTTTAAGCAAATGGACATGTGAAGAGCCCTTTCTCTTGAAATTAACCATCAAAAAAAGGGAATTAACATAATTTAAGCATGAAATAGGGATTTCGGTTTGTCCGTAAATGGGGTACACTGCAAACATTGCCAATTTTGAATGGTGGACACATGATAAACTGATAAAACCATATAAAACCAGTGCATTTTGTGCATCCACAAATTTAGATTGTGGAAAGCCTGTGATTGAGAAACACCTTTTGGGACCTGTTCAACAGGAGTAGCCCCACTCTACCAAATTACACAGGGATGCCCGAACCAATAAGAAAGTTGAATAGCTACTTCTCTGTTAATATATGATCTATATACACAGTATATATACATGTATATCATATACCCTTATCTTATCTTTTTCCGGGACCCTCAGTCACAAGGCTATAGATCACCAGGTAACACTTGGCGGAGTCCCTTTCCATCACCATGGCATTTTTCCCGAGGAAGCGCTTGGGACTCCAAGTTTATCGCCAAGCCCTGCTTCACCGTGATAAGGTGCGCGACTGGGATATCCTAGGGATCCAGCCCTTCTGAAAGGAAGTGGGACTGGGCTACCATCTGGTTATGACTAACAGTTGGCCATGGTTAAGCCATCGCTTTACCGAACTTAAGAATGGGTGGATTTTCCATGACTATGTTAAATAACAAGATCGTATGATTTGGGGGTTAGCCGTACCTTCTTAGACAGTGGCCATGGATCCATAGGGAATGTTATTTGACGACTGGAACATCACCATTCTTAAGTTCGGTAAATAACTTACTTCCACTTAGCGGCATTACGGTATTACAAAAAAAATTTGCCCTTACACGAGAAAGTTACTTACACGAGACAGTTACTGAAACGAGAAATAAAAATAAAAAAGTGGAGTAGGCAGCTTCTTTTAAAAAAGTGTTTGTAAAAGGAATGAAGGAGAAGGAAGCATATAACAGTAACCAAAAGGATTGCTAATGTCTCCATGGGTGAAATATCGGATTGTGTGCGCTCAAATTTTAATGCATGTGTGTGCTTTCAGTGACAATGTCATGTCTTCCAACGACAAGAAAATAGCTTCAATCATCGGTCCACGCATTTTTCCTCTTGGACAAACGAGGAATCCAAATATCTACAGCAAGTTTGGTTTGTGCAAGCCACAAACAGGTGAATTAAAGATTGGTTCCCATAGATTTTGAAATCATTTGAATTAGACTCGAATAGGCCGAAGCAGCCATGTGCTGAAGCAGCCATAGCTTGGCCGAAGCAGCCATAGCTTGGCCGATGCAGCCAACATGCTACTTCTCATCGCATTGTTTTTCTTTTTCATTCATCCACTTAACCCCTTTTCTTCTCACAATTTCGATCCGGATAGTGGAAGCAAGCTTGCTTGCCGATGGCCATGTGCTGGTTTGAAGCAGCCTGTACTTCTGGTACAGCTTTTCTACATGGAACCTTTTGAGAAGATCTCTTTGGATGACTTTGGCATCAGGCTTAGTGACTACACTGGGATTGCCACGTCGTCGTGGAAGTTTGGGCGGCGGCATCATTGTCATTGGCATGGAAACGGTCATTTGTAGTTTAAGCCTAGAGCCTAAATGTGCGAGAAACCGCATGTTTCAGAACACGTACAGCAAACATGAGACAAACCGACTGACAACAGGACATGACATCCCCCTAAGTTAAGAGAGTCGACATACATACTTTTTACCTTTCAACCATGTCATGTTTGTGGGAAATTCAAAGCAGCTTTTTTTTCCCGCATGGAAGGCGCAATCAAAACTGCCTATGTGTCCGAAGTGCGACATAGAGGTCGCCTATGGCCGAGGCAGCCACACGGCCGATGCAGCCGTGGTATATGGCCGATGCAGCCACGTCGTCTCGTCTATGGCCGAGGCAGCCCCATCACTTGTCTCCATTAGTCCTCTTCATTGTCATCGTCGTCGTCTCCCAAAGGATCCCAGACGTCGTCGTCTTCCTCGTCATTGTCGTCCTTTTCCTCTTCGCCTTCCTCCTGCTCATCCTTTGATTGCTTGGCTTTGGATTTTGCTTTAGCCTTTGGTTTGGCCTTTCCCTTGCCTTTGGCCTTTGCCTTTACCTTTGCCTTCGGTTTTGCGGTCTGATTCACAGGTGCCTTACCACTGCCACCGCCGACGGCTTCACTGTAAGCTGACGAAAACAAGCTGGACTCAGGGTTTGTCATTTCCTTTTCAAGCAAAGCAAGCAGCCGGTCTTCAAGAAGGCGTTGGTGCTCCGGGTTGAAGGCAACTCCGACATACCCTACCCGATTTCGCAAGGCAGCCCAAGCCATGCGGCCGTCCAGAGGTGTCAGATCGATAATGATCTTCGCGAAAAAGTCGTGGATCAACTCGTCGCAGAGCTCATAGGGTGGACTGTGAAAGCAAACTGGCTCCAAGCCATTGCTGGATCTGCTGTTCTGCTTCTCTTCCTCCTTGTTTTGTGTCTTACCTCCGACAGCTATCATGTGTTTTTTCCCCAAAAGCTCCTTTTTTTCTTTCCAAGGCAGCTGCCACTCAGAAGACCAAGCAGGCATGTGCACGTTGGAAATCAAGTCGCCAGTGGTTGAACCTGCGTAGTGCTTTCTGTCACGGCTTGGCAGGGACAACCTTTTGGATGACAAAATGTGACATGACTCCATCTGCTTCAGAGTGCAAGTTCCACGGAGCCGCTTCTTTCGTGCGGATAGCGACGACTCTGAATATCCAATCATCAGGGTGTCTACGCAAAAGGTCGGCTTGTCATCTTCCTCTTCTGCATCTTCTTCTCCATCATCCTCCGCTTCTTCGTCCTCCTCTTTGGTTTTGGCTGTTCCTTCTTTCCATGGGCTGAGCAACTTTTTCATAAGTCCTTTTTTTCCTGCATCGAAAATCAATGCAACTTCCCCTGCCTGAAGGTTGGGGTTGGGAGTGCCCATTGCGTCTTGCCGCGCAGCAAGAACGCTCTTGACAAGCCGGGTGTAGAGGTTTTCACGAAAGGTTGGGGTTCTCAAGTCTGGCCGTGTGGTGGGCTCGCCATATTTTTTCAAATCAAAGTGGAAGAGGGCCATTCCTGTTTGATCTCCGCGCAAGGACATGAAAGGTGTTTCTTTCAAGGCACTTTCCAATTCCACATTGGTGCGGTGATCGGCGACAAATCGCACATGCTGGTTGAGGATCTTGCGCATGTGCTGTCTCCACATGACCTTGTCTGCCTCACTAAGACCATTGTCTTCCACTTCTTCAGAAGCCGGAGCAGCTTCAGAGGCCGCAGCAGCCTCAGAGGCCGAAGCAGCCTCCAGTTCTGTTTCCTGTCTTTCCTCTTCCGTTCTTGCTTTCTGCTCTTCATCGCCATTGAGTCCCTCGGGCTTGTCCTCTTGGCGAGTCATTTTTTCAATGGTTTCCATGGTGGTCTTTAGAGTTGTGTAATTCAAGAAATCTTCCACCTCGTGTTTGCTCTTGATTGCATCCTTGTATCTTGCGTCATAGTGGGATCCAAAGACAAGTTGATCCAGGAACTCGCAAATTTCAGAAACACTTGGCGGGCAACCCAGCAACCAGGCCGTATCAGCCTGCGTATCAGGGTATGGCGAAATATGCTTTCGCAACATCTCATAGGAGCCGCAGTAGCTCTTGATGTTGTCTTTCCATTTTTTCTCCAGCTTCAAGTCATTCAGCCATGTGTTCAGTAAATGCAACAAAGTTTTGCGCTTCATTTTGAGGACTTCAATGTAGCTGGCCCTTGAATCTTTCAGCTTGCTAATAACAAAGTGTCCACCATCTAGAAAAGACATGCGGACGCCATCCACCATCCCTTCCAGGGACCAGGCAATCATCTCAGGCGTGCCTCCTCTGTCAAGCAATGCTTGCAAGGCGTAAATTGATTTCCAAGCAGACGAAGTGAGCCAGTTTTGGTCACACCATTCCAAAACTGCTTGACACCTGGGGATGCTGAGAAGTCGGCGATGGATGGACAAAGCACAATCGACAAAGCTTTCCGAAATTTTCTCTTGATTCGACGCAAGTTTGAGATGCTGTGTGTACAGAGCTGCCAGCTTTTTGGCACCCAGGCTTGACTCAGTTTTTTTTTGGGCTTCGTAGAAGCCTGCAATATCAAATATACGCTGGCGCAATGACAACTGAACCGACAAACCCTTTTCAACCATCTCTTCACGAATGTTTTGTGCACGCCAGTAGCGGTCTTCACCAACAGGACAGATTTCGAACACAAAGGTCGCAGTGAGGATGCAACTTCTGAAAGCGCGCAATACTCCAACTTTTGCTTTGCTTTCAATGGCTTCAGCCAGTGCAAACAGCAAGGCGTGTACCGGCTCTGGAGGACTGAGACGTTGGAAACCGTTTTGTGGACGTTGGCCGATGCAGCCAGGGGTTTCCAAAGCGACTGTGATGACAAAGGGGCACAATGACGGCGGTTCATTTTTGGGAAACCAATAGTCTTTGATTTGCTGCACCTGCGCTTCGTTCATAGGCACTTTGTGCGTGGCCATGAAAAGGAAGTCTTGATGGAAAAAATTGGCGGCACACTTATAGACGCCAGCGTTTTTCAAGGCCGAAGCAGCCTGAGTAGCGTCGAGTGCTGCCTCTCTGCCGCCATCTTTGACAGACAAAGGGTCTGCTGTCAATATGTCTTTGAATAATTCGTGTGAGAAAATTCGGGCCAAAGCATCATGCACCTTAATCCAATGAGCCTTGGAGGGACCAAGGTCTGGCTCGCTTTGATCTTCGTCTTCGCAAGGTGCAGGCAAAGCCTTTGTCGTCTTTTGTTTCTTTTTTGGCGGCATGTTTCTGACAAACTTGAGCAGCCAATAGGCACTGGCCGAATCAGCCAGGCACCCCGCCCCAGACTTAAATTTACAGGGAATGAGCTACGAAACAGCTGCGGATTTTAATTGTCTGTCAATACCCAAACTGTTTGACTTGATTCAATACTCTTAGACGGTCCCTTTTACTTGCTGTTTTAAGTTTTAAACTTGAGACTTTAAATTAGCGTTTAAAACTTCCTACGTCTTTAGTCGTCTACTTCCCCATTTCATATCATTATACTTATTTTTAATAATTTAACTCCCCGGATTGGACCAAGACACCTGATGTCCCTGCTTGCTTTTTTCCCCTTTCCACTGTCGCGTTCCGTCGTCATTGACCTGGCCGAAGCAGCCAGTGTCGCACGGCCGTCTTAGCCATGCTGCCGTCTGGCCGAAACAGCCAGTGGTGCTACCGTCTGGCCGAAACAGCCAGTGAAGATTCGCCCTGGCCGAAGCAGCCAGTGAAGGCCAGTCAGCACATGGCCGATTCAGCCATGGTGCTGTGGGCAACTCGACTGCGTGCAGCACCTCCTGCAGCACCTGGCAGGGCAATATGCGCCCGGCTGATTCTTCCCACATCGGCAACATGCTATTGCCGGGGTCATCCGCTGTGCCGTCTGCCCTCCGGTAGCACGGTGCTGCTCGGCACGCTTCATCTTTGCCTGCGTCCAGCTCGAATCCGGACGTCGGCCCCCCCAACGCGGCGGCCCGGCCGATGCAGCCGGTGCCGCCGGCTGGCTGCCTTGCGCGGCCGAAGCAGCCGCCGCGGCCTGGTAGTACGGGTAGTACCACCCAGCCTGTTGCTGCCACTGCAGCTGCTTCACCTGATTTTGCAAGTCTTTGATCTTGGCATCAGTGGAAGTGCTTCGCCGCCTGCTGCCGGATTTTTTGGAGGAACTTCGTCGAAGTTTTTTGGCCTCGCTTTCTGTGTCCTCCTCCTGGTCCTCCTCTGAACTGCTTTCCTGTTCATTGTCATTGTCGTCGTTGTCGTCGTCGGCCTGGTCGCCGCCGTAGTCCGGCTCTTCTTTGATTGTGGATTGCTTTGGCGGTCTCGTCGACGGCGGCGGCGATTCTTTCTTGACTGGTTTTTTTGCAGCAGACTTGCGGTACAAAAAGACGACGTTGTCTGGAGGCGGCGGACGCTCGTCATCGTCGTCATTGTCGCCGGCGGGCGCTGCAGAACCTTTTGGGACCCAGTTGCTTGACGACAAGGCCGATGCAGCCTCAACCTTTCTTTTGTTTGCCGTTGAAGTTGGTAGCCAGGCTCGGGCGTCGTCCATGGCCTTCAAGCGTTGCAGGAGGTCGTCTCGCACTGCTTCGTCATGAGGTTTGTTTGGAGGGCCTTCGTCCATGAGCCAGTCCCAAACCGTACCATTCGGGTAGACCTCCAGCAAGACGGCAAGGTCTCTGAAGTCGCTGATGCAGTGCACCTTTTTCTCGTTTCGTGGATCGGCGCCCCCGAACAGGACAGCTGTCTGCAGGCTTTTTGAGCTTCCGTTCATCATGCTCTGCAAGCAATCCAGCCTGTCGTCGACGACCACGGTGCCATTGGAGCGGCGCGCGTAGTATCCTTTGTTGCTGTTCTGATCCGTCAAGAAGACCTGGTCCGAGGACAACCCAAGAGACATCGCGTGTCTCACCACCCAATGCTTCTCTTTGTGTGGGAACCATTTCACCTTCGAAATGATTCTCACAGCATCTTCGCCATAGCAAGCCTGCCACAAAAGCAGGAAAGCCCATGCTCCTGGCATCGTCGCCTTGTAGATTTCCTCGCCGTCGTACTTGACATCTCCATAACGGGTTAAGACGCCACCACAGTCGATACACAACATGGGCGCCCACCCTGAGTCCATGGGGCTTGGCATGTCAGCACTCCAGGCCGAAACAGCCTGTGAGTGCAGGCAAGGTTTAAGCCGAAACAGCTTATTACCTTTCAAACTTACACGCTAAGCCTCTGAGCCGAAAACAAACGACGAGAGACGACATGACGGCTTCTAAGGAGAGGGCCCTTAGAACCCGCGCTGACAGCAGCGACGTGTGTAAGGAGACAGGGCTGTGAGAGGACTAATGTGGAAATTATATTTATGTCTTATTAGTCCTCTCACAGCCTTCTCTTACACACCTCACTGACGACGAAGGCGAAGTGGCCGAAGCAGCCAGGGTGGCCGAAACAGCCAAGCTCAACATGACGACCTGTGAAGACGACGACCTCTCCTTACACAGCAGGATTTTGGTAAAACATGCTGTGTAAGGAGAGGTCATTTCGTCCTCTCCTTACACAGCTAGGGGACGTCCCCGATGCTCGGTTGGAGAGGACAAACAGAGGACAACAGCTTTTAAAACCGAAACACTTAGTAGTATTACACATTCGTCCTCTACTCGTCCTCTCCTTACACAGCTAGGGGACGTCCCCGACCTGCGGTTGGAGAGGGCAAATCGCCCTCTCCTTAGGATAGGGTTTTTGATAATTAACCCTTAGGAGGTTAGGGGACGTCCCCGAATTAGAGTCTTAGGAGGTTAGGGGATGTCCCCGAATTACCCCTTAGGAGGTTCGGGGACGTCCCCGAATTAGAGTCTTAGGAGGTTAGGGGATGTCCCCGAATTACCCCTTAGGAGGTTAGGGGACGTCCCCGAATTAGAGTCTTAGGAGGTTAGGGGATGTCCCCGAATGAGGGCCCGAGTCTCCTTAAGAGTTATTTAAATTCCTTATTATGTCAAAATCCCTTATATGACCAAAAAAAATATACCCATTTGAATAGCTAGTATTAAATTTAAATCATGTTACATACAATAATTATAATATTACCCCTTTAGGATTTAATACTCTTTGGGGTTTCATAACCTGGTCCCAACTTAGGTGCTCCTTGAAAGTTATAAGTCACTTATAACCTATGGTTATAACTCACTTACTAAGTCATAACTTCTTAGCTAACTTTTTGTAACTTTTTTTTTGCTATAAAAAAAGTATCTTTAAGATTGAAAAAATGCTCGTTTTTGATGATATTGAGTGTTTGCTGTTTTCAACGTTTTCAACTGCCTTAAAAAATGCTAAATGGAGCGGTTTTCAAACCGCTAAAAGCTGTTTTTGTTTGAGCAGCCGTTTTCAGCATGTCAAACACTATAATTAATCACGTGTTAAAACCCAAACTGTGAATGAAGATGTGTTCATGTCCACTAGAGAGGATGTATTCCTTGAAGAAGTGTCCAGGTGTTCACTTTACCTTGGCTAAATGCTGCAGTGTCCCTTTGACAAAATTCAATTTTTGCAAGATATCCTAGATGTCTTCAACGTAATTACAATATACATCAACATACCCATACCTGACAACAAATGCATGCGGTATTCAAAACAGAAACGCAGCATACCCTTCTTCATAAGTGCAATCTTCCTTTGGAGCAACGCAGTGTGTTTTTGCAGAACAATATCCCTATGAAATATCAAATGTTCCTTTAAAAGATAGGAGTACAGCGTGCATTTAACAAAATTTCCTTTGAAAGGGGTCCTCCAGGTGAAAGGGGTCCTGGCCTAGAAGCCTCCAAGATTAATTTCGACCGAGTTTTTGCCTTTGTATGAAAAACTCGGTCGAAATTAATCTTGGGGGCTTCGCGCACATAAGGAACATTCTTGGCCAGGACCTCTTTCACCTTGGGGGCCCCTTTCAAAGGAAATCTTGTTATTTCCACATGTCTAACCTTCCTTTCAAAGGAGCAGTTTCCCTTCTAGAAAAACCAATGTTGCTGCACAATATGCAGTATTTTTGAGATAGAACATCCCTTTCAAAAGCGCAATATGTTTTGAAATGTGAGATTTTTTCAGAATGTTTTTTCGCTCCTTTATGGCAACACAATTTTCCTTTATGGCAACAGAGCATTGTCCTTTATGGCAACACAATTTTCCTTTGAACAAGCAGCATTCGTGGACACCTGGATTACTTTTCATTGATATATGTGTCTAATCTACTCTAATCTAATCCAATTTAAATCCAATCCAGATATATCTCATCTATATAATCCAATCCAATCCAATCAAACCCAAACAAATCCAATCTAATCCAATCCAGTCCAATCCAATCCAATCATATCCAATCCAATCGAATCCAATCCAATCTATCTAATCTAGCCAAATCAAATCTAATCCAATCCTATCCAAATCAATCCAATCCAATCCAGTCAAATCCAATCTATCTAATCTAATCCAATCCAATCTAATCCAAGCCAATCCAATCCAATCTAATGTAATCTAATCTAATTCCAATCCAACCCAATCCAATCCAATCTAACCTAATCTAATCTAATTTTAATCCAATCCAATGAGAGCGGGGGACTGTGAGAGTGCGTGTTTTGTTAGTTTTACTGTATGTTGTTGGTGCTAATTTTTCATACACATCATCATGCCTGATGTCTCTGTCAAGATGTTCATCCAAAGAAGATACCGCCACCAGCCAAAAAAATCTGTTTAAAAATGCAAATAGTCGGTGGAGGGGAAATAGTATTGATAGATTACTGCACCCCAGTAAGCCAAACCATTTTGAAACAGCGGCGAATGCAACCCTTTAAGCACCCATGCACATTATGAGGCATATATCTATCAAATACAGTGCTGCCTTAGCAAACATCTTCATTTCAAAATAAACCTTTCATGTTTAAGCTGCAATGTTCCTTCGACGCAAGGCATGACTTCTTTCAAGAAAAAATATCCCTACAAAATATAACGCAGTCCTCTAAACATGCAGCGTTCCTTTCTGTAGAAATGCGGCCTTTCTTCCTTTCATAGTAATATTAAGCTTGCCTTCAATCATACAGTATGTCTTTCAAAACATCAGATTCCTACACAACATGCAGTGCGTGATTGACATTCAGTATTGCTGTCAAAAGGTGCAATGGCCGATGCACATTGCAGCATTCCTTGAAACGAGAAAGATTGCTGTTGAAGGAACATGCTGCTTATAGGCTGCAATCTGCCGCATATTTCCTTGAATGAGAAGCAACATTCTTGTAAGAAAACTATGATGTGTGGACAAATGCAATGCATCCTTTAATGAGGTTAAGCCTCATTCTCATTTTTTCTCCATGGCGTTTGCTTTTAACGGAGAGACGTCCCTTCTTCAAAAGAATTGCCTTGAAGACAAGATAGTTCCTGAAATAAAAAGCACTATTCTTGCAAAAATACAATATGTTAACTAATGCATTGCACCCTTTATGAAGTTAAGCCTCACCATCATGCTTCTTGAATAACATTTGTTTAAAAAAGAAAGGTTCCAATGATGTTTGTGTTGTTCTGTTGTTTCACTCATATGGAAGGGCATACTGCATACATGCAACCACGTTTTTTCCCACAAGTATTATATACATACACTTACTTCACAATAATGATTCTTTATAGTATTGCATATTTTTTCAGTCAATTGGTTCACAGCCTTATCAACGCATATATAGGAAGTTTTGCGCATACTGGCGCCAACACGTTCTTTAAGGAAGACCATATTCATTTAAAATAGGTACTCAAAGGATTCCATTCTGACATATTGTTGTCCTTCTTCCATTACTTCTTTAAAGGAGCTTTGCACAGCTATCTCATTGAAAATGACTTTGGGTTCATGTCAAATAAACGCAGCACTCCCTTATGTAAGGGGACTGTACAACACGATGCCACTTTATGCAAGGAAAGATGTGACTTTTTGCTAGGAACGTCATATTATCGGGAAAAATCTGACTAAGAGCCAAAAGAAGATAGAGTAGGTCAAATGTCAAAGGTTAGCAAAACCAAAACAACAACAAAAAACACAAAAGTGACTGTGACATAGGGTTAGTTTTCTTTGTTTTTTTTTGTCTTTTGGTTTTTGTTTTTTTTTTTCAGTTTTGCACGCCCCAAGGGAAGGATGCAGAGAGTTGAGTCTTGTCACTCGTTTTTTCCTTGCCAGTCAATGCATATGTCAAAACAGAGAATGTGTAAAGAGGAGTGCAAAAAGCGCACTCTCCTGCTCCCCTGTTCTGAATCCAATCCAATCCAGTCCAATCCAACCCAACTCATTCCAATCCAATCCATCTAATCTAATCGAATCTAATTCCAATCCAACCCAATCCAATCCAATCTAACCTACTCTAATCTAACCTTATATAATGTAATTTCAATCCAATCCAATCCAACCCAATCTAATCTAACCTAATCTAATCTAATCTAATTCCAATCCAATCCAATCTTATTGAAGTGCTGTAAAGGCCTCTGTGGTAGGGGAAACTGGGGTTTACTTGGGGATACTACTGTACCAGTATAAAAAATGAAAAAACAGGTAGTTGATGAATAAAAAAATACAATCAGTATACCACCAGTATACCACCAGTATACCACCAGTATACCATGGTATACGGCCAGTATACCATGGTATACGGCCAGTATACCACCAGTATACCATGGTATACTGAGTATACCATGGTATACTGGTGGTATACTGGCCAGTATACCATGGTATACTCAGTATACCATGGTATACTGGTGGTATACTGGCCGTATACCATGGTATACTGGCCGTATACCATGGTATACTGGTGGTATACTGGTGGTATACTGGTGGTATACTGGTGGTATACTGAGGTATACTGAGGGTATACTGGTGGTATACTGGTGGTATACTGGTGGCATACTGGTGGTATACTGGTGGCAAACTGGTGGTATACTGGTACACTCCCTAATCCAATCTAATCTAATCTAATCTGATCCAATCCAATCCAGTCCAATCCAATCCAATCCAACAACCCCATCCAATCCAATCCAATCCAACCTAGCCAGATTTGGGGTTTATAGGTGGGATAATTTTATAATCGGAAGACCTCGTATAAAATTATTTCAGTGGCATATTCTATGATTTTTTACCCCGAACTGCCCCAAAAAACGACATGGGAAAATACGATGGCCAAGCATGTCCGGCCATCGTATTTTCCCCCAATCTATCTAATCTAATCCAATCCAATCCAGTCCAATCCAACCCAACCCAATCCAATCCAATCCAAGCCAAGCCAATCCAATCTATCTAATCTAATCTAATCCAACCCAATCCAAGCCAATCTATCTAATCTAATCCAATCCAATCCAATCCAAGCCAAGCCAATCTATCTAATCTAATCTAATGCAATCAAATTATGCAATCTAATCTAATCCAATCCCTCAGTCCCTCACCCAAGCCTGTAAAGACCTCTGTGGTATATGGGGACGTCTCAAAATGAGGCGCGCCCTTTTTGACCCCCAAAACGCTACTTAAAAAACAAAAAAGGGCTTGCCTCATTTTGAGGCATTCCCATATGGGTGGGATATATTGGGATGTTCTAGGGGAAACTGGGGTTTATAGTCAGCAATGTCAATATCAAAAAACGTACTCATTGGCTGCCTTTGTTTTTTCATAGTCTTCTGGCATGTTTTCAAAACAGAACAGGGGACTGTGAGAGTGCGCTTTTTGCACTCCTCTTTACACATTGACTGGCAAGGAAAAAACGAGTGACAAGACTCAACTCTCTGCATGCTTCCCTTGGGGCATGAAAAGACTCAACTCTCTGCATCATTCCCTTGGGGCATGAAAAACAAAAAACAACCCTATGTCACAGGGACTCTGGCCCAGTAGGTTTTCTTGGAAACTTGGTTTCGTGTTTTTTTTTTGGTGTTTTTTTTGTTTTTTAGTTTTTTTTTGTATTTTTCAGTTTTTTTGGTTTTCCGACCTTTCCCTGAGATCAATTTCTTCCTCCGGAATTCGTTGTGTCTGTTTCCACATGTCGGCATGAAGGAACCCTTGGTCAACAAGAAAATTGGATTCTTGAGAGGGACCTCTCTGAACTAAAAAATCAAAATTGTTTCGTTTTTTTCGGTTGGCTGGGGTTCAAACCAATTTTTAATTTCCTGAACAGTAAGGCCTAATTTCCGATTTTCTGGAGGTGGTGCTCTGTTTGTGCAGTGTAGTTTTCTGCTGAGCAAGGAAAACCACCCTCTTTTCAAAGGAATGAACAAACATATTGCATCCTTTTCAAGGAAACTCGCATAAAGGCAGGCTGCACTGTGGTCTCCGAAAGAGCAACTGCTTATTGAAGAATACCCTTTCACAATGATGTTATATTTTCTGCAAGAAACACTATACTTCTTCAAATGGCAATTCCATGCATTGCGTTTTTGTACAACAACTTAAATCACACCATACTCAGCCGTACTCTTTCACTAGGACTGCTGTGTGTCTTGAAGGCTACTTTCTCAAAGGGATGCTACATACTTTTGAAAGGAATATTGCGTGTAACTGTGTATATATATATATGTATATATATATATAGAGTCAATAATATCATACAGTGAATTATGTTATTTGAAAATTATATTGTATTTTCCAAATGAATAATATTTGTTCGAACTAATATCGTTGTTTAAATCAGTATTTCATGAAGCCATCAAGTATTGTCTGAAAGGAATGTCGCGTTTCTGAAAAAACGCTAATGTATATGCACATTTTATCTTAAGGAAATGCTACCCTTGTCTAAAGCTATGCATATCTCAGAGTCTTGCTTTGCACTTTCTCAAAGGAATGTTGCCCCCTCTGTAGAAGAATGTTGCATAGAGGCATGCCACAACTTCCTCAAGAAATGCCACATTCTTTCAAGAATTTCAATGATAACTTATGAGAAGCATGCTGTTACCCTTAGAATCTGAGTTGATGCTGTACTAGGGTTCAATAACACAACATTTTTCAAAGGAACTATGCTTCCCCTTGCAAGACATTGCATATCTGTTTATGTAGGGGGCTCTGTCAGGAAGATGCAGTACTGCTTGGGGACAAAATGAAATCTTCTGTCAATCAAACGTGCTGTTTCCTCTTGTTCATGCTTGCCATAAAAACTTGCAACATAGATGTAAACACAACCCTATCATTTGAGCATGGCGCAACAGGGCAAAATTGAAATTTCTCTCTGATATTCCCTGGCTAAATGACATAGAACCGTTGATAGCGTTATTTAGTTTCTCGCTGTGCATGTGCAATCTGTTTTGTTTCTTGTGACCCAGCCGGATGATTTTTTGAGGTATACATATAAAATATATATAAATATAGATGAGATCTTGCAGCAACATCGCTGGCAGATATATTAGATCTTGATGCAACATCAGTGAAAAAAACGCACTCTCACAGTCCCCCGCTCTCTTCCAAAAATAAGTCAAAAACAAAATTGCTTAATCCATGCCCCAAGCCCCTAACCTTCCCCCAAGGATACCTGTTTTTCCTTGGTTTTTACATGGTTTCTAATGGAACCAGAGACCTAAAGCAAGCAGAAACAACCACAAACAAATTTGCAATGCCTAAGGGGGGGAAGTGGCAAAGAGTTAGATCCACCCACTTTTTTTGCCAGTCCCTCAAAAGAAACAACGGACCAAGACAGCAAAACACCAAGAAACCAAAAAAACAACAACAAAAAAAAATTGCACCCCCCAAGGGGAGGGGGTCAGATGCAGTTTGTTGGGTCTTGTTTTTGTTTTGGTTTCTTTTTTTTTTTGGTTTCCTTTTTTGTCTCCGTAAAAAGAAAAGAAACTGCAAAGGTGAGATTGCAAAGAGCAAACTAACCCATTGCAGGTGCATAAAGCACCTAAAAAGGCGCGCTCCCACAGTGGCCTGTTCTGTTTAAAAACCAGTTGCACATTCCCTCAGCCATGGAAGCGGTGAAAACCGCTCATTTTGCAAAAAAAACAACTTCGAAGCGGCTCAACCGCTGTAATGAAAAAAAATATTGCTTTCGATACAATAAAAACATATGTATTTTTCAATTTTTCTAAATTACAAAAATGTGACAAAATAGTTGATATTTGCTTCCTTTCATAACTTTACATAACTTTTTGTATAACTTTAGTTATAATTACTTATAACTGTCAAGGAGCACCTAAGAAGAAGGCCACGGTCAGCAGCCACTATTTTCCAAGAGACCGTCTGTCTTGTCGAAAGCCTTGCTGGCCGAAGCAGCCAAGCTTCTGTGGCAGAAGCAGCCACTACAAAAAATAGTTTAAGGCAGGCCGAAGCAGCCTGGCGACAAGCAGCCCGAAGCAGGCGACGAGCAGGCCGAAGCAGCCTGACGACGCCCTTAACTAAGCCTCGGCCGCATCAGCTTGGGTGAGTTGAAATACCCAGGTGGCTCCTGAGAAGTGTCCAATCTTCAATTCATTGTTTACTTCTGATCTCTGGACTGCCTTGTTGAAGGGCTCCCACAGGTTCTCACGAAACGTAGACCATCTGAAGCCACAATAATTCAGCGGGCAAGCGTCGAGATAGCTGATGAAGAGCGTGGCCACATAGAAGTCGCGCTTGGTTGCATGGGTCAGGGGCAACTTGGTTTCTTCCACCGCATCTGGCAAACCAGCGACAATTCGGCTGTCTGGGAAGCTGTCGGGATCTGTGTAACGCAAAGTCGTCAGCATGTCCAGTGCAATCACAATCTGCCATTCAAATTCAGATCTGGTGTCTGGGGCCAGGTGGCAGTAGCACCAAAAAATGGCATTGCGAGTGCATTCGTACACGTCTTCCATCTCTGCGAGACCGAAGAAATCTGCTGGCTTCTCTTTGACAAAAAGCTGTGTCACATAGACATACTGACAGAAGTTTGCCTCGTCAGTCTCCGCTTCTGAGCGCAGAGGCATCACGGAAAAAGGAAGAGAGGCGACGACAACACGGTTTGAGCCAAAACTTGAGACCATTGTCAAATGACAAGTTGAGACAGGTTGGAACTTGAATGGCACATGCCAGCAGTCTTGAAGCGAGAGAGTGACTACGAAACACATAGAAACAGCTAGCTGCGATCTTTTGACTTGACAAATCCCGCGTCAAGGCTGTCTGATTGTAGGTTAATTACAAATCGGCCACACAAGCCGCGACAAAAGCTTCAGATTGGCCGCAGCAGCCAAGGTCAGACTGGAAAAGGTGCCAGCTTGGAAATCAAGCCAGCTGCGTACAAGGCATTTTGGAGCACACAGCCAACCAAAGGAATCGGCACGCAATTGCCGAGCATTCCTTGCAACTGAGTCTTGCTTACATGTTGGTTCCAATCTGGCATCTCAGAAGACTGGAACCCAGACACCTTCAACATCTCATTTGTAGTCATATACCTTCCACGACTACTGATCCAGAAGCCGCCTGTCTTGGCGCGAGCTTGGCTCAAGGTGCGGCTGACATCAATGCCAAAGGTGGCATATTTTTGGCTGCAGCCGACGTCTATGGCAACAGGAACCTGTCGTGGGTCAATGCCCTCCTTGTTAACTTTTCGGCAGGCAGCCAAAGCCAAAGCCTTGGCTCTTTGATTTTTCGGCAACCGACCAGGCCGATCTGCAGCCTGCATCGGGTCCAAGGCCTCTGACAGCCTTCGCTTACCGAGTTTTTTGGGCCACTTGAAAGGTCTCCTGCAGGAGTCTTTGCGGATCGCGACAATGAAGAGCCTTTGTCTCTTTTGCGGGATTTGGAAATCCACAGCGTTTAAGACTCCAAGCCAGACCCTGTAGTCCAGCTTCTCTAACGTGGCTCGGATGCCGCGGAGTACCGGTTTGTTTTTCCGGTGGCAGAGACCCTTCACATTCTCCATCAGAAAGACCCTTGGTTTGTGCCGCTTTGTATACCTCAAAGGCACTTTCAGCAACCTCCCCCGGGGATCTTGGAGACCTTTCCTTTTTCCCTGTGAACTCCATGGCTGGCATGGCGGGGTACTAATGTATACGTCCACAGGGATCTCATCCTCTGGCTTTCGTTGTTCGGCATCGTCGAAAAAACATTTTGGCTTGTGAGCAGCTTCCAGTAGTTTTCTGCAGTGTGGGTCTGTGTCGCTGCAAAATGAAACTTCCACCGGCAGCTGCAACCGCTTCAAAGCGAAAATGCCTGTGTCCAAGCCAGAGAAATCACTCCCCACACGAACCAATCGGGGAACGCGAAGCTGGACAGGCATGGCTGGAAGCAGCCAGCCAGGCAGGCCAGCAGCAGGCCGAAGCAGCCACCCCTGAATGCGAAACAGCTTGATTTGGGCGAAGCAGCCAGGCGGACCGAAGCAGGCAGGAGGTCTGAAGCAGTCAAGGCAGCTGGCCGAAACAGCCAGGATGACCGAAACAGCCACTAAGTATATGACTTGAGCCGACAAAACCTGGCAGACATGTTGCAACACATCAATGCGAAAACGAACAGTAAAACCCACAAAAGATTGAAACAATTATAAATTGTATGCCATCGTTTATTTCATTGCTGGGGGGTTCGGGTTTACAAGTTAGATTTAAAGAGAACCAGTTGAAGACCAACAACACACAGGTGATCCTCCCTTTTTTCTTTGCGCAAGCATGCGTCGTCATTTCATAAGCCCGGAGCACGACTCTACCATGTCTGCGCGACGAATGCGATGCAAGAAAGTCTGGATGGTGAAAATTTGCTTGTCCCCTTCACTGACCGCATCTGTTTCATCCTCATGAATGACTGCGTATGCTTTGTATTTCGGAAAGGTCCTTTGCTTCGCCTGCAGCTGTGCCACTGTGCCGGCATTCATTTTGTGAAGTTGCCAACCATGCCCACCAGGAAGCGCTTGCCGAAAATCTTTCCAAAAGGCATCATGCTTTTCTGCACATATTTTGCTTACAAGAACAACTTTACGCACCGAAACAGCGCGATGAAATTTCAAAGCAGAACCGTTTCCAACAGTAAAAAAAGATGGGGAAACTTCCACCAAGCCTCGCAAACCTATCATCAGTTGTAGGGATGCTGGCAGTAAGCTTTCACCTGGCTTGTCGCAAACAATGACATGTGCTTGGGAGGCTTGCGCTGTCACTTGGATTCCATTGTTGGCTAAACTTGCAGTCAATTCCATATTGGCCGAAACAGCCAGGAAAGCTTTAGAGCCAGATAAATCGGCGAGCAAGGCATCCCTGTGTTTGTTGCTAACATGCCTTTCAATCCTACTTGCCTTCTCGCGTCTTTTCTTTTGATTCTCTGCAAATCTGGCCGAAGCAGCCTCTGCGTCTTGTTGATCTTGCAAAGTCGCGTCTGGTAAGGACTTCTCCGCAGTGGCCTGAATTCGCCTAATGCGGCTTTTCTTTTCCAAAAAAACCATTTCCTTCTGATGACCTTCAGTGAAGAATAGGGGGTCGGCTTGCTCCTGGGTTCCTGAATATGACTCTGCGGCCGCAGCAGCCGCGCAGCGACGTCTCCGAAGGAAGCTGCTCTCAGTCAAACCTGCGTCAACCTGTTTTCTTTTGATTCCTTTGTCAGCCCGACGACCAGTTTTGGAATGTTCCCGTGGACGGCCATACTGGTTTGCCCACGCAACACGGGCTAGCTTGCAAATTTCAACTTTTTCGTCTTTGTTTTGCTTGGGCAAACCATATATAAGTTTCAGGACCAATTCCTCATTGTTGGGTAAGGACCGACGCCGCTGCATTGTGTACCGGATTTGGCCCAAACTAAAATTTTGCTCAATTGCTGAAGTACTGGGCGTGCAGCAAAAATAATTTTGCAATGCGACAAGCAAAACGTCGCTGGGATGACTGCATGGTCTGGCTGAAGAGTATCTGGCCACAGTAGCTCTCCAGGCTTCTTTGTTGCCATCGTGGACCATATCTTTGCTTTCTTTCAGTGAGCCAACCTGTTCTTTGTATTCCAGTTGGGCACGGGGATACAGGTCTTCCCACTGTGCACGGAGCCTGGGCAAATCCAATTTGTATGTGTGGGAAATCGCTCTAAGATGTGCGTTCACCCCTTCTTGCGGAAGCCCCTTCAAATTGAATATTTCAAACGCTTGGCAAATTTCAAAATGAGGAAATTCTGCTTCTATGGCCGCAACAGCCAGTTTCACCCAAGCTTGCATTCGTCCGAGACATGTGTCGACAATTGCTCTGTTCACTCCGGTGCTAGAACCCAAAGTTTTCATTCTGTTCCCAATGTTAAAAACAATGGGCGACTTCAATTGGGTAAGAACAGTCGAGGTGAAGCCGAACACAGTCGCACAACGACCTTCAACAAAAAGACTGCGAATTTGTCGCATGTAGACTTGCAAGTCACCTTTCAGCTTTGCAGGATCAACATGCTCCGTATCCAAGGATCGAGTTAAAGCAAGACTTGTGTCGGCCGCATCAGCCAACATAGCTGCCTGCAGCAGATGTTCTTCTGAAATCCAAAGAAGCCAATCCTTCGCCTTTTTGGCAGAGACATCTGTTCGTGCTTTGGTTAAATGAAGGGCAGTTTTCACACAAGCATGGAAAAACAAGCAGGTTCTGCCAAGGGGACGTGCGTGGGATTCGAACCTGTGGTGGGATTCGAACCTGTGGCCCGCAGACCGAAAGCATGAAATGGCAGTCTCAATCGTGGAGTCGCAAGCGCGACAGTGTTCACCAAATATGCGCTTGATTTCCATGGAGTCATTGATGAGCCTAGCCATTGACCTTGGCCCTCGGCCCATGTATTGCATCACTTCTTTCAGCTTTTCGTCCGCATTCCATGGTCTGCTTGTCAACCTTCTGCTGGCGTGCGCCCGGTCCCTGAAAACATGTTGCAAATTTGGCAGCATTGGCTGATTGTCTTCTGTATTCAAACTCAAGCGTGCTGACCTTAATATTTCACAGCTTGCCATTTCATCTGCTGCTGCATCAGCAGCGAGTGCCACAACTCTTGACCGCAGGTGTTTAAAAAGATTTTTCTTCAAACGCCCAGGATTCTGACTAAGAGGGGCCATATAAAATCTAGAGCAAGCACGCTTCATGACTGCCCATGTGGCTAAGGAGACATTGTCAGCTCCTGTTCCAGCTTGCCTTGCTTGGCCTAAAAAGCCACTTCGAGTTGTCAAGTCTGGGGCCACAGCCATGAATCGTATGGCCAACCGCCCATGCCGCTCATCCCGCATCAAAGAAATGCGAGAAGATTTCGCAATGAACTTTTGGTCCAAAGCTTTTAACCCCTCTGCCAAACACCATGCCATTTGCAGCTCTTTTTGCGACAATGATCTTTTGTCGCCAAAGCACTCCATCAGCTCTTGAAACTGACTCAATGACGGGGCTGCATCGGGACTGGGACCAACACAGCCTCCTTCCTTCAACCATTCCTTCACCGCTGCCTTGTGCGCCTTGCTTTTATGGTGCTTTATCAAATTGCAGTTCTGCAGTTGGCCCTTCTTGGTCATTGAATAAGAAGCGAAAGGGTTGGAAACCCCAGTTTCCTTGCACACTTTACAACCAACACCCCAAGGTTGCTGCTTCACATCTAACCATGACCCTAGCTCTGGCTGGCCATCTGAGATGAGGAACGTGTTACACCATTTTTTGCCCGAACTACGCCATCTGAATTTGGCCCCGGTTTCCAAGCTTGACATTGCCGCTGTGGCCGAAGCAGCCACTAAAATGGCCGAGCCAGCCAGTACTGCGGCCGAAACAGCCACAATGGAGCGGCGCATCTAACCATTGAGCCAAAAGAAAACGAGAAAAGAAAATATCCATGACACTTGTTAAAATATCTAGCAGGGCGTCTATACGAGAAATGTCCTTCTATGGACGTCGCCAGGCAGAGAACAGAAAAGCTGTCCCACAAGAAGTGTGTCAGAAGAAAAATGTGTTATATACCACAACTAAGGAAAATTGAGATGAGAATTCTACAAGAACGCATGTGGCACGGTTTTAAAAGCCATGAAGGTATTTGTAACAAAGTCTGAAGGTACAAAAGAACGAGTTCTGAAAATAACTTAATAAAAAAAACAAAACGAGAAAATATCTCCAAAGCCCATTTTTTTTTGTAATACCGTAATACGCTTAAGTGGATGCAAGATAACCATGTTTATCAGCAATCATCTCCATGACGCAGATTGTATATTTTGTATATCAATGTAAAACAGAAGATTTTTTTCATCCCAGATGGATTTGCATTGGATGATTGGTGGTATTGGTGATGAGAAAATAAATAAGTCAAATAAGTTCCAGACCAATACCATGATGCGGATCATATATGTTCAAACCCAAAAAAATATGATCGCAATGGGTTTGAATCCCTATGGCTACTGGGCTACTTAGCATTTAGTGCTTTGGATGCTAAGTAGCCACGAATGGTAGCAGGTTGAATTTGCAAGTATTGTTGCTTGAGCGAGTTTTGGGATTTGTGATATACGGGCTATAAGCGATTTACTTGGATACACATCCAAAATTGCTGATCTGGAAATACACCAAGGCCTCCATGCCGGTGAGATGGAAACGCTTCCTGACAGGACAATGTGTTGCTGTTAGTACAGCTGCTAGCCATTCACCCTCATCTAATGGCAGTGAATAATGTAGATCAAGGGCGTTGGACGCATTAACAACCACGGCCACATATTTTTATATAGATATTTTTAGCACTTTGGTGCTTGTGGTATCGTACCATTCAATTACCTCTGTTTATTTGGTGTCGTTGATCCTGACGGCCAAGTTCAAGACAGACCGTAAAAAAGTACATCAGCCAAAAGTACATGGGCCCACATATTCCAGGAATTCTAATCATCATACCACCGATAGGACGTAGATGGACCTAGTTCATCCTGTAGAAATTCATCACCAGGTGATATCGTGTAACCGTTGGTCAAACACCGAGACCCGGTTGCGACACTCGCCATAGTGACCAGCCACTTCCGGTTGCGTGATTCTACCGGATAATCCACCTGGATCTTTCATGAATCAAAACCGTTGCAGCCTCTATTCATTCCGCGCAATTGATCCATGTTTTAGAGCGCCGTCTCAATTTTCCAGATTCTTCTTCCAACGCTGTTGTCTTATTTACCATCTGGTAGTCAAACATGATAATGAAGAATCATAGAGGATCCACCATTTGTACTTTGTACATGATTTGCCCACTAAAACCTCCATCTTAGGGCATTTCATGGTATTTCCCAGCTAGCCACGTTTGAGCCAACCGGAGAGTAGACGTGTTCGAGTTCGTCTTCCAGCAGGTTCTGGACGCTGACACCCAACTCTCGGAACTTGCTGAAGAAAATGAGGTGGAACTGACCCTGGTGGTACGTTTCTTGGTGCTTGGTTTGGTGGTCAACTGGTGGTAGTTTTTTTTTGTTGGCCACAAATGGAGAAAGCTGGGTTCGATGGGCGTTTATACTTTTAAAAAATATACGTTATAGAACAAAAAAAACTTATATAACTCTTGTTTGAAGGGTATCTAAGATTGACTGTGATTGGAGATGCTGCGTAGCCATGTTTAGCCATGACAGCTGCGGGATCTGGGGGATAGGAAGAATCGTGGACAGCAATTGCAACTGCCAGGCACTATCATTGAATTTTCCTACGTTACATTGGAAATTGCAATTTGTTTTGGTTACACTTGGAAATTTGACTTTCTACACGTGGCAAAAATTGAGATCACTATCATTTTGTTAGCATTTGGACAGTATTTGACTAGCATTGACGATCCAGCCATGCCATTCTGATCATCTTGGGCTAAAAAAGCTGAATGAGCGAAGAGGTGAGTCTCTTGCGCCAGTGGCACTGAGGAAATGTATCCCTAGTGGTGACGGCATCAGCTGATTGTACCGCAAAGATCTGGAACTGGCTTGATGGCGAATGTATACAAACTTTGTCAGGCCATGGGATAGATGGATGATGAAGTGTGGTTCTGGATTCCACTGGATATTTAGATATGTTAGATCGATATTGATGTTGGATTGGGGCCTGCCTGCCGTGTCAAGGGCAGTCAAGATGTCCTCGGTTGGGTATCGGTATAAGTCTGTCTACTGTAGAATATCAATCGATGCAAACACATTATGTATGTATATATATAATATATAAATACACATATTATATTGCATTGACCTTCATTCGTATTACTGATGCGATTCCATGGGTTTCTCTTTAAAATTGGCTACCGCCAAGACCCACAGGTTGCTGGCCTCTTTCAATGCGAGAGACCATTCTGGTTAGTACTTGTGATCACATGAATTTGATGTCATTTAATGTTATATATATATATTATGCATGTTTATGTTGGTGATTTGGTTGATGCAAGCCGTTGTTATTGATGAATACAACACCGTACCCCCGAAAAAAAACGTTGGTGAAGGGACCGTGAAGTACGACACCTTTTTTTTCTAACTGCGAAAAGGTCCCAGATGTTGGTTGCTTGATATCTCCATTTGGATTTTTTTTGGTATACATATCTTTTGTTCCTGTGGTTTATTTGCCAACAAACTAGATGTTATGGTAGATATAAGGTAGATATATCTATGGAATATATATATATATATTTCTATGCTAGATATCTCCACTTTATCATGAGATATCTGAATATAGTTACTGTGATTTTTCTACGCCGATTAGAGTTCCCCGGGGTCACCACCTTGCGCACATTTCTACGTTGCAGGGCATGGTAGCGATGTTCACAAGGTGAAATTCTCCTCGGACGGCACGTGGCTCGTCACTGCATCTCGGCAATCTCACCTACCATGTGGTCCCCCCAAGATAGCTAAGTTGGTGAACATAACTCTAATAACTAGGACTTATGGTAGATATATCTATAGTCTATAGTTAATGGGATTATAAACCAACTTATAACTTGGGGGGGGCACCACCTTGTACCAATGCCCCAAGTAGCAGCAAGGGCTTGCCGAAAGCCACATATGGGGATGGGTCAAAACCTATGACATTACCATATTTGGAGGAATAACCATCCAGCCATACCAGCTATATGACCTAGGGTATCATCCGGGCATCAGGCTTTTGACCCAAAACCAGATGCGGATGGATCAAAAGCTGCTAAACCACCGATCTTGCCTGGTTAAATCATGTTAAATCTATGTTAAATCTAGGGTAAATCCATGGTAAATCCCCGTTTTGGGTTACTGCAAACCATATTAAACCATATTAAACCAGCTTAAACCATATTAAAACCCCCACCAAACATTTTCTGGTCAACCATTAAATCGCTACGGTGGACCTGGTCCGAGCGGGCACTATAGGTCTCCTACGATTCCTTGGCCAAGCTATGGAAGCTTTCAAGTGGAGACTGCGTGCACGTTTCTTGGTGACTGGAATTGCTAGGGTCTTTTTAAAGGAATATAATGGGATATGATATATTTAATGGGATTTTATTATAGGGATATGTGTCAACTGGAATTGCTAGGTTTTTCTGCACGGGATATATATATATATACATATGCATAATGGGAGATCTTGAGGCTTTTCCTTACTCTGTAACAGTCAGTAAGAGGTTTTCTTACTAAACAGTGGGATACTAGAGATTTACTTGAAAGATATGGACTTTTTTTTTGTACAATATTTGGGGATATGATAGGTGAAATACTGGGGAAATCATCTACAAATGTGGATCTAACATGGGATTTACTGCGATGTTCTTTTTGGTGTTTTGGAATTGTTAGTTTTTTGGTCATTTGGGATGGGTAATGTTGGGATGAGAAGATGGGTTGTTGATATGACAACAAAGAAATATCTGGGTAAATATATGGTTATTAAGGGAAATCATCCCCAAATGGCCCAACAATTCAGGTTAGTGAAATATTATCATTTACCCAGAAATATGACAGCAATCAATTGCCAACTCCCCACATGACGTACCGTGAATGCAGTCTATCAACTAACAGGCCACACAAAAACCAAACATTCCGGGAGTTGGAAGAAGTATGTTTGGTTGCCGTACTCAAATATGGCATTAGGAACTCCCCGAACTAACTGGGCATTTAAACGGACGAATCATCTATAGGTGATTTTCCATTACCGGACTATGAGGCGCTTGGAGGATCACGTGTAACCCTAGGTACCCACCAGCTACTAAATGGGATGACTATCCAAGTATGTACTGTTAATTTTGTTTGTGCGATTTTTGCTCGCATGACGTTTTTTGTAAGTTATGTTGCAAATGATGTTTATACACACCCACTGCTACATGACACACTTGTTAGCGGTTGGCAGCAAGATTATGAGATTCCATATACAGTCCGTGCATGAAGAGTACCCCCAATAAAGGCCTCCTTCCCTGATTACTTTAAGGTTTCCCTGTTACAACATCAAATTGTCAGAAGTAGTTGGTGATCTCAGATACTGCACATTCCATCTTCCCAAATCAATGTGATGCCCCACCGAGGTTTTGAGGGGTCACACGAACGACATCAACTCTGCGCCTTGTCCAAGATATGGCCCCCCCGGCAATGACTCGCTGTAGGGATTTTTGTAGGGGATCAACCCTGACAATCCATAGGGGCCTCATGGCCTCGGCTTCATCCTGATCCTGATTGGTTGAAGTCAGCCCCCTACCCGGCCCTACCCCATGGGGGTAACCCAACAATGGATGGTGAATTACCCTCAGAATGGTATATCATCGTTGTTGCTGGTGAATCAACTCTTAATAAACCCAAAGATTGTTCGGGGGGTCAGCTTTGCGGGGACTATGGTATATACCATATGAATCCATATGATTCTTGGCCTGTATACACCCAATTTTGTTGGTTAAATATGATGAAATCACCATTTGTAACTTCGAACTGGGGGGGTTCGCTGGACCCCGGTGAACCAATCTCTGCCAGTCCCATGTCCCAAAGGTTTCAGAATTGACTTCACTAAATGGTGTGAATTCGCAAACACATCCTTAGCCAGGTAGGGCCCCCCACACATTCTAACTGGGCTTATAAACTCCATTAATTATCTATAGTCTATAGTTAGATCCTCCATAAACCCAAACGTTAACCAAGTTATAAGTCAACTTTTCTAGGGGGGCCACCCTGTCAGGAGGATGCATAAATTCCATTAGATCCCATTACATACCATTAAATCACGATTTCTGTACTAAATCCCATTAAATCCCAGTAGCCAACCATTCACCAATTTTTGAAGTCAACTTAGTTATATATATAGTTATATCATATATCAGCTATAAATTCTCATTAAGCCACCATTTTCCTATGGTTAAATGACAATTTTCCAGCATTTTCCAGCATTTTCCCATGGTTTTTTCGTGGTTTGTTCCCCAACGCGGACGCCCCTTGCCGAAGAAGGTGGCCTTTTCCCCGGACTCCGAGCTGCTGATCACCTCCTCGGATGATCACACGGCGCGGCTCTGGGATGTCGTCCACGGAGATTGCCTGGAGGCGATGACTTGCGGGGTTTGATCCTGTGGAATCCACTGATATGGCTATGAATCAATACCTATTAATACCATTTTTAGGGGGATGAACATCCATTTACCAGCTATTTTTATGTGAACTACAGGGGTACAAGGTTTTGACCCACTGCCATATATTGGGATGAACATAAAACATTAAGGTTATACCCTCTGGTAAACTAACATAACTATGGACAATCACCATTTTTAATGGGTAAATCAACTATAAATGGCCATTTTCCATAGCTATGTTAGTTTACTGGAGGGTATATTGGGATGAAAATAAAACATTCAGGTTATACCCTCTGGTAAATTAACAAAATGACTCAATGACCAATTTATAGTGGTTTCACTAGTCTTCCAAACCCGATGACTGCCAGGGTCTGTTAATTTACCAGAGGGTATGTCTTGTATATATATATGATTGACCTTATTGGATTGGTTGCAGGGAACTAGGTCAATCTTACATGGATACCTACTAAATCCTAACTAGTCTTTTGGTATTAATGGGAATATCTACTAACCAGCAAAGGATTTGTCATTTTCGCAGGGTATCTAAGATTGGCAATGGGAAAATCTTAACCGAAAACCATGTTTTTTTCCCAGCAAATATGGGGGAAACTCCTGTGGATTTTCCCTTAAACCATCTTAAACCAATCCAATGACCTGTGGAATCCACTGATATATTGGGATGAAAATTACAGTGGGACACCCAACATGAGTTATAAGTTTATGGCCATGGATAGTAACCATAACCATAAACCATAGCTATTGCTGGTTGGTGGTTTGGAACATGAATTCTATGACTTTCCAAAAATATTGGGAATAATCATCATCCCAACTGACGGACTCATATTTTTCAGAGGGGTTGAAGCCACCAACCAGTTAAATATATATATATATATAATTATATGTGGATTATATTGACATTACATATATATATATATATGTTAGATGTGGAATGTGTGGAATCTATATTAATATGATATCTACCTCCAGTGAGATGTGAAATATCCTGTGGAATATCCTGGGTTGAAATAGGAGTTATATACGGATTAAACCACTTACAATTCGTGGAGTGCACATCCAAGTAGAGTCAGTAGAGGAGCACGTGGGTCATTCAAAACTGGGGAATGTCTCCATCCCCAACCGACTAGATAGTGGAACATCACCAAAGCGAGCAACCGAATGTGTTTGGGGAGGATCAAAGATTGAGCATGTCTCAAAATAACAAGTTCAAAACAGGGAAAATGACGATGAAATATCAGCTTTTTGTTGTTCCTCCCTAATTTTTCTGTCAAATTCACCTGTGGTTTGGAGATATAATTATCAATGATGAAACATGGTAACTTTCAATTTCGAATGCTGAAATGAGGGAGTCTGCGACAAGGGGTGAACAACGAGCAATTTCTTGAAGCAAGAAAACTCCATCAGGTTTTTGCTCTTGCCAGCATCATGGCACTTTTTGCCATCGTCCTTTTGTTCATCCTGCCTTAAGCGTTGCCTTGAACTTGGGACGTCCACATTTCTTGCTGCTCAAATATTGCTAAGATGGATTAAGATGGACATTCTAGGCAATACCATGAGGGTCTGTAGAGGGTCAAGTGCTACACATATGAAAATCATATCTCGGCAGTAACAACCCACATCAAGAATCAAGAACAAACTCTTTTTTCTATTGCCTACAAATTTACGAAGCTTTCAAAGCCCGTCAACACGTGCATTGCTTCTTTCTTGCAAGGGACGATTCAAATCCCCAAAAATGTGTTTATAACGAGATATTACCACCCACCTATAGGCCATGGTAGAAGTATATAAGATGGTGGTGCTTTGGACTATGTTTCTAAAGTAGTTGGCAGTTCCTTGCCATCGCTCTGTGGCCAAGTTGAAGAACGCCCGCCTTTTCCGCCTTTTCCTTCCCAGGTGCTGATGGGTCACAGTGCTGTGGTCAATTCAGCCATGTTCTCGTGGGATGGCAGATTGACACTAGTCGTGCGAGCGATGATCAGGGTGATGTTTGTTGCCGGAGAATTGCCTACCCAGCGTTTTTTACTTATAACCTGTGCTTTTTTGGCGGGACTGGGATGGACAGGGTATGGAAGATCTGCCTTTTTGGGCACGAAAAACACGGATGACTTAAATCTTGACACAGCTTGGACGGTCGGAGGTGGCAACTACTGTATACACTTGAGGTACCTGGTCTTCACGTCCCCAACACATTTTCAGAAGCAGCTGTACGCTGTCCCAACCTGAACATGTATGCAACCAAGCTTTGGAGATATGCCGTCCATGCTACGTTTGAGCTGCAGTCATTTGGGTCATTTGTCAAAGCTTATGATGAAACCATCCATTTTGGGCGGTTGATAATCTTTGACCCCAGGGGCCCAGGGTTTGTCTGAAAGTATGGTACCCCCAACAGCCTAATATTGTGTGTCATCTCCTATCCATTCCTATCGCATGCATATTCATTTGTTGAAATCAATCATAGCAGTCTTAATATGTTGTAGTAATAAAATATCAATATCCGGAATCCATATCATATAATTAATGTATATGAATGAATGTCAATATCCCAATTTATCCCATAAAATTACGGTCACATCCCATTCGTATAACATTCATGGTTTTTATCATTTCCTATGGATCCATGGCCACTGTCTGAGAAGGTACGGCTGACTCCCTAGTCATCATACCCCAGTCGTACATCCTAAGAAGGCACGGCTGAATCCATAGGGATACCCATTTTAATAGGATTTTCCATCAAAAAAACCATCCATTAATAAGATGTTACCCTATTAACCATCATCTGGTTGGTGGTTTGGAACATTCTATATTTTTCCATATATTGGGAATCCCATCATCCCAACTGACGAAGTCATATTTTCAGAGGGGTAGGTCCACCACCAACCAGTAACCAGCTATAACCATAGATATAAGCATATTATTACCATATTAACCCTTAAAAAATCTGGGTGGTTTGCTAATATTAGTAGTTTCTTATTACCATAAATATAAGTAGATATAACCATATTATGGTCAACCACCAAGCAGCTATAGGGTATATCTACCATAGACTATAAACCTATAGGAACCTAGTGGCTATATCTATGCTATATATCTGGTCTATAACCCTCCTTCATAATTATTATTCACCATCATTAACCATCTAAAAACCATTATATAATATTAACCACGATTAACAGTATATTAACCACAATGGCAGTTGTTAACCATTAACCATTAATAACATTATTGTCATATTGACAGTATATTAATAACCATTAACCATTATTACCGGGTATATCTAGCTATACCATCATCCCAACTCCCAACCTATCATTTGTCCATTAACCATCTAATAACCATGAACATACAATATTAGCCATTACTAACCAGTATATGAATTAAGCATTATTAACCAGTATATGAACCATTAATATTGACTAGTATTAACCACATATTGACCTACCAATCCTATGAAAACTAGTTAATAACCATCCTTCATAATTATTATTAACCATCATTAACCATATAATCACCATTATAGAATATTAGCCATTACTAACCAGTATATGAATTAAGCATTATTAACCAGTATATGAACCATTAATATTAACTAGTATTAACCACATATTGACCTACCAATCCTATGAAAACTAGTTAATAACCATCCTTCATAATTATTATTAACCATCATTAACCATCTAATAACCATTATATAATATTAGCCATTATTAACCAGTATATGAATTAAGCATTATTAACCAGTATATGAACCATTAATATCAACCACTATTAACCACATATTGACCTACCAATCCTATAAAAACTAGTCAATAACCATCCTTCATAATTATTATTAACCACCATTAACCATCTAATAACCATTATATAATATTAGCCATTATTAACCAGTATATGAATTAAGCATTATTAACCAGTATATGAACCATTAATATCAACCACTATTAACCACATATTGACCTACCAATCCTATAAAAACTAGTCAATAACCATCCTTCATAATTATTATTAACCATCATTAACCATCTAATAACCATTATATAATATTAACCATTGTTAACCAGTATATGAATTAACCATTATTAACCAGTATATGAACCATTAATATTAACCATTATTAACCACATATTGACCTAGCAATCCTATGAAAACTAGTTAATAACCATCCTTCATAATTCTTATTAACCACCATTAACCATCTAATAACCATTATATAATATTAGCCATTATAACCAGTATATGAATTAAGCATTATTAACCAGTTATGAACCATTTCATATTAACCATTATTAACCACATATTGACCTAGCAATCCTATGAAAACTAGTGAATAACCATCCTTGATAATTCTTATTAACCATCATTAACCATCTAATAACCATTATATAATATTAACCGTTGTTAACCAGTATATTAATTAACCATTATTAACCAGTATATGAACCATTAATATTAACCATTATTAACCACATATTGACCTACCAATCCTATGAAAACTAGTGAATAACCATCCTTGATAATTCTTATTAACCATCATTAACCATCTAATAACCATTATATAATATTAACCGTTGTTAACCAGTATATTAATTAACCATTATTAACCAGTATATGAACCATTAATATTAACCATTATTAACCACATATTGACCTACCAATCCTATGAAAACTAGTCAATAACCATCCTTCATAATTCTTATTAACCATCATTAACCATCTAATAACCATTATATAATATTAACCACTATTAACAGTATATTAACCATTTATGATATGGTAACTTTTTTTAATAGCCATTAATATTAACCATTAATGTTAACCATTATATGAACCATTATAAAAGTATATGAACCATTAACCATTAATAACATTATTGTCATATTAACAGTATATTAATAACCATTAACCATTATTAACCATTAATATGAACCAGTATAATATTAACCATTATGAACCACATATTGACCTAGCAATCCTATGAAAACTAGTTAATAACCATCCTTCATAATTCTTATTAACCACCATTAACCATCTAATAACCATTATATAATATTAGCCATTATTAACCAGTATATGAATTAAGCATTATTAACCAGTATATGAACCATTCATATTAACCAGTATATGAACCACATATTGACCTAGCAATCCTATGAAAACTAGTTAATAACCATCCTTCATAATTCTTATTAACCACCATTAACCATCTAATAACCATTATATAATATTAGCCATTATTAACCAGTATATGAATTAAGCATTATTAACCAGTATATGAACCATTAATATTAACCATTATTAACCACATATTGACCTAGCAATCCTATGGAAACTAGTTAATAACCATCCTTCATAATTCTTATTAACCACCATTAACCATCTAATAACCATTATATAATATTAGCCATTATTAACCAGTATATGAATTAAGCATTATTAACCAGTATATGAACCATTAATATTAACCATTATTAACCACATATTGACCTAGCAATCCTATGAAAACTAGTTAATAACCATCCTTCATAATTCTTATTAACCACCATTAACCATCTAATAACCATTATATAATATTAGCCATTATTAACCAGTATATGAATTAAGCATTATTAACCAGTATATGAACCATTAATATTAACCATTATTAACCACATATTGACCTAGCAATCCTATGAAAACTAGTTAATAACCATCCTTCATAATTCTGATTAACCACCATTAACCATCTAATAACCATTATATAATATTAGCCATTATTAACCAGTATATGAATTAAGCATTATTAACCAGTATATGAACCATTCATATTAACCATTATGAACCACATATTGACCTAGCAATCCTATGAAAACTAGTTAATAACCATCCTTCATAATTCTTATTAACCACCATTAACCATCTAATAACCATTATATAATATTAGCCATTATTAACCAGTATATGAATTAAGCATTATTAACCAATATATGAACCATTCATATTAACCATTATTAACCACATATTGACCTAGCAATCCTATGAAAACTAGTGAATAACCATCCTTCATAATTCTTATTAACCACCATTAACCATCTAATAACCATTATATAATATTAGCCATTATTAACCAGTATATGAATTAAGCATTATTAACCAGTATATGAACCATTAATATTAACCATTATTAACCACATATTGACCTAGCAATCCTATGGAAACTAGTTAATAACCATCCTTCATAATTCTTATTAACCACCATTAACCATCTAATAACCATTATATAATATTAGCCATTATTAACCAGTATGTGAATTAAGCATTATTAACCAGTATATGAACCATTAATATTAACCATTATTAACCACATATTGACCTAGCAATCCTATGAAAACTAGTTAATAACCATCCTTCATAATTCTTATTAACCACCATTAACCATCTAATAACCATTATATAATATTAGCCATTATTAACCAGTATATGAATTAAGCATTATTAACCAGTATATGAACCATATAACATATTAACCATTATTACCACATATTGACCTAGCAATCCTATGAAAACTAGTTAATAACCATCCTTCATAATTCTTATTAACCACCATTAACCATCTAATAACCATTATATAATATTAGCCATTATAACCAGTATATGAATTAAGCATTATTAACCAGTATATGAACCATTAATATTAACCATTATTAACCACATATTGACCTAGCAATCCTATGAAAACTAGTTAATAACCATCCTTCATAATTCTTATTAACCATCATTAACCATCTAATAACCATTATATAATATTAGCCATTATTAACCAGTATATGAATTAAGCATTATTAACCAGTATATGAACCATTAATATTAACCATTATTAACCACATATTGACCTAGCAATCCTATGAAAACTAGTTAATAACCATCCTTCATAATTCTTATTAACCACCATTAACCATCTAATAACCATTATATAATATTAGCCATTATGAACCAGTATATGAATTAAGCATTATTAACCAGTATATGAACCATTCATATTAACCATTATTAACCACATATTGACCTACCAATCCTATTAAAACCACATAGAATAATTATTATTAACCATCTAATAACAATTATATAATATTAACCATTATTAACAGTATATTAACCACAATGGCAGTTGTTAACCACCAACCAGTTCTGACATTGATGACCTCCCAGGATCTTGACCAGCTCCTTCGATGGCGATGCCAGGATCTGGAGCGCTTTCAATGGCCAATGTCCCGTGGATCAATGAATTTATGTTAAAAAATGTTTGTAATTTATGGTCATAGTATATTTGTTTTAAGTTACTAATCCCTTATTTTTTTAGTTAATAATTGATAATTAATGATTATATGATATCAAAACTGGTCATAGTAATACAATTAGTTATTATGTTTTAGTCATTAATAATTGATAGTTAATGATTAACGACTGGGAGCAACTGCAGATCTATGGTTGATGGATGGTGCTGGATGGTATGGATGGCTATTCCATGTTATTCCCCCCAATTGTGAGAATGTCATCCTGAAAATGCCATAGGTTTTTGTCCCATCCCCATAGAATATTACGGACATTTCAAGGACGGTGCTAGCTACTTAGCGTATAAATCACCCAATGAAAATATCTCCCATCCCATTGGGGTTTGAATCGCCATTTCTTTGGTGCGTCACAATGTGTGTGTCAATGAAGGTCTCATCCACCCAGGGGAATGTCTTGGGAAACATGGCGTGAGATGATCTGGCCACGTTTTTTTTACTTTTATCATCTCACTTAAAAACATCTGCTTACAAAACCCTGGTTACCCTCTGGTAATTTAACATAACTATGGAAAAAAATCACCATTTATAGTGAGTTTGTCCATGAAAAATGGTGATTTTCCATAGTTTTTGTGTATGTTTACCAGTGGTTACTCCCATGTTTTTCCCAGATGTGCCCTCTGGTAAACTAACATAACTGTGGAAAATCACCATTTTATAGCTGGTTAAATCAACTATTTCTATGGCCATTTTTAATAGCTATGTATGGACATACTCTCTGGTAATTTAACATAGCTATTGAAAATGGCCATTTATAGTGAGTTTTCCCCTTAAAAATGGTGATTTTCCATAGTTATGCAACAGTTTACCAGAGGGTAAGTCAGTAGGGTGTCCCTGGAGGCTATCGCACGCTGTCCTGCGGGGGTTCCGGCTCCATGCCCTTGGAGTTCGCCGTCTTCTCCCCGGACGCCCACAGCGTGGTGACCGTGGCGCGCGACGGCTTGGTCCAGTCCTGGGATGCGGTGGCTGGGAAGTTGGCGCAGACCTTGGTGGATGAAGGATGGGGATGGAACATTTGGATTTTCCATCAAAAAAACCATCCATTCATAATCATTAATAAGATGTTACCCTTATTAACCATCATCTGGTTGGTGGTTTGGAACATGACTGGATTATGACTTTCCATTCAGTTGGGAATGGAATAATCATCCCAACTGACGAAGTCATATTTTTCAGAGGGGTAGGTCAACCACCAAGCAGGGATGGGCCCTTTGTGGAGCCAAGTTTGACCCGTGAAAATTCGCAGAGTCGGAAAAGTTCCTGAGATTTGGAGGAAGTTCCTCGACTTTTCATGTTTGTCTGACTGAAAGAGGTTGAGGATGGTCTAGATAGATTGAAGTTGTATGTACATTGTGAAATATTTGCATATAGAGTTCTACATAGCTGTTTGCAGAGTTGTGTTGATTTAATATATTTATTATATGTATACACCATACATTCCCATACTATATAATATACATATCATGTATGATATGTGTGCCAAGCCACCAAATCATGCTTGATGTCCCGAATTGGCTAGGCTGGATGCCGCTGATTGAAAGAGTATGGTTTTTGTTTGTTCACAGCTGGGGAGCAAATCCAAGAAAGTGAAAACCTGAAATTGCTGAAGATTGTTGTTCCCCAGCATTTATTTATATAAGGGCAGATCTACAGGAAAACATTAGATGTTTGTGCTAAAGTCACGGCTTCGTTGGAAAAATAGCGAAAACCCATGTGTGGATGAGCCATTCCTGTTCGCAACTAGTCAATCTCACCTGGCAGTGAAAAATAAGACGTGCTTGGATATTTGCATCAGGGTCAATGAAAAGATACACAGTGAAACGCAAGAAGATCGAATAGACTGTCTATCTTTTCAGGGACTGTTGAAACAAAAACACTTACAATGTGCATTCGGATTGTTGACTGGCATTGTTTGGTTCAGTGTGTTTGCGAACAATGATGTTTGCTTCAAACTTTAGGTCCAATCAACTTCTATCCAGATTGATTAATTACTGTGTTTCATCGTGATCTATCCAGACTACCTAGGATGCACACACACATATACCTTGCATAAGTATAACACACATACATGCCCTATAGTGTATGCAGATGTATGTAGACATTAGTTTCGATATATTACTTGGTACTATTTATTATTAGTACTATCATTGAATTAGTAAGTACGCTTTAAAGTATCACTGCTACTAGTCCTATCATTATCGTGATCGTTGATATGATTAAACTATTGTTTAGATAACATAGTGTTATTCTCGACAAGTTATTAATGAATCTCGCAACCTATCAATGATATGTGCATCGTATGTCAACTGTATGTATTTGGTCTTTGTTTGTAGTAGATTGTTGTTATCTATCCATAAACTATACTGTAATAGCTACTAGATATCCGATTAAATCCCAGTTATATCATATCCACATGTGTAGATGATTTTCCCATAAACTATCGCCAAAAGGGTGCAGGTTTAGGTCATTTTACCTCTTGATGTAGCACATGTTCCCCCCAAAACGTATCTGGGGTGTTGGGAGCCCTGTGAATCTATCAATGCCTTCACGGTTTCAAGGTGGGGTCCCCAAAAGATAGCTAAGTTGACGCACATAACTTGGTTAACTCGGGCTTATCGGGGATATAACTTATAGTGAATGGACGTTGCTGGGGTTTCTAAACCTAACATAACATAGCTAAGTTGGTAAAGATAACTCCAATATGTTTCAGCTTTATGATATTTATAACTATTGTTGATATTATACATATAACATCATATAACTATATTGAAATTATACTTAAAAACTATATTGTTATTATAGTATTCATGGGGGTTGTAACGCAAGAACCATCTCACTGCTTTTTGTTCCCTGTTCCATTTTTCTCCAGGACACCTGGTGAACTGTGCCAGCTACTCCCCCGACGGCGCCTTCGTGCTAGCCGCATTCCTGGACTGCGCGGCACGCGTCTGGAGCCTTCACAAGGGAGAGAGGATCCACATTTTGACGCTTGGCCGACTCTTAAGGCTGTTAAGCGCGCAAAATGGGAGATGGGAGTCGTGTTAGCCACTTGAGTCAAATATGAATGAACTTGTGCATTGTATATACCCTCTGGTAAATTAACATAGACCCTGAAAATAGCCATTTTCGAGTGGAAACTAATCTTCCAGACCCTATCTGTCAGGGTCTATGTTAATTTACAGGAGGGTATACATATATAATGTGTGTACGTTGGGATTCAAGATGATCCATGTGGATTTTAGTTTGGGTTTAGTGGCTTTCAATTTTAACCAAGGAATATCAGAATTTCACTGGATTCAATCAACAGGATGGAGATGTTTTTTTCGGCTGTTGAATCCGGCCAGGTTGGCTGGTCTCATGAGGAAGAGGGTGGTGCTACTGCATCGCTGTCTGACCATGTTTCCCATTACCACCTGACAAATTTCACGATTGTCGGGGGGGTAGTTCGAGATGTGGTATATGTATAGTTGTCCTGCAGAAAGCAGCTGTCTAGCTAGTTGGGTCGGCCGTGCACTGCCAATTCTTGGCCTATAGTTAGCCTTTTCCAACTTAAAAACCGATCGTTCAATCGTCAGGTTTGTGATTTTTCCCCTGGTTGGTGGTTTGGAACATTTTTTATTTTTCCATATACTGGGAATTTCATCATCCCAACGGACGAACTCCATTTTTCAGAGGGGCAGGTCAACCACCAACCAGTCCCCATCCAACTCTGTGCATATCCACCTCTGAAGCGACAGAAAACGATGGAATTTGGGGGCCTCGCCCCTGAAATCCAGGACCCAGATGGACCCAGGATGCAACAAGCAGTAGCCGCTACAGTAGCCATCAGTAGGTCATTGAACATGGTTGGGAAGTCGCCCTACAAATATATGGCTATGGATCAATACCTCTAAGTACCATTTTTAGGGTGATGAACATCCATTTACCAGCTATATATTTTGAGGTTCACCAGGGGTACAAGGTTTTGACCCATCCCCATATAGAGATGTTGGTGTTGGTGTTGTTGTGGTGTTCAAATTTCCACCTTCTGAGGATCTCAGAGTTTTTTGCTGGTGTCTTCAGGAAGTGTTGGAGCTGGTGATCAGCAGCAAGGGTTTTCTCTGCTAGCCTGGCTACCCCGGCTACCATCTATAATCCTATGGTAAAGCAATAGGATCTTTTGCCATCCACCCCAATTTTGCCATAAAAGGGTGGTATAAACCATCAAAATGGTGATGGTTTATTATTGCTTTACTGACATTACTGGTGAATCTCCATTTTCAGGAACCACGGCCTACTAAAATTGGCCTTTTCGAGCCGAGGCATGGCCATCGGAATTTGATCCTTGCCTGAAAACTATGGATCTGTCACCGTGGGCTACGACCTGGAAATCTTTGAACAATGGAACAATGAAAGTTGAAGAGGTATTTAGATCAGTGACATGTGGATATCTAGAGATAGTTTGATCAGTATTTGGAAGTGTTCTCAGAGACCTCAATGCTTTGGAGTATTCCTTTAGATCCATTTGCGTTTTTGCCTCACATGTCGTGCCATTGCCGCAATGCAAAACTTGAGGATTCGATGTGCCACCTTCTCTCCTGATTCCGCTTACGTTTGCACTGGCGCGTTTGATGGTGTGGCCAAAGTTTCTTGACAGGGAGTGGGTCAAATGACCCTCTGGTAAACTAACATAGCGAACTGGAAAATCACCATTTTTAAGTTCGGTAAACCAACTATAAATTGGCAATTTTCCATGGAAATCACCATTTTTAAGTTCGGTAAACCAACTATAAATGGGCAATTTTCCATGGCTATGTTAAATTACCAGAGGGTATGTCAAAGATGTTTTTTGTTTTCCCAATGGCTTTACCCGCTACACATCTGTTCTCATTCCAGTCGTCATGGATGACAACGACTTAGTATGGCTTAACCAATGGTGACGACTGGGGATCCCCCATGATTTAAGAAACCCCCAAATGATCTGGTTTCAGATTTGTTCGGTTATGCGGAGTTATTGTGTTTGTACATTCATATGTGGCATCGACCTATCAAAGAAGCAAACACGACGCAGCTCCCTTCAAGAACCCAATATTATCGTTCACATATATGTAGTATACATATATACTGTCTAGAGTCTACAAGTGTATATTTATAGATACATATACACCTAAACATGTGCATGTAATCTACAACATAATATGAATACAACATATTATGTATATATATATATTATACATTATATATACATGTTGTGTATATATATATAAGTGTGGATTCGTATTCCCTCCAAAAAACAATCCTTTGTCTGCAATGATCATTTAAGTGACTTCCGTCATAGTGTCATTTCAACCGCAGTCATCCCAGTTGAGACAACCATATCACATCTAGTACTGAATAGAAAGTGAGGTTACATGCCACATAGACCCTCCAAGTGCCCATAAAAAAAAGAAAAAAACTAAAATTCCCAAGTCACACTCACACCGCATACTTCTGCCACCATTTTTCCAGGTAGAGAGGGTCACGTGGCACTAACTGGGATAGCCCCACAAATTTCCCGGACTTTGCAGGTGGTTAATGACCCTATAAGTGGATTAACCCTGCTTATCCCAGCAACCCAGGGATATAAGCTACTTATGATTCCTGGGCTGATCCTCCATGTATACTTTCCGGGAATCTTCCAAAAAAGTTGGATACTGAAAGATACGGTTTATTGCTATGTATAGGTCATCCCTTTTTTTTATTCCATGAAAAATCATGGTAAGTCATTTTTTTTTTCCGCTCACAGTGAAAAATCCCACAAGAATCATATTAATCTGGATTAATCCACCAAATCATTATGAATGACTATACATCATTTACAGTATATCCCAGTAAAATTCCAGTATATGGATCCCATGAAAGAAAAAACACCATGAGTTAACCATGAGTTAATCAATTGTGATTCCATAATGCTAAATTATGATCAGCCATGAATCACTATAAATCATGCATATCCCATTATAATATAATCCATCTATATCCCATTAAATCATATTAAATCATTATAAATCATCCATCAACCACTATAAATCATTCAATTAATCATTACTAAACCATTATAATCACTATGATCATTCATTAATTCACTATAAATCACTAGAAATCATTATAAATCACTATAATTCACTATAGAAATCATTCTCATCACCAGTATATATTCACCTTCCGAAAAAAGAACAAAAAAGTGCTGCGTTCCCCCGAGATGTGGAGCGTTCTGCGTGGCGAGTGCCTTCGCACCTTCGCCGGTCACGACGCCTTGGTGAACAGCGTCGCCTTTTCGGAGGTGGGATCCAGTGGAGGCAGCCAAACATCGGCCAGAAAACATTTTGGGATCCAGGCCCCAGTTCGGAATCGCTAAGTTGGTGCAAATAACTATAATAACTAGGACTTATGGTAGATATATCTTTAGTTAATGGGATTATAAACCAACTTATAACTTAGTGTATGATACGCTTAAATAGCTATATATCTGGTTGGTGGTTTGGAACATGTTTTATGACTTTCCATTCAGTTGGGAATGGAATATTCATCCCAACTGACGAAGTCCATCATTTTTCAGAGGGGTAGGTCAACCACCAACCAGTATAGCTAGATTTCGATGGGGCCCCATAAACCAACTTATCATCTCCTGAAGGGTGGATGGTTGCGAAATCCGACCACCGAAAGGATGGTTGAAACATGTTGAAACCCCAACAAAATCATGAGATGTTTACCACCTATCAACTGGTGCGGGATTCCATTTTATATTTTTTTGAATATCACCATCAAATGCTTGGTTCACAATCAAAGTGTTTGGTTCAACATGGTTCAACATGGTTCAACATGGTTCAACATGGTTCAACATGGTTCAACATGGTTCAACATGGTTCAACATGGTTCAACTGGATATATTATCCCCTTTTTTTTCGTAGTTACAATGGTTCTTAGGATGTCTTAGGATATATATATATAGTAAAGTAAAGTGATTTGTTTTCACATGGGTCAAGTTACCTATGAAATTACCGTATGACTGGGGGAAGAAACATGTAGTTATACCAGCTATTTTAGGGTACCTAGGGTACCAGGGTTTTGACCAAGCAGCTATATGGAGATTTCCGTTAAAATGTGGGGGTACCCCAAATCATCCAAGTCATGGATGACCATGACTTTGGTTAAAAACTTATGGTGACTTGGGGGTTACCCCATGACTTAAGAAACCACCCAAGTCAGGATGTAACTTTTTCGCAAGTTTGGAGATTGTTTTTTAGATTTATGTGAAAAGTTGGTAGGAATCACGGTGAACTAGATGGTTTATTGATGGATGCTGATGGCAATATATAGTTTTTGTATGTTTTTGTTTCTTCAAGTACAGTTGGGTTTTATCAACACCATGAAACTTTTGGGGGAACCGCCGTAACCAATGCGGTAGATGGTTGGATGATGAATTACTCTTGGATATTGGCAGTGGTTGGGCTACTCCATCAAATGCGGAATGTTCAAACACCGTTCAAAGTCGCCAGGAATGAAAACAACACAAAATTGAGATAATTTTGTTGAGATAGTGTTAGTAAAGCAATACAATAAACCACCCATTCTTTGATGCATTTATACCACCCATGTATGGCGAAATTGGATGCTGGATCCTATTGTTTTTACGAACAGGAACAAGACACACAACAAAAAACACAGGGTATTAACAATGGTAAGTGTTAAAATATGAGTAAAATACCAAGTTAATACTTGTTAAAATACTACAATGCCATATTAGATATGGGTATTTGCCCCAGTATCGTAGTATTTTAACCCATTTTGTATAGGTCAACTCAGGGTCAAGGCAGATCAAGGGATGACATGGTGTGGGTTTCCCAACAGGAACCCACGGTTCAAGGGGAACAAATGGGTGTGGTTTCCCATAAGCCATCCAATGCGGAGATCTGAATTACCACAGTTAAGGGAAAGGGAAAGAAAAAAACGGCGACCAGCAAGAACAACAATGAGCTCTTTGCGACCTCACTGGAAGAATGGTTTAGATATATATGGAATAACTCATATTATGAATAGCTACTGTATCCCACAATAGCGGTGTTTCAGGTCAGTGATTAAAATTCATCTAGCCATCCACCAGCATCTAATCGTAATTAACAGCAATGAATCCATGAATGAGCATCTGAGAAACCAAAGGGGACTTGGCCGGGCATTGCCAAAAGAGGATATTGATCTGTAAACCACGGGGATTTTGCCATAAAGACATGGGGCAACAGCAGCCCTGGTGCTGTGATGACATGACAGTTGGATGTTCCCAGCACTCGCTCAAAGAACATTCTACCGGAAACCCCGTACGGCCCGTACGTTCAAGGGCCACAGGTCGCAATGGTTTCCTGCAACATGTCCCCGTGTTTACGGTAAACGCATCGAATGAGACATCCAGTGGCCACTGGAGATTTGAATAGACATTACATGCTGAAACTTACGAGGGACACCATCAGTCGCATTGGGAGGTGATATTGTCAGTCACTTTCTTACATGGACAGCTACTGGTACATCATGGTCAGGAGTTCTAATCTGCATATTCATATGCTAAAGCTTCTTTGCTATGGATCCAAATAATTGCATTCTCAGACTCAGAAGGTACTTACCCCCTAAATCATACTCCAGTTGCACTCCCTCAGAAGATACGGCTGGATCCACAGGGTTTAGATTAGATTGAATGTTTACTGTATATATGTGGGTTTCCTAAAATTGGGTACCCCTAAATCATCCATGTTATTTTCGAATTTTCCATTATACACAATCCAGCTGTTGGGGTACCATGACTATGGAATGTCTACAACCAACCATGTTGCATAAATTCATGAAAAATCCAGGTCCTGAAAATGGAAGTGCACCATATTTCAGGCAAATTATTTTTGGGGTGGGTTATTCCCTTAAACTAAACTTATTACTCGTATGTATACGTATATATCAATATGATTTACCCGCAATGGTCAATCCTTAATTCAATGGGAAAAATCACATATCAACCAGTGGATTTGGGAATGTTTAGAACCCATCCCATTGATCCACAGTTTCCGCATCAAAACAACGGTTTTTTCAGGGTTTTTTCCGCGTCCCAAATGGCAGGACTGCACGCAAGTCTTGACTTCTTCAACAGATTCGACTGCCGCATGGCGCCAACGCTAGAAGGTGTAGAAATGTGGACACTGGATCGATGTTTGGGAACGTGTTACCCTCCCAAGATGGAGCCGTAATGTTCCGAGATGGACATGTTCCGCTTCCAATTGTTTTGAAGTTTCTTGGGGTATGGATCTTCAGTGATAAATGAATAGAAACTAATGATCTAGCAGTTCCGAACTCCGGGCTGGAATGTGGATCCAGCTGAAAGTGAGCCTGATGGTGCATGATACTGGCCTGTGATTCTTTGATATTTAGGATCCAAACCTCATGAAGAACCCACAAGAATTCTGCGTCCTGTGTTTTTTTGGAGATGATCCAGTCCCCTACGTGCTTTTTTTTGGTTCAGCAGTGTGCAAGTGGCATCTAAGTTGCTGTAGATGAGCCAGCGAAGTCAATGATGTTGCGTGAGACTCCGTAAGATGTGGGAACAAATGAGATTCGCAGCCATGGCTTATCATCGAGCAGCCACTTGGTACCCTCTGGTTATGTCAAAATAGCTGTTGAAAATGGCCATTTATTTGTGGTTGATTTACCTATTAAAAATGGTGATTTTCCATAGTTATGTTAGTTTACCAGAGGGTAATTTAAAGGGACTTTACCATGAGGTCACTGCGATTGATAGTTTGTAAGCGGAAATCCTTGTAAGTGATTATTTTCAACTTAGGAAACACTAGCATTCATACCAATATATACCAATAGAACATTCCCTTCAGCTTGATTTTGTGTGTTCCAAGACTAATTTCTTCCTGCCGCGTCCCATTTCCCCATATTTCCCCAAGCTTTTGCCAAAGCCCCTTGGGTGATGCCTCCACCATTCCCAACGCCATGACTGGGGGAGTATCCGGAGTATCCGATAAGGATGAGCAGTGTTCAAAAACCATGGTGATTGATGATTTTATGTCGGGGGATATATACTATCCTATCTATATCTTTGTATATGTATATATATATACATACATACATACATACAGACAGACAGACAGACAGACATACATATATATATATTTATATACATGAATGTAGATTATATATATATATATATTGATTGATTGTCACTGTGGATCATTATCGTCATAGTAATACATGACCTGGGAATCCCTTTGAACACATCAAACCAACCAGTAACAGTGATGGCTTTTGACATTTCGGGTGTTGACTTCGATGACTTCGGTCCTGAGGCGCGTGTGTGGAACGTCTCGGATGGCCAGTGCCACGTGCTGCTGAAGGGCCACAGCGGGGCTCTCCATTCGGCCGTCTTCTCGGCCGGTTGAGCACGGAGGCGCAGGGGTTTACCTGCAAAATCCAGGCGATTTCACAGGAAATATGGGGATTTCCCATGGATTTCCATAGTCTTGGGGGTACCCCCATAGCTGGATGGTAATGGAAAATCCCATTAAAATCTGGTTGGTGGTTTGGAACATTTTTTTTCCATATATTGGGAATCATAACCCCAACTGACTTTCATATTTTTTCAGAAGGGGTTGAAACCACCAACCAGAAATGGATGATTTATCTTGGGGTATCTCTGATTTTGGGGGTGAACATCCATGAAAACCCAACTCCCCGAAAAGGTCCACCGCCAATCATAGCCGTGCAGTGTTTGGCATGTTTTTTGTCCGGAAGTTTGACCGATCTGTGTTTTTGTCGTGAGGAGTTGCATCTGACGCCTGATGCGGACAGTTTGACTTATCTCACCGCAAATGATGGCAATGGTAAGGGATACCCCCAAAATAGCCAACATCTCAGGTCAGTGAAAAAGCTTGCAGGATATGCCACAAACCATGGCACCCGCAATTTAAACCTGGCCAATGGGAATTTGAGGAAGAAAACATCGACCTATTTTTTCTCCATGGCCAGTTTAGAGTACCACGTGGCTACCAATACCAAGATCTGTGTTTTTTTCCCTGAGACACTTCACCCTTGAGTTTTTGGTTTCGTCATGCTTCGCCCCATCATTTTTGGCCCACCCAGTGCCTTGGAGGATCGACGATACTGAAACACACAGAAGGTTTCAAGTGCTTGGTGAAAATGCACCAAGATGTAGCTAGTGAAAGGAACTTCGAGATGTCCCAACTAGTTCCACACTGGTCACGAACATGAGGAAGCTGATGAAACTCCGTGCTACAAATCATTGATTTGTCCATGATGCAGGCTGCAAGGGACATCTTCAGAATAGCCAAGGCTGAGTTGGAGGTTTCAAACATCACGATATGTGATGTGTTCCATCCATAGCTGGGATAACATCCCCACTTGACTTTCAGGTTTTTTTTTGAGGCCCAGGCTCCATCAGGCTCCAGTGGCGAACAACCACCAACCAGACTCAGTTGGGAAGTGACAAGAAGCTCCCAATTTCACACGCCCTGCGAAACCGCGGCAGTTTCGAATTCGATTCGTCAGCTCGTGTGGCACTGGGAGCTGAAAAGAATGGAGTGACCGGCATGAAACAAACTGGGATCTGGGTGCGTCTGAAAATGCGGACACCCATATGGCCATATATATATATATATAATGTCAACCCCGGATTAATAAACCATGGTTTATTGATTAGGGGGTACCCTCCAAATAGTCACAATATGGTACATAAATGGTACATAAATGGTACCCTCCCAATTAAACAGCCTAGGGTTTTTTTAATCCAGTATATACGAGCGCACTATTTTCAGACAAGACCAACTGATTGATGGCTTCAAGTATTCGCAGTTGTCGACCTTGTTTGGGAAAGTAGCAATTGGTGGTTTAAATACATCTCAGCTTTCCTTCCTTATAACGAGAACGTATTGGCTCGCGCTTTCAAGCAACCTCTATTTATTATTTGCAGTAAATTGACAGATGTTGAAATCACCAAGAGATGTTTAGCAAGATATGGTTCAATACTTGATACTTGGTGGTTTTCTTAAAATGGCGGATCCCCGCACCATGGGTTTCAATCCCAAATGGTCTAACCCCGTGTACCGTGTTCACGATATACGCTTCCACCAAGACCAAGGTGTCACTCATGGAGCAGCGATCCTGTGAACATTTCATGTATTTGCGATTTCATGTTTGCCTGATCTTCAAGGGTCGGGTGTAAAGTTGCTTTTAATCACTTTAATCTCAAACAAACCTTAATTATGAGGATGAGGTCACTATTTCGTAGGTGACTATTTGGGCTGGGCCTGCGAAGGTGGAAAAATAAGAAAAATAAGAAACAATAAGGAAAAAACAGAACATGAAACATATGCAAAACAATGCACATAAAAACAACTAAAACTACATAAGGAAACATAAGAAAAACAAAAATGCAAAATAAGAAAATATGATTAAAAAAGAAACAATGAGCAACAATAAGAAACACAAACAAAAACATATAACAAAATAATAATAACAATAATAATAAAAAAATAATAATAAGTAAATAAGAAAACAACTTTTTTGGGAGGCCCTCCAAGGATTTGTTTATTGTTTTGTTTTAACTTGTGTTTATTGGTTGCCCTCTCAGTTGGTGCCCTACTAGATAGTGCGTTGGTTCTCACATAAGAACAAATTGATGTGATGTATAGTATATTGCCTAGAAATAAGGGGAGGCTCTTGAAATTTTTGAGGATCCCCAAGTCACCATGGGTTTCAATACTAAGTCACGATCATCCATGATTTGGATGATTTGGGGTACTCCCATGACTTAGGAAACCTCCTTATCTAGAAATCATCAAGGTGACTCGTGGTTGGGGGCCCCAGGGCAGTTATTACAATTTCTTATTGTAACAGACAATACTTATTACCCTCTGGTAAACTAATGTAACTATGGAACATCACCATGTTTTATGGGTAAATCCACTATAAATGGCCATGTTGCATAGCTATGTAATAAATTACCAGAGGGTACATCACATTACATCAATATATGCCCATTGCGTCCCATACCCATGATATCCCATGAAAGATCATTATACCCTCCAGCGGTTGTCCGCAGGTCGCCCCCATGAAGTTCTCAGTCCAGGAGGCTGAAGGTTTTTGTTTTTGTGAAGACCAAACACAACCAGATATTGGATAGGTTGATATTGATAGATCAAGATATCATCCAATAATTCAATATCTATCAAACATCTGACTTCACTATGTCACTATTACTATTATCCTTACAATGACAATGCTGATAATTCATCATAACGACTTCCGCTCCTTTTTGGGGGCTGCACTAAACACGAAACTCCAATATAAACATCCTTACAAGCCACCTAAAAGCTTCCACGACCTCTGTGGGAACTGTGGTTATTCATTTGGGTAATTTTGGATATAAGGCTAAGGACATACGGAGGTTTCCTAAGTCATGGGGCTACCCCCAGTTATCACCCATTTGATTGTCTGATTTACCATCCAGCTCTTGGCGTAGCCCCCCAGCCATTAGGAAACCTCCGTATGCCACACCTGGCAATCCGCTAGATGAATCAGCCTACTTCGAGCGTCTGTGCCAGATGAGATCCAGCTAGAAGGGTCCTGATATTTCCGTGATGAAGTGGAACATCATCATTACCCTCATAAATTATCAGTTCGACCCTGAAAATCACCCATTTTCAGTGGAGACTCATCTTCCAACCAGTATCTGGCAGGGTCTATCTAAATTTACGGGAGGGTAATATGTTTGGTTGTCAAACAATCCCATCCACCTAATATTCAACAACACCAGAAACCATACTTAGATATACGGAGGGGATCTTAGGGGATTTACACATATTTGGGACCATTTAGGTGGTGTTTTATATTTGGGGAAATTGGATTAGTGGCAACCCTACCAAAAATGGTGGTGTGTATCCCTGATCAACTCTTTGTGAGTTCTTTTGAGGGACATGGAACATGGATATGATTCATCATTGGATATATTCGGGATAGAAAAGCCCATGTTTGAGACTGATCAGGGTAGATCAGTGTTCTATCCATGACTTACCCTCTGGTAAACTAACATAACTATGGAAAATCACCATTTTCAATGGGTAAATCCACTATAAATCACCATTTTCAATAGCTATTTTGACATAACCAGAGGGTACAGTTTACAGCGGCAGAAAGGTTGGGACTCCGCTGGTTCTTGTGGATTCATCCAGCCCTGGTTCGTCTCGAACTGTTTTTGGGCGTCTCGATGGAGTAATGAATCCTTCAACCTTCGCGAATGGGTGGTGTTGAAGACCATATATCTCTCTGGGTAAATTATATCACTGTTCTCCCTCACTGGAAATCATGGTTAGTAAGGGAAATCATCCCCAAATGGCCGTTAGTGAAATATTATAATTTACCCAGGAATCTCTATAAAGCTACTGATTCTCGGAGACTATGTTAGTTGGGGGGATGGTATATAGTACTCTGAATTCTCTGCGAAATCGTCCCCCGAAGGCCCAACATCCGCCGTATTTACGAACAAACGTAGACGAGAGGAGATAGCTGGGATGAAACGGGAGGAGGATTCATTGGTCAGACCAATTGCTTTTACGAATCATGATGAGCAGCATATATTGAATTAGCATAAATTTGCTGCAAAATGCTGCAAATCAAGACACATTAGTCAACATGATTTATCCAAACATGTTTGAATGTAGGACATGGCTCATTTTCGCCCAGGTGCCAGAGAGAAACAAAAGACACATTAATGTTGTGTACGGGTTAGTATGGGTTAATTGTGGGTATAACTTATGGGATAGTTATGGGTTCTCAGAAACCCGGTTTTCCTGTGATTCCCAATATATGGGTTTTGTAGGAGAAAAATATGGGACAAATTCGGCTCAGTGGGAAAAACACGGTGGAACTCCGATAAAAACACGTTATGCCAGGAATTCCAAGCTGAAATTCGGAAAATGTCAAGCCAAAATACTGTACATAAATTCCTGGCCGGAAATTCCAGAAGCAGACAATGCCCAGCCAGAAATGTTGGTATTCCATCTGAAATAGGTTTAGATTATAGGACACATGCTATAAGGCAACTATCCTTCGTTGGTGTTAGTGGGGTTTTAGGCACAAATTCTGTCCATTCAGGTGAAAGGATGTTCACTTTACATGAAAATAATGTCTTTTCTTCCATCCTGCAGCAAATCCCAAACGGTCGCCATCTAAGATATATATATATATATATTTATTTATATTATATCTACATAATGCAATAAACATTGGCACTCAGAAGATCAGTGTTTGTTGAGAAAAGCATTTTCTGGTCTTTGCTTTTTCCGGAAAATGTTGTTGTTTTTGTCTTGCAACATGCATGGAAAAACTGGGTTTCTGAAAAAGGAGCTGCAATTTTTGTGGGTCCATCTTTTGGCTCTTATATATAATATTGTATATTATATATATAATTGTATATATATATATATATTATATTTATAGTATATATTTCATATATTATATTTCATATATATATATATAATACACATATTGGGAAGTTTTAATGAACCGTCTATGAACTGGGAGATCCCGTGGTTTACCAAGATCCTAAGGCTCCACGGATTTATGGTTGGAAAGAATCTCAGTATAGTAATGAACTCTATTTTCTGTAACCAGCGTTTCATCTGATCTCTAAAGCTCCCCAATATGTGTATATATAATATATATATATAAAGATATAATATATATATATACATATATATATTTTTTTCTGAACTAGGACCCTTTCATCATGTTATGAACCTTCCAATGGTAGCGCAAGCGCTCGATCTGTCTTTCTGCGAGCACATGCAGGCTGGCGACTTTTGTTATATGCCAGTCTTTTCTGCACTGTGTAAAGGCAGTGGTTTCCTTTGGGATTCATTTCAATGAGAAATCTAGGTTGATCGGTTGATCCATCCTGCTTTTGTCATGGGTTTTTTTTAAGCTTTGGAGGAGAACAAAGAGAAACGGATATCTAGCGAGATTGTCTATGTGAAAGCCCACCACGGAGATATCAGAGACGTCCGTTAGTGATGGCTCGCAGAGCATCAAGTTATTATTACAGCAAGCGTCCAAGTGGATACATGCTCGGTTGTCACATTGAACATGTTGACCTTTGGGCCTTTGAGGAAACAGGCAGATGCTGTCCCAGCCCGCAATATTGAGTCGGGGGCGATGGGCGTGGTTGATGACATGTTACGTCTTTTGCTCATAGGGCCGGGGATGTGCGTCAGACTTGTCTTAGACCACGCAGCCCTGCAGCTTCAGGTGGTTTTGTGCCCCCACGGTGCCAATGCCAGATGCGTGCAATGCATAGGCTGGAAGACCAAGCATGCCAGGCCCAAAGCATTTGTTTGGCATATCTTGACAGAGGCCTTGTAAGGCATGTCTTATGGGCCAAAAGCACGTGAGGAAACGAAGCAGTTGCTTGCTGCCAACAGCAAGGATGTTCTTCTGGATCCTTTACTTTCCAGGCTCACATACCATGCTAGGGCAAAACCAAGCTTGGACAACCCAACTGTTTCTGTGCGGATTGCTGTGAGGTGAGAGGCTCAGAAACATGCAAAATCATACAAAATATTTGCTTTGGCCCCATTGTCATGGTCACCTTGCGTTTCTGACTTAGCCCTACTTCCGGCACCAAGTGCTGCGCCCACATCTGACAACCTTCGGCCCACCTACCTGCTAGTACCAGCATGCACTTTTTGTTTTCTGACAGGAAACACTGTGGAAACACAATGCTTTTCTAAGGCCGACATGCGCCCCAGGCTCCAGTAAATTCATACGTCGGGCACCTCATTGCGGCGACCCTCGTCCAAAAGTGTCCTGCTTGAATCGTTTGAATGCCCGGAAATTCAACGAGAATTTTTGCACATTGTTTTCATACAATATTTCACCACCTGCCAGCTGACGGTTTCTAGATTTTATCAGGGTTGCGTTCTCCTTCCTTCTTTCCTTCCTTCCTTCCTGCCTTCCCTTCCTTCCTTCCGTCCGTCCGTCCGTCCTTCCTTCCTTCCTTCCTTCCTTCCTTCCTTCCTTCCTCCTTCCCTCCGGACCTCAACTGCCAGCTCCAGATCTCAGTGGGCACTGCCGGGCTGGTGCCATCGCGAGCTCAGGAGGCATGGCCTGCGACTGCCGGACTTCAACAGCGAGCGCGCAGCAGTGTCAATGTCAGAGAAAATGTCAGACTAGAATGCCAAGTAGAATGCCATGCCAGATAGAATGTCGGAATGTCAGGTGGATGCCAGAACGAATGTCGGAATATATGCCAGATAGATTGCCACAAAGAAAGTCAGAATAGATGCCAGAGCGAATGTCAGAATAGATGGCAGATAGAATGTCGAGTACATGCGAGAAAGAATATCACAATTTTTATGCCATGTATATTTCCACATGCTATGTGAGTGAGAAACTATGTTACAATGTTCTTTCGCAGCGGGGATCACTGGAAGTAAAGTAATTCATTATATTTATATTATTTTATAACCATGTTCCTTACCCCGGTTCAGTTGTTAAGTTGCTTGCGGATGGTTTGGTAGGATTCTACGCAGGATTGGTTCCGAATGAACCAACTGTTTGTTAGGTTTCTTAAACCAGATAACCCTGAAAAAACTCATTCGAAGTGCGTTGCCGTCTCCTCAAGTTCAGAACCTGGTGAACGTTTAGAGTTTGATGAAAAGTGTCGATGAAAAGTGTCTCGTCCCCCAAGGCACCCCCGATGCACGCATGCCGCAATCTGTTCTCCAATTATATGGTTTGGTCAATACGATCCTGTGAAACTGACTGCTAAACAACTTCACCTCCAACATTCAAACGTTCAATACCTCTGGTGACAAGACCCTGACGTCGCTTGGATGCCTCACTTGGGGGCTATGGCGTATTTGAGGTCGAATTTTGCAAAGCCTATTCAGCCTGATGCTTGGTGCTGCAACTGCCGAAGTGATTATGTTAGAGGTTTCCTAACATGAACGATCCCCAAAACCACAGGTTTCAATACCAAAATGGTCTAATTTTGAATGATTTGGGGGTACCCTACGTTAGGAGACCTCCACATGGTTTTGGACAAGCACTTATTGTACCACATTTTTTTGGGGATCAACATGGTGGGCTGGCCATTGCTGAGAATTTGCGACAGAAATGAATGATAAGTAGGGACCATGAAAAAAACACGGTTGCAACCCAAATTTCGCAGATGAAGGAGGTTTTGGAGGCAAATGGTGGTTTAACCCAAAGTGTTTCTTTCCTCGCATGTGCGGTATATACTTTGGTTAGTTCCAGGCGATGATTTGGACATATTGTCCTTTGATTGCAGGGTTCTTTTGATCAACGGTTAGGGCAACCTGGATAATTGTTGTGAGCCAATGAACGGCAAAGAGTCACACAAGGCTTGGGATCTCCCGTTCATATATCTAATCCAAATGTTTTTTTTTGCTGGGTGGAGTTTTCCTGTTTACACTGGTAAGACCATTTTCTTACTCTGTATCCTTTAGTGATCCACCCTTGTATTTTGTTTGGTCGAAGGGATGAACAACACATAGCAATGTTGATTGAAACCCTGGTTTCAGACAGGAACTACAAATTGGTTTGCATGATGTTTGGTCCCCAATATCCCAGTGTTTCTAGTTGCGTTTGTGTAGAAATTTCTGAAAGGTTCCTTGATCCTCCCATTGGTAACGGTAGCTCCCCAGCTCCGGGGCTGATCACTGGTCGTCCATGTTTCCAATTGGTTGATTCAAATTGGATCAATACTATCGGTGGGTGCTCCTAATTATAAGTTGTTTTTTAACCACCATTAACTATATAGATAATCGCCACCCCTTCAAGGTTGCTTTTCAGGGGGGGACCATACCAAAATGATCCAAAATGTAAGCTGCATATTTTGGGACACCGCCTTGACTGTAAAATTGGTCGCTGAACATCCCCCAGGTGTCGTTTTTGTGTGGAGGGTCTTCAAAATACCTTCAAAATGTAAGCTTACATTTTCAAGGCCCTCAAAAGCACCTTGAAAAACATAGCTTACATTTTGGTTGCGTTCCCCACGCTTAAAACGGTTGTGATTATAGATATGATATAATATTATTAACTATATGTCCCATCAAGCCTAGTTTTTGGAGTTATCTGTGCCAACTTAGCGTGAAACCAACCTGGCGCCCCACCTTGTAGCAACAACATCGGCCATCAAAGCTGTTGATCTCCAAGACTATCTAAGTATATTCCAGCAAACCACTTGTAATCCAAATTATATCTATATAACTGTGGTCGTTTTGTGCTCATATATCAATAGGTGGTGGTTCATCCTAAGTATAGGTTGTAACCCCAGTCATGAGTGGATGAACCGTACTTATCCCACTTATAAATGTTAAAAAACAGCGGACATAAACTACTTACGATTCGTTGGATGAACCACCATGTAGCCATGGCCATTTCTGGTTCCCCCGCTGCGCGGCGAAGGCCATCCCATACTTTGAGCGTCCCAGCACAGAAGAAGCCGTACAGCTGGGTGTGGGCAGACCCAGGAGGACGAATTTTCAGGGATTCATAGCCCTGTGATCCTAAGTACCCATTCAGTGGTGTTATCCCATTCATCTAACTGGCTAAAACAGTTGCGATTCGATGATCCTCCAAGTGTCCAGGAATCTTTCGTGGTGCCATGGTGTTAACCGCTGTTAACCTCCTGGCTTTTGTTAGTCTCCTAGCTGGCTTAGCTCATTTAGAAGTGGGTGATCTTCCAGGTTGGAGATCGGGCTCCTGCTGTTGATTGTTGCAGGTTTTCCGAACGGCTGGGGTACTTTTAAGCACTTTTCTCACTGGCCACACCGCAACATGTCATGTGGTTTCCATATTTCCATGTTTTCTTTTGCAGGGGTGCAAGACATGGGATATTTCATGGGATATGAAGCAGTGAAACTAACTACCCTCCGGTAGTCAAACATAGCTGGAAAATATTCGCATTTAGTTCGAACTTTATATTATACTGATTGGTAGTTTGGAACATTTGGATCATTTTTTCCATTCAGTTGGGAATGTTATCATCCCAACTGACGAACTCATATTTTTCAGAGGGGAAGGTATACCACCAAGTAGTATATCAACTGGTTGGTGGTTTCAAACATTTTTTATTTTCCATAATATATGGGATAATCCTTCCCATTGACTTTCATATTTTTCAAGATGGTTAAAACCACCAGCCAGAAGTAGTATATCAATATCCGCATACCATTTGGTAATTTTCTGCATCCACTATATATCGGTAACCCGGGTGATTTGACCGAAACAATGTTCGGCTTGTAGAGCTATGTTTTTTAGGGAACTGAAAGGTGAGGGATGTGGAAAATCAACATGTTGAAGTATGATTTGATGAAGTAAATCATAGTATATCGTTCATGATTCAGGGGATTTGGGGTTTACTATACCCTACTTTCAGAACCAGCCTAGAAATTTTCCCCATCAACTGCCCTATGTTTTTTTTCCCAACGAAAGCTCCATGGCTAGGTGCCTTTTCGCAGCCTGGCTGCCGGCGAGGCAATGTCTGGTTGGTGGTGACTGGAACATTTGGATGATGACTTTCAATTCAGTTGGGAATTTTATCATTCCAACTGACTTGAACTCCATCATTTTTTCAGAGGGGTAAGTATACCACCAACCAGTTTTTAGTTGTCGTTTTGCATCTCTAGTGACTCTAGTGACTTCCATGTTGTATGTAGTTTGAGTAGTTTGAATCTCTAATTCTCCTGATCAAAGCATAAAACGGTGTTTACAGGCTTGCTCTGACCTATTATAGGTAAATGTGTGCCCCTTTTGTGCCACACACTTGGGGGAAAAACATGCTGATTTACATCTTCGAGTTAGCCAAATTCCCCCCTTTTACCATGTTTTCTTAATGTATAGCTTGGTTTGCCTCTATTTTCTTAGAGATGACGCCATTAACAAAACCAAAGCATGCTGATTGGTAGAATCATGTAGAATCATTGTTTCTTTTCCGGGTTGGATGTACGGATAGGTTCCATGTGTGTGTGTGTGTTTTTGAATGCATTCGAGTTTGTTGGTTGGTCAATATCCTTGTTGTGTTTATCCCATTGCCACTGTTGATAGCTGGATATATAGCCTTTCTATGTCTAGTGATGTTCGTTCATTTCCCGACTTTCTGGGATTACGGCGTCTTGCTGTTGACTGACATTGGATGTGCTCCTGTTGTTGAGCACGGGCATTGAAATTCCAAGTCTGCAAACTAGTTTCCATATAGCTATAGTTCTTTTTGCTCACCTCCCCATGGGGAAAAATCCAAAATACGCAAACGGCTATAAAACACACATCTTAATTTAAGTTAACGTTTTTTGAGGGTTGCCGCCCAGATTTACTCCAACAAGGGTGTAAATGGGTGAATCAGCCCTATGTTTGGGGTTGAGAATGGTGAAAGTCGCCTTTTCTTTACCTTGGCAGTTGCCTTTCAAAGATAGCTGCCTTTCCGTTGCAGATTCTCTTTCCCTCTTTCTGCGCGTTGGTCGGCGACCTTGAGAAAGGCGCTTTAAAGGGTGGCAGATGATGGGTCGGCAGTGCCGGCAGTACGAAACTACCCATCCAGTTGGGTTTAGCCTGACCGCTATAGTCACTATCCAGTGCATTGGATTGCTTTAAAGCCAAAGATTTAAGGGACATCCCCAAAGTTCATGGGAGAAAAATAGGGAACGTAAAAAGGGAAAATCTTAGAGTTTTTCGTTTTGGATTAATTAATCCATGGAACTAACCATTTTCTAAAAGGTCACCCATAGTTATGTTTGTTGGTTTATTCTAACTTAAATTGGATGTATTCATTGGGATATACCAGAAGTTACTACCCATATTTAGCGGAATCCATCACGGGAAAAACATAGGATGAATTTTGGGGGTTATGACAACCTACCTGGTTCGGGATGATGACATCTCCCACAACAACTTCTCCAAGCAAATCCCACGAAATCCCATGAATTTCCATTGAAAGCACCTTATTTTTGCAGGTATATATCGGTATATATCGGTATAATAGCACCAACAGATGATCCTACAAGGACCTACAATAAACCCCATGAACTACCCTCTGGTAAACTAACAGTTTGCTATGGAAAATCACCATTTTTAATTGGAAAATCCACTATTTCTATGGCCATTTTCAATAGCTATGTAACAAATTACCAGATGGTATAGTCTGTAGTTTTCTCCTCCATTAACCAAACAGTTCACCAAATGATGTGCGTCAACTTCGCTATCGTTAAATAGATGGCCCCCAGCTTTTCACCTGCGGAGGGGATTATGTCATACCTCCAAACTCGGCGGATCCCGTTAAATCCCATGAGCTTCCACATTTTACTTCCACTCAAACATGCCGCGTTTTCATTCATTTGGGAGTTTCCAGAAATGGGGGATCCCCAAAATAGTTGGTTTATTTCATGGACAATCCATGAACATCCCATCTATAAATGGATGATTTAGGAGTAGCCCTATTTTAGGAAAACTCTATTTTTGCCGGTAAACATAGTACCATTGGATTGGACGATCCTCTTATCTGGGTCAAGGTTTGATATCAACTGGTAACCAGCACCTTAATCTTTTATCTTTTGCTATCAATGGTCAAATGTACATTCACCAGCCCAAAAAAAAACATGTTTTTTGGGAGGTATCTAAGATTGTTCGAAGACTAATTATTCACCGATTGTTACACTATGTTACACTTACATCTCACACAATAGCTAAGTTAGTTTACCAAAGATTCACCATGTTATGACAGAACCCCCTTCATAATCCTTGGAACCACTTCAGCAGCCCCTCCAGGAGGCACTTTCCTGGACTTGGGCAGTGGTTCCGGTCGCGCCGCTGTCGCTTGGGCCCTGCTACAGTGCGGCTGCCCGGTGCGCGGGTCACTTGAAAAAACGGTGCCAAAGCCACATTTTTTTCGCAGAATCGCGGATTTCTTTACGAAACATGGTATTTTTGACTGGCCAAATTTGGGATTATAGCGATTCAACTAAGAAAACATGGATTTTACTAGAAATTGTGTATAGAATCTGGTATTTCAACATGAGTGAATCTGCTTGGTGTTTACATTTCAGGGTTGTTTGTTTGGCAGCATGTTCCACCCCTCCAGTCGTCGGATCCTCCAAAAAGATCGAACAAATATTGGTAGATCCCCCAACTAACATATAGATCCTAAGAATTAGACACGGAAACCGTGGAAACCTAGTCTTGAAAGACCCCCTTTTTGGCAGGGTCTGTGTTAGTTGGGGGCATTGTATCTTGAGCTTGCTATAATTCCTTCCCCCCAACATTGCGCAGCCCTTAGAAACCATACCATGGTTTAGTAGGAGATTTACACTTCTTTGGGACCATTTAGGAGGTGTTTAATACTCCCCTATGGATCCAAACACTGTTTGACAACTTACTTGACCCCTAAATAATACCCACTGTTGCTTGAGGGAGTTATACTACCCAATATACTGGACATTATCATGGTATATATCTATCATAATCCACTATCTAGTAGCCAAACGGGATTTCATGGAATGACATTTCGGGTGTAACAGCTGCTGCTCCATTGCTGCAAGTTGATATCTGACAGGGCCAGAATTCTATCAATCTAAAAGGGGTTCATCTATCATAAGGAAAACAATGGGAAACATATGGAGGTTGCCTGAAATGGGGTACCCAAGTACTTCCTAAGAATGCATACCCCAAGTACATCCAAGCACTTCCTAAGAATGCACTTGGATCCATAGGGTTAGGGGGATGGAATGATTTTCACCACCAAAATACGGGTGGAAATCTATGCAGCTCAGGCCCACTAATCGAGCCATTGGTGTCGAAATCCGTCCGTCGTTGCACCAGACAGCGCTTCAGGCAGTGGAGTGAGGGGTGCCCTTTATATCCTTTATTGACACTTTTGCCAAACGGATGCAGGTAGTTAATTTTACTTAGATGGTTCGCAGCCATACACTAAGTCTTTGTTTTTTAATTTGTTGGGTTTACCATACATCCTATATGAAAAGCAAACCCCCAAGGTATGGCATAGGCTTAGAAATGAGTTCGTTGGATTTATGCTTTGCCCCAGGATTCCCAGATCATGACTTTTTTTTCACCACAAAGCAGCAGTTGCCAGAAATCAAACATTAATCAAAGGTGGCGCTCGGAATTTCACAAGTTTAGCCAAACATACATCAACATGCTATGAACACATCATAACACATCTATCAATGATTCAATGGCTATGAAAACATGGTTAATATTTCTGCCCTGCAGGCGGTAGGACGACTTCCTCCCAGTGTGCAAAGGCAGCTGCACCGGGTTGAACCCTGCTTTAGATTACGGAATATGTATGGAATATCTGGGGCTTTCCTAGAATGGGGGATCCCCAAAACCATGGGTTTAGGATCATCTGGGGGTACCACCACTTTAGGAAACTTTCATGTCATCAATCCATTGTCCTCAAGATATATACTGTATATATATATATATATCGATTGTAAGGATTCCCAATTTTATGGTGTGATGACCATAGAACATATAAACCTATACCATGTTTCGACCCTAGCACACATATATATATATATTGAATATATATATATACCCATTACCCAGAAAAAAAAAATTGTCGTTGTTGCGCTTGGTATATCTTTATATATTAGGTCATCTTTGGCCAGATAAGATGGACAATTGGGAGAGCAAAGGTAGAGAGTTCAATAGAATTCAATTCAAGATGAATCATGTGGTATTCACAAATGGAGGTTTCCTAAAATGGGATGGGGTACCCCAAATCATCCAAAATGAAACCATTTTAGTATTGAAACCACTGCTTTTGGCGATCCCCTATTTTAAGAAATCCCTGGCGCCGAAGAATCACAAGAGCTGCGTAATCTTAGTCAGACTTCCCAGATCTTTCCAGCAACGTTGATTCATATGCAATCGCTATTCAGGGCCAAGATAGCCCCCCAAAATGGTTGAAATGTAGCTATAGATGGTATAGAATGGATTGATCCTGATGGGTCAGTGATGGGTCCTGATGGGTCACAAGTCTCAGCCAGGCGCTTGCAGTTGCATCTGGGGGATCTCTTTGATTTTCCCCTTGAGGGCCGGGTCCCCGGGGTCCCCGGTGTGCCCACCATTGGTGGGAAGGGTTTTGGTGACTGGAAACAGTTGACTTGGTTTCATGTCAGTTCCATGAGACAACAACATGATCTGGTTGGTGGTTTCAAACATTTTTTTATTTGCCATATTATATGGAATAATCATCCCAACTGACTCACTTTCATATTTTTCAGAGGGGTTGAAACCACCAACCAGATGATGTAAACAGTTCTATTGATTTGTAAACCGTATCCGAACTACGACTCTGTTTCACCTCCATGGCCATCTATATGGCCCTTGCAGGGTACTGACACCGCATCCTTCTCTTCCCTAATTTTGGGGACGGAATGGTGGGACGGAAGCGTGAATCAGGGAGGTACCTAGACCTTAGACCGTTAATTTGCCGTGAAAAAATATGGTACTGTATGTACCCCAGAAGTCCAGTATTTTGGCAATTTTTTTCCCGGTCAACTGATTGCAGATAGTGCGCATGTTGACCAGAGATTGGTAAAAAGTGGTGCCGGAGGCAACACAAAGTTACGGTCCTCTCATTCCGTTGAAGCTCAGGGTGGGGGCCCGCTAGTCAAACATGGTTTACTGGACAATCCCAAATAAAAAGAACTTTTCCAATTTAACTGTACCTTTTTAGGGGATTTAAGGAACCGTATAGAACCAATAACCAACAAATAAAGTATAAAGATACTGGTGTGTGTTTCCTAATTATTATATATATATATATATATGTGTCATATCCCATTAAATTCAGCATGTTCCAGGATATAAATATCCTCATCAATATGACTGCAGCAACCCCTTAAACAAGATAGAATGTGGCAAATTCATGTAAAATCCGATTCTAAAAAAATAGTGATAAGTAGTCGATACGCATCAGGTTTCTGATAGTTTCTGCATTTTTGGGGGGTTATGATACCAATATGCTCCATGTATGGAATATTTACCAACATTTACCCCATGTTTTATGGCCCAAATGTAGGTATATATATATATATATGTGTATATATATATATATATACGGTGATGGGTCAAAACCTATTATTCCTCTATTTGAGGGCATGAACATCTATTTAAGAATTAAAAAATCGGGTTCGGCAGGGCATTGAGGTTTTGACTCACAGCCATACTGTATATATACTATACATGGAGCATGTGGGATATAGAATCTTTGGGTCCTGGATTTTTTCGGTCACCTCGAGGTGCAGATGTGATCCTGGTGAACAGCACCGGCTTTGACATCACCTTGATGGCGCGCATCGGCAGGCTTTGACGACACCCCGGCGTTGGACGTGGACGGGGATGACGTGAAGGTGTACGTATAGTCATACAATGTGGGGGCCCCCCAGTTATACCCTCTGGTTATGTCAAAATAGCTATTGAAAATGACCATTAATAGTGGATTTTCCCATTAAAAATGGTGATTTTCAATAGCTATGTAACAAATCACCAGAGGGTAAGTTGGTTTATAAGCCCCAGAAACTATAGTTATAAGTACCATAAACCATAGTTATTGGAGTTATGTTCACCAACTTAGCTATCGAACGGGTGCCCCACTTTGTAGATGGGTACAGGAATACAGATTAAATCACCATAGTGAATGTATAACTAGTGGGGAATATACATGAATAAACAACATACACCAACATAATGGGTAATACACAGATATAGATCATTCAGACTAATTATTTATTCAATGTCCCAGTTTGATGGCTATTAAATCACTATAGTTAGACGGATCATTCACCAACAAACCAAACTACAAGGTGGTGCCCCCTACTTATAAGTTGGTTTATAGCCCTAATGAACTATTCAAAAATTAAATAAATCATATATCCAGCACAGACCCCACTTATTGAAATTATAAGTTATATACCAACTTAGCTAACTATGGGGCACCGCCTTGTATATATGTTTATATCATTAAATGTCCCAACGTTTTGTTTGAAACATCACTGTTAGATACTTTTAGATACGATTTCAAATCAGCAGCTGTTGGAAATGACTCCACCATGTTTCTGGAAAGGGTAAACGTGCCTCTTGGCAATTTAAGCTCATACCCAAAACTGCTCAGTGGTAGAGGCCTCCTAGTTATAAGTTCGTTTATTCAAAACACAAGCATTAACTATAGTCTGGTTGGTGGTTTGGAACATGTTTTATTTTCCATAATACATGGGATGTCATCCTTCCCATTGACGAACTCCATCATTTTTCAAGATGGTTATTGCACCATCAACCAGCTATAGTTGTAAGTATCATAAACCATACTTCTTGGAGTTAGCCCCTAGCGATTTCGTGGCCAACAGCCGGCTACTTTGTATTGACCACCGCTGCCGCTGGTTCAAGACTCCTGGATGGGGCGAAGTCGCCGTGACCCGCGGCGTCAGCACCTGAGGGCCGGCAGTTTCGGGCCGAAAAGGGGTAAAAATCACCTGAGTGATTTTACAGATTTGGCAGTTGGGTATCAAACAGATTAATTATCCAATTTATCCACAATGTGAAGCCCCCAAGATAGCTAAGTTGGTTTATAACTACAAGAACTTTGGTCTATGGTAGTTATAACTATAGTTAGATGGAGGTGATAAACCAACTAACATCACTAGGCAGCCCCACATTGTAGGTAACTTGGAAAACTGGACAATATCTCCAAAAATGACAAGAATGAAGGGTTTTGGCTGTATCTGGTGGTTTGGAGGCAGCTAACTAAGGAGCTATGGGTATCCATACATATCCACTACAAGGAGCCAAAAGAAACGAGTGTCCCAACCAGGTGACGCTCGCGGCGAGGCAACTCCTTTTTTCGCACACTGGTTGGTGGTTTGGAACCATGGAATTTTATGACTTTCCATTCAGTTGGGAATGTCATCATCACAACTGAGGGGTATGTCAACCACCAACCAGCTGAGGTCATGCATAAATACCGGCTGCTCTCCAAGAAAGGTGCCAGTTCTGGGGGAATCCGGTGGAGAAGCCACCAGGAAGATGAGAGTTTTAGCTGACCTCACGATAGATTCGTTAAATATTGGGGGAACCTTAAAGAGAGCATCCACCAGGAAGATGAGAATGGAAAACCCCCATGTAAAGAGATCTAGAATGGTAATTTCCACATTTAAATGATTTTAAATGTACCTTTATATTTTTGTTCCATGTTTTTCCCTTGCCGTGCTTGATTGATTACCCAAGGGCCCAAGGGGAGTCCTTCGATCAGGTTTACGCAAATCTAGTTTAGCCAGATCTATCGTGGGGAAGGGCCATCGACAAATCACACATGGCACAGCTATTGGTAAAAAAATACTCCGAATATCTCCGAATTCTTGCAGTTGATCATAATTTAATCTACAGATCTACATATCTACATTATATATATATATATAAATGGCTATGAATTTGGGATATCCCCTCATGTTTGCAGACATCCACCTGATGGAAATACGTATTTTCCCTAGTTACAACCAATGTTTTGATGGTAACGCAACCAGCTTCATGGCTTCATGGTAAACATGATAGAATCCAGGGTTGTTGGGTTGTAAAATGTCATTTTCCATGGCAAAACCATTTCATTTCTTACAGTAAGTGGTTGGTGGTTTGGAACCTTTTTTTTTTCCCATATATTGGGAATGTCATCATCCCAACTGACTTTCATATTTTTCAGAGGGGTTGAAACCACCAACCAGGTAAGGTTTGATGGTTGTTCCTGGCAACATCTCACTTTTCATGCTGAAATCGGAAACGCGGTGAAACCGTCGTCGAAGAAAACCTGCAGGCGAGGGTACCTTTTCGGAGGTCCTGAAGGCCCAGTCCATTAAGCCTCCTGGGCCAAAATCCGGTAGGAAGGGGCTTGTCAACTGGAAGCCATGAGCCAAAGATACCAATCGATGATTTGCGGAACTTAAAACTGATGATTTTCTACATCAAACTGTGAGGATAGAATGAGGTATGACTCATGGCAAGCCACAAAAAAGTATAGAGAAGTCGAAAGTCTAATGAGTGGATATCACTTTTCTATGTTGGTTTGGGGGGTGAGCCTACCTGGTTAACGGATCATGACCTATTGATTTATGGTACTTATACTTACAGTGGGGCTTGATGGTACTTGATTGATTTTTGTTGGTAATTTATAGGTGGTGTTGGCATGTGTTGGCAACGGGCAACTGGTGGAGACTGAAGCTCCATACATTGGGATGTGACAACCCCCTTTTTCGGGGCCATCGTGGTGTTTTTTTTTTTAAAATTTCACCATGTGGGGTAAAACCGTCAGACAAACCCCTTCCAGAAATGGCCACTCAGCCACAAGTTCTTGATTAAAAGGTGTCCCCTATCATCCTTTCTGGCCCAACAAAACACCAGGATTTGAGGACCTTCATACAACTTTGAAACTGGTTGGTGGTTTGGAACATGAATTTTATGACTTTCCATATATTGGGAATGTCATCATCCCAACTGACGAACTCATATTTTTCAGAGGGGTAGGTCAACCACCAACCAGTTGAAACTTTGTCCGACTTGTCCCTCTCATGGACCTCGAGGGTCCAACGAATGGCACCTCATGATTTGGCAGTGTGTCAAAACCTTGTACCCCTGGTGAACATCAAAATAGCTGGTAAATGGATGTTCATCCCACTAAAAATGGTATTACTTGGGGTGTAATAGGTATTGATCCATACCCATTTGACATTCCAGGTCATACCCCAGTTGATGCAAAGTTGGTAAACCTATAGGTTGACTGTGGCTTGTGGCTATTAACAGCTATTGCAACTATATCGTCAGATGGGTAATAGACAAACTCGCAGTTTTGATGTCATGGAATCATGGAACATGTGCAGGAGGACCTTAAATCAATTCGAAATGAAAGATGGTGTCTTGATGTTTCCTGTAATTGTTCTCTGAAATCGTTCCATGGATATGGTGGTTTCCTAAAAATAGGGGTAACCCAGCAAATCGTCCATTTAAATATAGTTTTCCAGTAAAAAAACATCAACCATCCATCATTGGGGTATCCTTTCAGCCATGGAAAGCCGAATGACCTTGATCCTCAAGGTCCGGCAAGCATGTAGCGATCAAATGCATGAAGAACACCTTCGACAGCATCGACCAGGTGAATAACTTACGAGAAATTCAGGCAAGGTGCGAGGTGACAAAATCTCAGGGCTTTGGGGCTTCTAGGTCAAGCTTGGATGGGTAGTTTGATCTTTGTTTTGGCTATATATAAATCATTATAAATCTGGGCAAACTATAACGACCTCACTGTTCTCCCTCACTGGAATCATGTTTTTTTATAGGGGAATCATCCCAAAAAGGCCTTATTTCAGGTCAGTGAATTATTATAATTCGCCCAGCATAGAAATATCTACTAACCAGCTTAGAATTTATTTCTTCGCAGGGTATGGCAATGGTTTATAAGCAGCAAAACGGGTTGTGTAACCAACCATTTCCTGGGAGATTCATGGGAATACTATATACTAGAAAATAGTTCTGAATACCCTCTGGTAATTTAACATAGCTATGGAAAATGGCCATTTATAGTGGATTTTCCCATGAAAAATTGTGATTTTCCATAGTTATGTTAGTTTACCAGAGGGTATGTGGATTTTGTCCAGAAATGATGTTTTTTTCGGGAATACCATATCCGGAAAAACAACCGCATTCTCATGGGGAAAATGGATGAAAATGGTGGCCAGCGGAGTCAATGGATATAGGGCTACTGTACCTTGCTTGAGACCCCTGGGTGAAGTTCCCCCAACCCACCTCGAAGTTGGTTTCGAAATCTTCAGGCGTTGCGGAGGCTTGCGGGCCATCCCAACATTATCAAGCTTCATGAATCTTGGGCAAAGATGTCGTCGGGTGAAACATGGTCAAACGGTCAAAGTCGCGTAACGGCGTAGCTGGGATGACCAGAGTACACCCATTTGAGGCCAATACACCATAGTTACTGGAGCATCACTGACCTTGAACCATACTTCCTGAGCCATTCTGTTTCCAATGTATCAGACAACATCATGATATAATATAATATAATATATATAATATATAATATATATATATATATATGATATATGTATAATATATATACACACTAGAAACAAACACACACACACACCGGTTGATCTCAACGTTCTTTTTTGGCACAAATCCATCCAAAGATACTCAGGAGATTCTCTATGATGAGCCAACTGGTCGACTGGCACTGGTCTTTGAGCTCATGGACATGTGCCATGGCTGCCTTCTTGGTGCTTCACGGCCATTCCCTCAGATTTAGAGTTGTTTTTTCCGGGATTGTGTTTTTTTTGTTGCGGAGATAAGGTTGATTTATACACAACCAGTTTTGAAATTGATCTAACTAATATAGTAACCATTATAGCAACTATACTCATAGTACTCACAAGGCATAATTAATCTACGTAGGTATAAATCATGTGATGTCGTGCCACCCCCCTCCCTACCCCCCTTCCTAGCAAATTATTTTTAAGGGTCTATTAAGAGCTTAATAAGCCCCTAATAAGGTCTTATTTCTAAAGCACCAACGGCTAGCGCACTGGCGATCACCTTGTGGATAAACAACCCGTCTCGGCAGCCTCTACGTGTGGTCACTGTGGTCTGAAGAAGTCACCTTTCTGGATAGCCCAACAAAAAAAAATACGGTAGCCAGAAATAAAGGTTTCCTAAGCCATGGGGGTACCCCGCTGGATTTATCGAACAAAAACCTAAACAAAATTGGGGGTAGCCCTATTGCAAATATCAATAATTTTCGCAGAAAAATAGCCCGATGATGTCTGTCAACCCTGGAGTTTGCGAAATCTCAAGATGTGTTTTCTGGTGAAGTTTTCCTTGCCCATGCCAGGAAACACTGAGAATAAATCTGGTTCGTGGTTTGAAACATGAATTTTATGACTTTCCATATATTGGGAATTTCATAGTCCCAACTGACGAACTCCATCATTTTTCAGAGGGGTAGGTCAACCACCAACCAGAAATAGACGATTTCTCAAATTTCGACCTCGGATCCATCCAAGTCTATCCTGTTTTTCTGCTTTAAGATCATCATCTGATAGGATGTCCCGTTCAACAGCCAGTCACCCCGAAAAAGGCTATGGCGGCCAGGGATAGTGGGGGATGCGGTCAATCTATAGGACATGATTCATTGGTGTAATCAAGATAGAAAAAACTGAATATCTCACAAGTTCAATGTTTAGGCTATTTGGTTCTGGTGAAACCAAGTCCAGCATTGCCAGAGTGTGCCAGAGTAGTGATGGTTTTCCCATAGAGGGTGGTCCGATTTTAGATCCTTCCAATTCCAGTGGCAAGTCCACTAAATACAGGCTATAGATATGTACAGATCCTAGTTGAACAGCCAATATCAGGGATATATTTTCAGACTAAGTTTTTCACAACCACCGGCTCACACAACCACTCGCTGAATCAGGAACGTCTATGAAGCCATCAAGGGCAGAAGACACTATCTGCCAGAAGCCAAGACCAAACACTACATGTTCGAAGCCTGGCCGAGCCCATCACCGTTTTGGTTTTGGAAAAACCAACATTTTGAACGGTGAGAACCTAAAAAAAACATGTTCTTTTAAAGGATCTTTTCAAAACGTGTGAAAAGGCTTAAAAATGGTTGGGTTTCATTGACCATGTGAGTTTCCAGAGGCCAAGCTCGGAATTGGGAAGCCTTTACTGTGCAGAACGGATGACAAAACCATACCAATGGATTGATTTTATCGTTTCATATCGTTTCTTCCCTTACATAATAAACCAGTGACACAATGACAATGACAAAACACGCCCATCAAGCGACCAGACCGAACCATGTCCCTATCCTTCAAAACGCCACCTTTTCGAAGATCTTGAAAGCCTTACATCCCCCCATGATTTTTTTACATTCTTTTACCACGTATCCACATCTATGTCCATATAATTTCCATGTCTCAGTCTGTGGTGTCTCAGGAGATTTTGAAAGGCTTAGATCACATGCATCGCAATGGGATCTTCCACCGCGATGTGAAGCCTGAAAACTTGTTATTGCTGGACGACGAGGCGGGTCCCAAGGCTCCCAAGGCTGCGTCCCAAGATGTCATGCGTTAAACACTTTATGCATGTCCCGTCATTTCCCCATCTTTCAATGGGGTTTTGTCTAAAAATTGGCCCCAGCATTTTTCAGAACCATGTAGGGAAAACGATAAGTCACCAGTGGACGGAACGGGATACCATGTTTTCAATTGTTTTGAGACATCGACTCGATAATTAATCTATGGTGATTTTGGATTCAATTTTGGTATATACCTCCTCTACAAAGCCACGTTTTGATGTGTAACCTTGGGTATCATGACGTGCTTTTGGGGCAGCAGCTGGTCAAATCCTCAACGAGCGTGTCCATTCTTCCAGGATGTTGTAGTTAGGAAAGCATAGGAAAGCCAAATGGTGATGGATCAAAATCTATGAAATAGCTTGCGAGTGGTGGGAATGAACATCCATAAATCTCAGAGGCAGTCAGCTACATGGCCCATATCCATGTTGTGTTTATTGTTAGGAATGTAATTTGCTGGTCTATCGATGATGTGGAGGTTGTAGCCGCACAGCTGACATGGGTCAACAGCATCAATCATTCATTATATAGATTGGCATGTATCTTACATGCTTTGCTTAGTTAATAGTTATTTTGTCATTCTAATACCACGTTGTATGAAGGATGTGTGAAGGCATACTCATTACATGTTGATGCTTGTTGCTTCTGTAATCTATATCTGTACCCACTTTCCATTGCATCCCTGCTTTTGCTGCTTTGCTTCTTTCTCCATTCCCTCACAAGTGCAAAGTCGTACCACAGTACTACCCCGTTGTGCTTTGCCCTGCGTGACCTACATGTTTGGCAGCTCCCCGATTATTTCCCAATCCTTATGGACCTCAATTGATGGCGGCATCGGGGCTTGAACCACCCCATTTCGCTAAGCCCCGATGCGCGAGATTTGGGGCGAAATATCCGTCGTTGCTGGTGCTTAATCCCTGAACAAACCCTTGGTTCTCGCGCTATCTTTGTTCCCAGTTGACTCTCAATGTGGTGGCTGTGAACATATCCACCATTCACTGCGGGGTCAGCAAACCATTTCTGGGAGTTGCTGAAGTCGGTGACAAAAAAAATCGGTTTCCTCGTTCCTGTCGTCTCAGATCAAGCTAGCGGACCTGGGTTCCTGTCGTGGCATCTATTCGCGACAGCCCTTCACAGTTCCATGGCGCCGATTTTTTGATAAGGGGGTCGACTGGGTGAATCACATGGCGACTGGGTGAATTGTGGTGTCTGAAAATGATCGGAACTACCACTTAGAAATAGCATGAAATAGCTATTTCAGTGGGTATAGCATGATTTACCAATGATTAACCATCAAATTTGGGAAAATGTGGAGGAAGGCGCCAGCAAAAAAATGGTGAATTGCCACCGAACCCTGGCTGAGCTCACCATAAATGATTGGTGAGGCCTGATGGTTCTCGGTTGAACGGACGCGTCATCACTGGAGGTACACAGAAGAAAGAAACCCTTTAGATTGTAGACTCTAGGCATCTCTGGACCTTTTTCTGATGACTCTAGTAGATAGTTTTGTTTGTACTACGGTGGGATCAACAGTATGTCCACATTCTTTTCTGAGAACTTGCACAACTTGCACTACTTACATAAGTTGTATCAATGTACAGAATGATTTCAAAATTTCAAGTGTAGACTGAACAAGTAATATCAAGTAATCATGATGGCAAATATAGTTGTAGGATACCCCGGCCATCCCAGCCATTCCCAACACCTGGTTGATGCTTGCAGTGTTCTGTGTCCCGTCGCCGCATGTTTTCGGGTTTGCCACCAACCACAGTCGGCCAGAGATCGCTCCAAGAAAAGATCGGCCAGCGACGGTTTGAGACATGGCGACTTAACCTCTTCTACCAAACGATTTTTTTTTAAATGGGTTTCTCCACAATGGGGCAAACCCTGAAGAAACAGCTGTTGATCATCAGTTTCTCACAACATTTACCAGTTTGTGGTCTCCCCCCACGCATCCCCAGGCGAAAATGACGAAAATGGGATAGTTCAAACATGTTCAAACCCCCAAGACCTCAGGAGTATATTTCCACCCGGTGGTATCGAGCCCCAGAGATGCTTGGTGCAAGGAAGATGGGTGTCGTGGCAGTTCTTTACCTGGATGTGTTGTAAACCTGCCATGGTTACCATACCAGTAGCCATCACCCGGGGGTCCTTTTGAATCATTTGGAATAGGGATGTAGCCAATAAATAAACCCGGATTGGGATTGGGGATGGTTTATTAATGTTTATTATATAGTCATCCATTATTATCCCACTATTGTCCTATGCAAAAATCTATATTATCCAATAATATTGTCGTGGGGTGAATCCCACATTAGTTGCTTTGGATCATGAGGTGTTTGCTCACCGATGGATACTATGGATTCAAGATGGATCTCTTCGCAGCAGGCCTAAGAGTTTTCCGCGAACGCTCTGCCGGGGTGACCGAAGAAGTAACGTATCAGTTCTGAAACGGTGATGTTTTCAGGATCCAAAACGGAGTTTTTATTTTCAAAATGGGGGATCCCAGGATCCCCAAAACCCTATGTTTCAATACTAAATCTGGTTGGTGGTTTGGAACATGAATTTTATTTTCCCATTCAGTTGGGAATGTCATCATCCCAACTGACTCACATTTTTCAGAGGGGTAGGGCTCAACCACCAACCAGTAATGGTCCAGTTTAGAGGAGAAATGCTCAGTAAATGCCGAGCTCTGGAAAGGTTCCCATCAGTCGTTGGGTGAAGCTGCCCAGATTTGGCTCAATTATTTTTTCCAGGTATTCTGGTTGGTGGTTTGGAACATGAATTTTATTTTCCCCAATAGTTGGGATGATGATCCAAAAATATTTTTGAGGGGGGTAGGTCAACCACCAATTAGTGATTCAGATGATCTCAAGAGCATCTTCGAACTTAGTTTGTGAACAAAGAGATACCGCAAATCATGTTCCAGCAACGTTTCTCTTACCGGTGCGAAACGTAGGGAATGGATGGGAATGGGGGAATGGGATTATTGTTGATAGTTATTGTGGATCATTCCCTCATTCCCTGCTAAGCACAAGCAAGTTCTTTGCTGTTGCTGCGATGCTTGGTGTCGGGCCTTGATCCGGAGAAATCAAACATGTATTTATGTTCTCTTCCAATTTTGGGAGGAATTTAGCCAATTTAGTCGTAACATATTCATCTAATATCTAGAAAGAATTATACAAAGATATGATTTGCATGTTGTTTTTGAACCCACCTTTTTCATCCTTTTCCCCAGCTCCTATCATATCATGTTGGCAGGATGCGTTTGGTTTGAGATCGTCGCCTTGTGACTCAGCCTGAGAAGAACGTTGGCTTAAGCGACTTAACCTCGCTCTGTAAAAAACTAATACTACGTAGTTTGTCATAATCTGTGTGAAAATATGACATTGCATTGCATTACTATATATATATATATATCAATAATATACTTGTATATACTGTATATATATATAATCAACTATAATTAATTGTATAAATTATACTATATTATATATATATATATGTATTCTCTATATATATATTGACCCAAAAAGAGTTCGAGTATCATTCATTCAAAGTGCAAGGTGCAATCAGGCCCTCTTACGGTAAGCTGTGCAACGGCACGAGCTCCGCTGCGAGGTTTCCTCTGTTTCCGGGCCAAAACGAGATGGACCAAATTCAGAAGATCCACAATGTGCTGGGAACGCCATCTCCAGATCTCTTGGCGAGCAAATTCAAAAGGCGGGACGGGAAGCGTCCGGAAGCGTCTCTTCCTGGAAATCCTGGAATATGTCAATGCCAATACCATGATTTTTGTGATTGGCCCCTTTCCATCATAATGGAAGCGAATGGAGGGGGAACCCCAGGATGGAGCAACAGCATCTTAGCAATTTTGGATTGCTTATGATTGCTTATGATTCGGGGTGGATGAACCAAGTCTCGAAATACCGCTAGACACTGGCTAAAGGAAGAGACAGCCGGGCAGTCTGAAGAAAGCAGGATGAGAAGCCAAGGCTATACCGCTCAGCAGGGCAGTGATCCAATCATCAATTGGTTTAAGGGAACATCTGCAGGAAACCATGTTTGTTCTAGTCACTTAAGCCACAACAGGGACCGACTGCTGTGACTGGTGTATTACACCCGTGCATGAGCCAGCAATTCTCTTCAGGTTGTCTCTGAATTCAATTGTTCTCTTGTGTAGCCCTCAATTTTATGGTGTCAAATTTTGACCACACCCGTGCATGAGCCATTCAACATACCCATATCATATCCCACCTCATACTAGTTGGATCTAGTTGGTTGATAGGATTAGCTGCTATAACAAAATGCTTTAGTTCATGATCCCGAATAGGCATCAATAAGCCAGGTAGTATGACTCCTTACAATAACCGAGAATGGTATTATAATGTATTATATAATGTGGGTAAAACAATCATAAACCATCCCCCAGTCACCATGATAAAATAGGTGGTATAAACCTAACCCCATGAACCCAGATGGGTGGTTCATGACATTGTTTTACCCACAAAAAAAACATCATATTCCTAATTATGTTGGATCCAATTTAATCTCCATATCAGTGAGTATTGGACATTAAATCCTGGAGATTTACCCATCCCATATGCTCCATGTATGGTATATTTACCTACATTTGGGTGATTTTATTAGGGCAAATGTAGGTAAATATACCATACATGGAGCATATGGGCATCATTTACCCAACACAGTTCCATTTTTTTTTGGGGTACTATACCATGATGTACCATGGAATTTTGGGTAATTTACCCATCATATTCCCGATTGATCTCCCGTTCAAAATCTGGTCATGATGCAGACAGGAATGCGTCTCATATGGACTTCAACTTTCCCGAGAAAAAGGGTACTGGTGCCTTGGGCTTAAGAAAAAATGGTTGGCGCTATGACTTACCCTCTGGTGATGTCAAAATAGCTATTGAAAATGACCATTTTTCATGGGAAAATCCACTATTAATGGTTTGAAAATGACCATTAATAGTGGATTTTCCCATTAAAAATGGAAGTTTTCCATAGCTATTTTGACATAACCAGAGGGTAAGGCTGGCTGGAGTAGCCATACTGTGGGATCCGCAAGGAACATCAACACACAATAAACACTCAAAATTTTTGTTGGACGTTGGCTTGGGCTGTTATGAGTGCCAAGTAATACGGTATACACTTAAGAATAAATCAGAATAAACTGGTCCGTTGTTTGTGGATCCCATATTAAATCTCCAAGCTCAGGCATGAAACAACCACGGATTTGATTTTTTCATGTCACCCAGGTGGCCACCAGTGGCTCACGATAGAAAACCATTTCATACTTTACCACCTGTGGATAAATGTTGGATAGATCCCATCAATAGTTGTTTTGAGTCCATTGTTGAAAACTTGTTTTCAAAAGTTTTAACCATAGAACCATCCCATGGTTTGACACATCCTGTCCGGTGAACCTCGGACGTCAAGGAATTGAGCGGTTGATTCCACATGCAGAAGCTGAGTGTGTTGAGCTCATGCAGAAGCTCCTCAGGCACGGCATATCGATGCATATCGCCGATCTCGGCATGGGTTTGAGATGGTTTGAGAAATGCAGAGCCCAGCAGAAAGGGGTTTGTCTGAACATGTACCCAACAAAAACCTCAATTTCTTCAACTATATATATATAATTGTTCTCGTGTTCACCGCATTAGTTAGTGGTTTTACCATATGAAACATGAGGACGTAAGTACAGGAAGGGCCCCACGCGATGTTGGTGGCTCATCGTAGTCAGTAGGTGGGTTACATGTTCAGGGTATGGCCTTTTACGATTCCTGACCAAGTATAAGGTGGTGACCCCAGTGGTTTGTTGATTTAGTTTCAACCCAATGAATACGAGTTTGTGAAATATCCCCCACAAAGCTACTCCTCGGTGCAGTTCTGCTCAGAAGTGACTTATACAACCATAGTTGTAGGATGTTGTAGGGATTACAATTGACATGATATTAAGTTATGTGTGATTATGTCCCAACTGAGGTTAGAATCCCAAAGTTATAACCATCAAAGTCACTCCTGGCCTGCACCCCCTCCAAGCTTGCGGTGTTTACCGGCGCAGGTACGACCCCGACGATCGCATCCTGGCGCGGCAAGCTCTCCGAGATCCCTACTTCAGGGAGCTCCACGAGATGAAAAAAGAGGTTTGCCTGGAAGGTGATGAAAGACCTCATGATTTTGCGGGTTAATGTTACTAATGCATACTAATGTTACCTAATTATTTTGATAGGCTTGCCTGGAAGGTTTGGGTATATACCAACATACTCCTAGTTTTGACAATGAGCCATATTCTGACAATGAGCCATTAAAACTATTCATTGGCTTTATGTAACGAGTTCTACCCTCTGGGTTATTGGGGATTATGAACTAACCCATAGGTGTTCAATCAACTAATGACATGGGAAAACATGGTATGTTTAATGGCTCTTTCAATGGAACAGGTGGTGACCAAGTAATCCCATCCTTAGTTCATCCCTTATCTATTGACATATCATATGTTAACAGTCATGTTATCGGTTATGCAGTTCTACCACACTGCCACAAGTCAAGTTTCCGGGCTTCAGGGCTTTCAACAAAAATTAGTGTCCTGAAGCTGGGACCTGAAAGAGACAGCACCGGCAGTAGACCTGCTGGCTGTTTCTTGCTGAATGTTCTTGGGTGCAGTTTCTCTAAGAAGTGCATGGCTACTTTCAATCAGAGTTGTGAGGCCCCATATCCCAGTTCATGGATTATAATCCGCACTAGCCCCAATGTCTCCGTTGCAGGGAGAATCGCCATTTATGTTCCTCTTGTGATCAGCAAGAGTATTATATAGAGTCATTAAACAACTTGGCTTTGCTTAAGGTGATTTGTTATTTTCCCAATGGGAAATCCACGACTTCGGGGAATTTAAAGGGGACAGTTTTTATTTTTGCGTGGTCCTTAAGCAAAATCCAAGACATTGAAAAAAGTTGATCATCTAACGGGTGGTTGTTACGGGTTGAAACCACCAAGAAGTCATACAGAAAGGAGTCCCCCAGTTAGTTGCCACAAAACCCTATAGTTATCCCTAGTTATAGTAGTTTTTTCACGAACTTACCTGACTGTGGTGGCACACTTTGTGGCCCTTTTGTGTGTTTTCTTAAACCTTTCTCAAGTTTGTGTTTAGTCGACCTCGGTTGCGCCCTGCCAGATAGCGCATGCACAGGGCATGCTGCCCGGGCGTAGCCGGGAGCAATGGTGCCTGGGCAGCCTAGACGGAGGCGATCCATGGGGTCCAAAGCCCCAAGGTATGACTATTTTGATAGGGAACACTATGAATAAGCAGATGGAATGGGATAGCAATAGACCGTGGATGGCTTAGGAGGTATCTAAAGAGTCGCATGGTTCTTTAAACCAACTTGTAGCTGGAAGTGGACATCCCCTTGTGCCTTGTGCCATCCTGATTGCCAAGCTTTTTACCTCAGCCCCTTAGTAGAGTGTTGAAAACAAAAGAGATTACACACAATTTGCAAAATCCTGATTTGGATTTGCTTTCTTTCAAACTCTGGCGCTAAGCGGATCTGGCAAAAATTGATATGCCTCTATTGATTGATGATTTGATGGATCCAGAAAAGTCACGCCGACTTCGGCACGTCTTGTATAATGACGCAAGCACTCCTAGCCCAGCCTTGCTACCTTTACAGAGTTACACCATGTTACACCAACAACTCGCCACATGTTGGTGACACTACCATCTATGGATTGAATAGAGCAGATGGGACTTGACTACCGCGATGGAAAGATTATGGTAGATTGACAAATAAGCCTAGCAAATTTCAAACTATCCAAAATCAAACGGGTGTTTGATCATTGCACCTACTTGCGTTTCTGTCACACGAGTTCCCCAAATGCGTACACCTTTCCTGGTCTCGCCCAAAGTGGGAGGCACTATAAATTACTTGGAACAGACACGTTGGGAAGAGAACATAATCCCAGCCCCTAGTATGAAACACATCCATTCTATGGTCCCAAATATGCGTTTTTATCTTCACATCCACCATGGTTTCTGAGGGTAAATATTAGAGGAAAGGGATTTAAGTGGGTTTGCCGTCTGAACACTTGGGGTGTATCCCACTTAGTAAATGGGTTATACGCACCACTTATATATATATATATATGCAAGATCCCCTATTATATATATATGGGATTATATGACTTATATATATATATATGGATTATAAGCAATTTAATAAGTGGGATGCACATCCAAGAATTCAGCCACTCAGGTTTACGAAAGCTGCAAATAGCTCAAGCAGTAGCACTGCCAGTGTGGACGACTTCAACCCTGAACAGACTCAGGCAAGGCAAGTGCTCTCCACTTGAGTCTCTTAAACAACCTCTGCTGATGGATGAAAAAGGGGGATTGGTACTCACGGATCATTCACCAACCAATGGCTGACCAATTTGATAATATCCCAATAAACCCATTAGTTCAACCAATGGCTCACTAATATATGACACTAATTTATCAACCAATCTTAAAAATAGGAATATTTATTCACCAGCCAATGACTCATTTGCCGCGGGAGATTTGCTTTGCCACGTCAAAGGTTCAAGGGTTTGTCCTACAGTTCTACACTTGGGAAGCTGGAACCATGTTATTTTTCTCCACCCATTTTGTGTTGGGCCAATCTGGGTAGATATGTGGGCTTATCTCAGGGGCATCTATTTAAAAAAAAATGGCAACACACTACAGTAACTAAGTTGGTTTCCAACTAGGTGAATTCTGCGGTTTATGGATATTGTCGCTATAGTTAGATTCGTCTTATCTTATTTTATCAATCAACAAACATAACATTTGGGGGTGCCAACACACATGGGGTTGGTGAGCTTTGAGTCCGTGGCCTTTAGCCACCTCGCATAGCAAGTCCCAAAACGATAGAACAAGTAAATTAGATTCGAATCTAAAACAGTGACTTAAATTGTTTCAACTCTGATGGTACTATGTATATATATATATAATATATATATATATTAAATCATCAATTATTCCTTTAGGGTCCTAACATATTGGTTATGTCATATCATAGATTCCCTGAAAAAAATGTGGCTTCCTACAGAAATCATCCACTAACTTTCGACGGCAACATATGGGTCAATTGTTTGAGTCCCCCAACAATTTAGATGGTTAATATATCTGGGTAAATTAGAACGACCTCACTGTTCTCCCGAACCCTGGAAATCATAGTTAGGATTCGGGAAATCATCCCCAAATGGGCCGCAAGATTCAGGTTAGTGAAATATTAAGATTAGACATATACCAAAATCATCTAAAATCTCTGGTCCCATACAGGATAGTGCCCCGCCCAGTTATAAGTTGGTTTATAAGCCCCATATATATATATATATATATATAACTATGGTTATATCTACCAGAATCTACCATAAACCAAAAAAAGTGAAGCCAGTTCGAAGTTAAATCATCACCATATGTCCATTTCCATCCAACTAGATGGTTAATGGTAGATAAAAACCATATGACATATACTAAATTTCCATCCAACAATATCACCATATGTCATGATGGTTAATCTTAGACAGATACTAAAATCATGACGGAAACATCGTTGGATGCTTGACTCCAAAATCTCTGGGCCCATAGGCTCCCATCCCATGGTTGCCCGGCCTGGTAAACGTTTACACAACTATGGAAAATCACCATTTTTAATGGGTAAACCCACTATTTCTATGGCCATTTTCAATAGCTGTTTGCATGTTTTCCAGAGGGTATATCATCATATATCCCATTAAATCCCATAAAATGCCATTGAATCACCATTTTTCATCCCATTAAACCACCATATATCTGACATTTATACACCATTTGCCACCGTATTACCACCATATTACCAGAGGGTATATCTACCAGTGGTCCATCGAAAATTCAGCCAGCTATCCATCGCTTCACCGATCACAGGAAGCTGGTCAAACCACCAGTTCTGTGGGCGAGGAGGGTCGCTCCGGCGGCTTGCCCACCATCGGACAGGTGCCGGGCCAAACCGGCGACCTTTTCCGGAAACGGAACATAGGAAAACCCATAGGAAAACCATAGGAAAATGCTGACTTCACAAAGAAAAATGGGAATTATCTGGAAGGTATAGCTGATTTATGATAGCTAAGTTGGTGAAGATAGCTTCAAAAAGTATGCTTTATGACACTTATACTTCTAGTTTGTGGGGTTTATATATTTTCACTCATAACTTTGCCCAAAGTTGTACGGCCTGATGACTGTGGGAGAACATCCACTGCCTACCGCGGATCATAAGAAGTTCATAAGACTCATAAGGCCCTCATCTTCAAACAGCATCATTTTCAAGTTACTTGTCAGAGTGCTGGAAAATTACAATGTGGGGCCTCCCAGTTATAAATTGGTTTATAAGTTTATAAACACCAGTAACTATTGTTATAAATATCATAAACCATAGTTATTGGAGTTATAAACCAACTTAGCTATCTAGGGGGGCCCCACTTTGTATGAGTCAGCAGTGTTTTTTTTTTTTTCGCAGGGTTGGTCCTTTCAAGTCGGGTGCCCCATTGCAGAAAAGCATCGTCATGATTGTCCCCACAAAAAACTAGCCACGTTTGATCATAATGTGATGGTTTGGAACATGGCTTTTATTTTCCATAAAATATATGATAATATAGCGACGGACAAACACTTAGAACATCATTTGGAAAAAATCAAAACCGTCACAGCGGGGATGTTCTAAGTATGAAGTCGTTATACTATACCCAAAACCTATACTTAGAACATTTCCAAGCTACACTTAGAACATCCCAGTGGGGAACCAGTGGGAACCATACATATATGTATTCAAAATTAAACATAATTCATTTTAGCTCATTTTAGTATTGAAACCTATGCTTTTTGACTACCCCCTGTAGGAAACCCACAACTTATATACTAGAGACCTTCGCATTGCAGCGAAGACTGCTTGGGATATTGTTCCCGAAGAAAAGGTATAGAATGCTGCAGCAGCGAGGGGAGAAAGTGTTCTAAGTATGGTGTTCACCAAGGTATTTGTGTGTATATATGCAGATTTACCAAAGTAACAGGACATGTTCTAAGTATATGTGTGTTTAATGTTCTAAGTATGCAAAAAATCAAAGGATATGTTCTAAGTATCTGTTTTTCTGATGTTCTAAGTGCGTACTTAGAACAGTTTTGATGTTCTAAGTGTAGTTGTTTTGATGTTCTAAGAAAAGGTTCCGAAATTTTGGAAAAAATGATGTTCTAAGTGGTTGTCCGTCACTATATATGGGATGTCATCCGAAACCCATTGACGAAGTCCATCATTTTTCAAGATGGGCACATTGCACCACCAAGCAGTCATAACTTGGTGCTTTGGAGCCCTCAACAGACCCATCTATCTCAAAGGCTGGCGTTGGAGATCCCAGAAATAAAGGAAGATCACCGCGGCAGGCACGAAGAAAAGCTCAGAATGGTGCCGAGAGTGAAGAGGAAGCACCAAGTCAGGTCTCAACCGTGTCGGGTCAGATTTATTTGATTTATGAAAATCTTGAGATGGGAAACTGGTTGGTGGTTTGGAACATTTTTTATTTTTCATTTGGAATAAGAATCCCAAGTCTTTCATATTTTTCAGAGGGGTAGGTCAACCACCAACCAGGGAAATAATCCATTGTCGGAACCCAAAGGGACGACTATACCAAACACATCATGACAACTATAGGTGGACTTCAACAAGTTTTTCGGGGCCGTTATTAAGGGGGATTCAATATTCAAACCAACATTCCATAGTGATATCGAAATATGGCTGTGAGTCAAAACCCTGGCACACATTCGGTACCCTCAAATACCCTGGGTATCTCTGGATGTTTATTCCGCCAGTCATATGGTTTTTCAGGTTTTGACCCATCCCCATATGATATGTTCTCCCAAAGAAAGTGAGATGCCACCGCCTGTGTTTGAACACAGTACCTGGAAAGTCCTGAAGATGTTCCTGGAAAGTCATCCTTTGCCCTGAAGATGTTTCTGCAAGATATCTTGATGTGTTTCCCCACCAGGCAGGTTAAGGCTGCAGATGGTAGAATTGGTTGGATTTTGGGAAAAAAAAACAACGTTAACTTGGTTGATGGTAAAGTCGTTCGATTTTCCTGCTAAAAGTATTTCAAATCAACCCAGCCAACCCAGCAACAGAAAGTCACGCGGAAGTTGTCCAAAAAGATGGGATGATACCTGATACCCACACAAACTTCCGGCTCGATTTTGGGGTCCCCTTCCTGAAGTTGGTGTAGGTGCTTCCTCCGATCGGTGGCTTAAAAAGTGGCTTGGTGTGGTAGTTGCGGGGTTGTTGATTTTGGTTTGGCAGTATGCTAATGGATTATATATATATATATCCCAGGTGGTTTCTCGGATTTCTCAACCATCCACAGTATCCTTCCTTGTTCGGAAGCCATGGGAAACATGTCAATTTGGGAAGCCGCGAACTCCCCCAAGTTTCATCAATCCCCAACGGTTGGGCCCATCGAGAAGATCATGCGTTCGCCTTTGCCAACAGAACCAACAGAACCACACCAAGTCATAGAATTCAGATATGAGAGTGTATTACCCTCTGGTTATGTCAAAATAGCTATTGAAAATGGCCATAGAAATAGTGGATTTTCCCATTAAAAATGGTGGATCTTTCCATAGTTATGTTAGTTTGCCAGAGGGTATACATATACTGGTTGGTGGTTTGGAACATGTTTGTCCATATATAGGAAATAATCATCCCAAGTGACTTTCATATTTTTCAGAGGGGTTGAAATGTCAACAAACAGCAAACCTTACAGAAAACGCCAACCATTTAGCGGTTTACCATATCATACAAGGTGCTTCCCTGTACAATAGTACTTGTTGGTTTATAAATTCATCAAACTATTTCGATATTTTGATGTCATATGATATCTATTATATGTCATTATCATGATATATCATATCAATTGAACCCAAAATAATTATTTGTTCAATATGAATGTCACTAATGCTAATCTACTTTGAACCCAATGCTAATCTACTTCGTAGCCGGAAGATCATCATCCCTGATCGCAAGTGGTTTTGATAAATTTGAGCGTAGCTGAGGTAAGTCCTGGATTCGCGGCTGGTTATCCCATACCCATAGGATCCATGGTGCTGCTATATATGGTAACATTTACCATCAATATACCCCACATGTTAGCATATATACCATACATGGATCCTATGGGATATATAACTGGCCAAAAAAAAAATATGCCCTATGGATTCTATGGATCCAGCCGTATCTGAAAGGAAGTGTGACGTACGGGGTATGATGACGAGCTCCTCGGGGGGTCAAGCGCCGTACCTTCGACAGTGGGCATGGATCCCTAATGATCCCTAGGGATTAATAATTAACCCATTGTTAACGGTAACCCATGATTAACTATGGCAAGTAATAGTGTTTATAACTTTGGTAATGATCCTCCAATAGTATTAACCGATTACAATTCGTGTAATCCTGCAAGCAACCCGAACGAACTATGGGGATTCCAAGGGCCAATGGGATAGTATAACCGCCGAAATCATCAACCAACTACTATTGATCAGTGATATCCCCATATTGTTGATGGTTAAAACCCTTGTAAATGACCGTGAAATCCCTATTCGTAGATTATGTTTCCACTAAAACGAGTTTTGAAGACGGTTTTTCATGATTAAAACCTCTAGAAATGCTTGTGATATATTATATATATAGCATAGCTTGTTCCGTTTTCAAAATCTCAGGAGTTTTAAACTCAGCCACTTCTCCCATCCATCCAGGAACCACCGGACGCACCAATGTGAAGCCTCAAACCTTCAAGACCGCGGCCAACGCGGCCCTGCAGCCTGGAAGAAGTCCGTCCAAGTCCGTCCGGGCGGACCCACAAAAGGAGGTTCAGAACTGGTGTATTTCCAAAAGAAAATAAAACATGGCTATGGCTATGCATCACTTAGCAACTCTCAAACAATGAGGGTGACTTTGGATTGAGAATTCATCACACATGGGTTTTCTGTATGTGTTTGTTGATTTGCTTGATTTGCTGATATTTCAACTATTGTTACATGATAAATGGGTAGCGGAAAAACCAAGGATTCTGATGGCTAGTTTCAACTGGGGTAAGCTAACATATAGATGTGGAAAATCCGCGATTTGTAGATCCAAATTCTTGAGGAAACCAGGGAAGTTTTCCACATGTTTTGGTATATTGACAGGGTGTAGTTCAACCCAACGGGATGATGATTGATGGGTGGATCCCAGCAGATAGAACTGGATCCCAAGTGGTGAATCCCATGGCACTGGGCCAAGACCGTCTGGGCCAAGAGTGGTTTATTTTCAGGTGAGAACCTCAAAGTTGATGAAAATCAGTCCTGTTTCTTTATATATATATAATTTTATATGTTATTCATGTATAAGTTTGGATTCACAATGTGCCCTAGTGATCCATTAGTGCCATATTCCTGTAAGGTTTGTCATGACCTTTCCGTATTGTTCTTCCCCATGACTTGACGAGGCAGTCGCATGCCCCGGGCAAGTCTGGAGCATCCAAGACGAGCGGCTTGACGAACGAACTCCTCTAGTCCGATGGGCGTTGAAACCGCGGCAACATGCGGCAACTACTTGGGGATATACACCTACAACAACTATAGATAAGCCAGAAAAGTCGGATTTGCCCTCTGGATCCCTCTGGTAATTTAACATGACTATGGAAAATCACCATTTATAGTTGCCGCTATGGTACACGTTTACGTAACCTCTGGTAAACGTTTACATAACTATGGACATTCACCATGTTTAATGGGAAAACTCACTATAAATGGCCATGTTCAATAGCTATGTAACAAATTACCAGAAGGTATAGATAAGCCAGAAAAGTAGGATTTGCGCGGATTTATGATGAACCATAATTGAATGCATCTAGAGTCGCAACGGAAATTGTAAAGCAAGTTGTATCTGAGCTGCCCGTTTTGAGTAGGTGAAAATAGAAAATGAACTGAACATGGTGTCCAGTTTGTGGGGGTGTTTGACAATAGTCCGCCTTCAAATCCAATAGATTGACATCCCGACATGGAAAACTCTGATCCATGCGTATGGCGTATGGGATGTGAAAGGAGAGTGAAAGGGCAGCCTGCAGCCTGACCCCTAGTCCCATGTCATTTGGGTCAAAGCTCATCGTTCGTAGTTTTGTACAATGTGGGGTTTCCCAGTTATAAATTGGTTTATAAACCCCAGTAACTATAGTTAATGAGTATCATAAACCATAGTTATTGGAGTTATAAACCAACTTAACTATCTAGGGGGCCCCACTTTGTAAGTATGTTGGTTTCCTATTAGAAATTCCCTTGAACCAATTACTTTCTGTGATTTTCCATCAGGCAGCAACTTCAAGGAAGGACCGGGACGAAGCAGTGGCGCGAAATCCTTCTTTGGTACCGGAAGCGGTGTGGCAGTGGCTCGTTTTTAAGGGGGGACCACAGATGTGTTTGATTAATTGGCTGGGAATGCTCAAGTCGATATTATTCTGAAGTACATGTTTGGAGAGCTACTTTAAAAAAAACTACTTGCTAATCTGTTGCTATAAATGGTTTATATATGATATAATTATATATATAATATATAATTATGTGGCTATAAAAATGGCTTTACAAAAAAAAAGCTTTATGTATATACCCTATGGATCCAGACACTGTCTCAGAAGGTACTTAACCCCCTAAATCATACCCGAAACACTTCCTAGGAAGGTACTTGGATCCATAGGGATAGCTATAAATGTTAATTTGCATTAAACCAACCAGCTAAAGCAGTGTTTCAGTTGTTATTTTGGTCCAGTCTGCAGAGTCGACGAATGGTGGCGTTTCAGTTCGGAAAGAACGCAAAGTTCAACTAGCTAACCAGGTGGAATCTATATATGGTTTATATGGACGTTTATGATTATTGAATAATTGAAACATATTACAACTATAATCAACTACAATCAGCTAGATTTTATGTCATATCTTTGTCTTTTATATGGTTTCATCACATGTTTTACCATGTTTTACCAACCAACCAACACAACCTGTTGTGTGGGGACGGTTTTTTTTTCCCCCCCAGCAGTCCGCCGTCGCATTTTCTGAGGCCAACAAGGGCCCATCCGATGCCATGTCGGTGACCGCGTCCGGCTGGGCGGACCCTGGAAGTGCCTGGGATGGCGGCATGGGTGGGGGAGAATGGAGCACTGGGATATATGGCAATAACCAACAAATATGGGGATATAATGCTGGATATCATGGGGGATAATGGAAATATATGCAATATATAACTGATTGGTGGTTTGGAACATGATTTTTTTGACTTTCCATATATTGGGAATGTCATCATCCCAATTGACGTTCATATTTTTCAAAGGGGTAGGTATACCACCAACCAGTTAATAGTTCGCTATTGAAGCCATGGCCCATTGAGATATTTAGTTCGTTGATTTAGGCAGTTATAAACTGGTGATTTTCCATAGTTATGTTAGTTTACGATCACCCCTTGGGATCCCCACTGTCTGAGAGGCTACGGCCCGAAACGTCACCATACCCCGTACGTCACACTTCCTTTTTGAAGGTACGGCTGGATCCATAGGGCATTATAGTGGTGTAATAAGTGATGCAATAGCTATCACTATTATACTATCATTATTGAGAATGGATATTCATAATTTCGTGGTGTAATAACTGTCATGAAATACTATCATGAAATATCATGAATAGGTTATGAAATACTATCATGAATATCATGAATAGGTTTTTAATGGATGATTAGTATCTGGGGTACCCCCTTGCATCATCCAGTCGTCATGGATGACCATGACTTAATATTGAAACAACCATGGTGACTCGGGGATTCCCTATTTTAAGAAACCCCCATCTGGAAGAATGTATGTGTTTTTTTTTCCATAGGGGATGTAGTGGATCTACAAATGATCATTGGGTTCCAGATTCATCCAGGATGCCACCAATCTGTATCCATGAAACTGGGATGTTTTTGTTGGAAATCTTCAGGATTTCGGACTGAACATGGGGAACTAGACGAGCAGGGGGTGGTTTTCAGCGGGGGCTCAAAAACCACAAGTTATTGAGCTGGAGTTGTCTGAAAAAACTCAGGGTTTAACCGTGTTTAAACAGCCAACATGTGGGATTTACTGTAAAATAATTTAAGCGCCAAAAACAACGGTTGAACATGATGAAACAAATGAAAACTGGAGATGATATAAGTTTGTCCGAAAAGGTTGTGTGCCCCAATTTTTGGCAGTTTAACACGTAATTTAGATGTGAACCATGAGGTTTCAATATGTGGCATTTCAGCTTACCTCATTTTCAGGCAAACTCATATTCTGACACGTTTGAGCTCAGTTTCATGTACTATTCCTTACCTTCAAAATTCTTCAAATGTCACCGCTCGTGCAGCATTTTGGTGGTCAGAAAAGTCTCTTGGAGTCGACCATGGAAAAGAAACCATTACGTCCTCCTCTGGTTGGTGGTGACTGGAACCATGAATTTTATGACTTTCCATTCAGTTGGGAATGGAATGTCATCATCCCAACTGACTTTAAGTCCATCATTTTTCAGAGGGGTAGGTCAACTCAACCACCAAGCAGTCGAGAGGGGTTTCTGTACCAGCCGGGGTTCTGCCGAAACATCCAACGGGAATCCCCACTGCACTGCACAAAGGTGCCAGATCTGGAGCGGTTGCCACTTGGCGATTGTGGATTGAAACCACCAGCCGGAACAGTTCAATCCAGTGGGCTTCAATCTTGGCCTTGTTTTTTGTGTGTTTACTTGATATACATTTGAGAAATGGCAAGTATTTGTAGAAGGTAGCGCCCCCTACTACTAGCTACCAGTTGGTTTATTTATCCATCATCTAACTTTCATAGCTGACCTGGTTACAGAACCGACTTAGCCAACTGTGGGGCACCGCCTTGTAGCGTCCGGATTTCCGAATCAAAATCGGGCCAGTTCGATGTGAGGATACCACCATAGTCTTAACTTTGTTTATTCAAGCACCAAAAAACGGCTGTTATCGGGAATTGTTTGGATCCATAACTGTTCAAGGAAGAAAACCATGCTGGTTGGTGGTTTCAAACATGTTTTATGTTCCATAATATATGGAATAATCCTTCCCAACTGACTAATATTGTTCAGAGGGGTTGACACCACCAATCAGAAAACCATAGTTTCAAAGTGATTTCTTCATGGTGAATATCCAGGTTGAATGGCCATGTTGAACGATGATCTAGTTGGTGGAAGGGGATACCCAGACAGCCGTGAAGATTTGGGGTTTCCATAAGGCTATAAGGGATACCCCAATAGCACGCTGGATGATTTCAGGGAAAATCCCATCTACAAATGGATGAGAACTTGGGGTACCCCTATTTTAGGACACCTCCGTTTGACCCACAGCCACAAATAGCCATGTACATTGATGCTCACACTACTGTACTGAGATACATGTGATGTACATGTAGATGCTGGTATGGGTCAAGTATTTCTTTTAAGGTATAGCTAATATAGATATAATTATAATAGATGTGTAGTTGCATCCATCATACATCACATGTTTATGCTATACACAGATGGTGACTAGTCGTGAATAGTCATAACAATAAGAATAATATTCATACATAATGGCAAACACAACAGTGAAACCTTTATACATCACTAAAGTTCATGTTTTACACACACATATCACATATTGGCAATATCAAAAACAATAGCCATTGATAAGTAATTACAATCATAGCAATGTTAGATATACTGGTTGATGGTTGCAGTTCAGTCGTTATATCCTCACGCTATCACCATTTTATCCCCATAAAATCACCATAAAAATCCCACCCTGAGGTCAGCATGGGTTCTACCTGGGCGCCGCAGAGGCTGGTTGATGGTGTGGGCCTTGTCATCCTGGAGTCTCGATATGGAAATGACATGAACTTACAACTAGAATGGGAGTATTTTTTCGAGAATCACAATTTCTATCTTCTATCTACTTCAGGTTATTATAGAAAGTATATACATGTATATATTATACATACATATGTATATATATGTATATAAGTGAATGTATATGTAGAGATGAGTCCAGAAATGGGGCGTACCCCGAAGTGAGTTGGGCCAGGCTTTCACAAAGCCATCACGGCGGGGATTTCCCATGGATTTCCATAGTCATGGGGGTACCCCCATAGCTGGATGGCAATGGAAAATCCCATTAAAATTTGGTTGCTGGTGACTAGAACCATGGAATTTTATGACTTTCCATATATTGGAAAATTCATAACCCCAACTGACGAACTCATATTTTTCAGAGGGGTTGAAACCACCAACCAGAACATTATTTTGTGAATAGGTATTCAAAATTTGCCTTTTCAGATCAGCATAGAGAGAGGGCCTGCCGGATCTCGATCCAAGATCCGTCAGGTTTGTGACAGCCATAGTAACCCTATCCCCCTGATATTGAATACTGGTAACAGACAAAACCCGTGTCGAGTCGAGGGATATTTCATATGATATTGGCTCTATATCCCCATTTCAGGCTGGTTCAACGATTCTAAGCCACCAGATTCGGATGGTCCATGATCAACCATGTAAAGTCATTTTAGACCATGTTGAACCAATTGTTTGATGGTTAATCATGTGAAGTCATGTTAGACATTGTTAGACCTTGTTGAACCACTTGTTTGATGGTAAATCATGTGAAGTCATGTTAGACATTGTTAGACCATGTTGAACCACTTGGTTGATGGTAAATCATGTGAAGTCATGTTAGACATTGTTAGACCATGTTGAATCACTTGTTTGATGGTAAATCATGTGAAGTCATGTTAGACATTGTTAGACCATGTTGAACCACTTGTTTGATGGTAAATCATGTGAAGTCATGTTAGACATTGTTAGACCATGTTGAATCACTTGTTTGATGGTAAATCATGTGAAGTCATGTTAGACATTGTTAGACCATGTTGAATCACTTGTTTGATGGTTAATCATGTGAAGTCATGTTAGACATTGTTAGACCATGTTGAACCACTTGTTTGATGGTTAATCATGTGAAGTCATGTTAGACATTGTCAGACCATGCGGATGTTGAACCACTTGTTTGATGGTCAAACATATGAAGTCATGTTTGACATTGCTAGACCATGTTGAACCACTTTTTTGATGGTTAATAATGTGAAGTCATGTTCGATAGTGTAAGACCGTGTTGAACCGCTTGTTTGATGGTTAAACATGTGAAGTCATGTTAGACATTGTTAGACCATGTTGAACCACTTGTTTGATGGTTAATCATGTGAAGTCATGTTAGACATTGTTAGACCATGTTGAACCACTTGTTTGATGGTAAATCATGTGAAGTCATGTTAGACATTGTTAGACCATGTTGAATCACTTGTTTGATGGTTAATCATGTGAAGTCATGTTAGACATTGTTAGACCATGTTGAACCAATTGTTTGATGGTTAATCATGTGAAGTCATGTTAAACATTGTCAGACCATGCGGATGTTGAACCACTTGTTTGATGGTCAAACATATGAAGTCATGTTTGACATTGCTAGACCATGTTGAACCACTTTTTTGATGGTTAATAATGTGAAGTCATGTTCGATAGTGTAAGACCGTGTTGAACCGCTTGTTTGATGGTTAAACATGTGAAGTTGTGTTAGGCATTGCTAGACCATGTTGAACCACTTGTTTGATGGTTAATCATGATTAATCATGTTAGACATTGTTAGAGCATGTTGAACCACTTGTTTGATGGTTAATCATGTGAAGTCATGTTAGACATTGTTAGACCATGTTGAACCGCTTGTCTGATGGTTAATCATGTGAAGTCATGTTAGATATTGTTAGACCATGTTGAACCGTTTGTTTGATGGTTAATCATGTGAAGTCATGTTTGATATGGTTAGGCCATGCTGAACCACTTGTTTGATGGTTAATCATGTGAAGTCATGTTTGATTTTGTTAGACCATGTTGAACCACTTGTTTGATGGTTAATAATGTGAAGTCATGTTAGACATTGTTAGACCATGTTGAACCACTTGTTTGATGGTAAATCATGTGAAGTCATCTGTTTGGTGGTCTCAAACATGTTTTATTTTCCATAATATATGGGATAATCCTTTCCATTGACTAATATTTTTTTCAAGATGGTTGAAACCACCAACCAGTCATTTTGATATTGTTAGACCATGTTGAACCACTTGTTTGATGGTTAATCATGTGAAGTCATGTTAGACATTGTTAGACCATGTTGAACCACTTGTTTGATGGTTAAACATGTGAAGTCATCTGGTTGGTGGTCTCAAACATTGTTTATTGCTCATTATATATGGGATAATCCTTCCCATTGACTAATATGTTCAAGATGGTTGAAACCCCCAACCAGTCATGTTTGATATTGTTAGACCATGTTGAACCGCGTGTTTGATGGCTAATCATATGAAGTCATGTTAGATATTGTTAGACCATGTTGAACCACTTGTTTGATGGTTAAACATGTGAAGTCATCTGGTTGGTGGTCTCAACCATGTTTTATTTTCCATAATATATGGGATAATCCGTCCCATGGACTAATATTTTTCAAGATGGTTGAAACCGCCAACCAGTCATGTTTGACATTGTTAGACCATGTTGAACCCCTTGTCTGATGGTTAAACAATGTTAAACATGTGAAACCCAGCATGTTTCCACGGGGGATGTGAATCATTCCCTTCTCTGCAGGCGCCGCTGATCGTTGATCCGAAGGTGTAGCAGGCCCCTGGACTCCCAGGCCGTGTCGTGGATTGACGCGTCGTGGACTCGCGTGAGTCAAACTTGGGGATATTCCCAGGTAAAGACACAGATGGATGATCTAGGGGGAAGTGTACAGGAAGAAAAACATGATGTTATGTATATACTATATACGTACATGTAAGAATGAACATCATGGTCTCCCGTAGATGTTCCCTTGAACAAAATGAGATCTGATGGAATTGGCAACCACCTAGGTTTCTTTATAGGAAGACAACACCACAAAACACAACGATTAAGATCGATCATATTTGGATCAACCTTAGCAACTTCTCAAAGATGAAACATCAGTTGCGTGGCTAAACACATTGGTGAGTAGCATAGCATAGCATATGGACCTTTATTTACTCATCAACTCATGTTTTTTTTGTTAGTAGTGTTTACTCAGCCATCCCAGCCCTATAGGATCTATATTTTAACAAGCCCTGATGATCTTCCGAATCCTAAAGTGCAGGTAATAGCTGGAGAGTTTATAAGGGAAAATCCACGCAAAAGATTGTTGATAATTGGGGGTACCCCCATTTAGGAAACCTCCATTATGAAGGGTGCCCCGAATTATCAACAGTGTTATTATGAAGGGGTACCCTCTATTATTGGGGGTACAACTCTCCTTTTCTGTTTTTTTCAGCGTTGAGGCAGTTCGATGGAGGGTCCACAGTGCACAGATTCTGATGTAAAAAATGTTTCACCTTGCCCAACGCAAAGAGATGAGCAAAGGTCAAACGTTAAACAATCTCTCTGCTTGACGTCCGAACATGTGGAGTGAACCAAACCGGCTGGGATTCAACGTGCGGATTGAAGTCCTTTGTGGCTTTGTCGGAAAATAGGATACCCAAACATTTGCTGGTGAATAATCATTTTACTTTGAACGATGGCTATAATTGGTGGTAATTTTCAGACATATCAACATATCATATTATGAATATGATTATTATATGTATTCACCAATAATAAAATAAAACAGTTTCTGGATGATTTTCCCACATCACATCCCACTATAAACTCTTAGTTTGACCCAATATTGGACATGGGTCCCGCATTAGTATCCCACTAAATCAACATTATATATACCAATACCATTAATATCCCATATCCGACATGGAATTCTTTATATTTCCATTTACTTATTTAATATATATATATATATATGTATAAATACATATATATATATACATATATTTATATATACATATATTTATATATACATATATATATACATATACATATATATTATATATAAATATACATCCCACACTATATTATATTAATATCCCATTTGACCAATGCTCAGTTTTTCTTTCCTCTCTTGCGGCACAAAGCTCCAACAAAATTTCGGCGAGCCTCTGCAAAGCAGATCCTCGTCAGCGCCAGATTCAGATCAGCGAAGGGAGTTGGACCTGTTTCAGTTTCAGGATATATATATATATAATATAAATATATATATATATATGGGTATGGATCAATACCTATTAATACCATTTTTAGGGGAATGAACATCCATTTACCAGCAATTTTGATGTTCACCAGGGGTACAAGGTTTTGACACACTGCCATATATATATATATATCCCTATGGATCCAAACACTGTCTCATAAGGTACTCAACCCCCTAAATCATACCCGAAACACTTCCTAGGAAGGTACTTGGATCCATAGGGTGTATATATATATATGGGTAAATTATAACGACCTCACTGCGACCTCACTGGAAATCATGGTTAGTAAGGGAAATGATCCCCAAATTGCCTTATTTCAGGTTAGTGAAATATTATAATTTACCCATATATATATATGTATATATGTGCGGAGGTTTCCATTATAGGGAGTACCTCCAAATGCATATATAGTTTATATGTTTTTTTAATGGACAATTCTATTGAAGTTGAAGTTGATGATTTAGGGAACGATAACTAGATTAACTAGGGTTTATGGAGGACACAACTCTTGAATTCATGGGGGTTCTAACTAATTATAGTTAATGGGGATGGGGATTTTTATTTACCCAGATAACGACCCAGGATTGATGACTTCCAAGTTTGATAAACAAACGTTGCACAAACAGAGTTGGTATTCAATGGTATATATCTTGGAGATCTTTGGGGAATACTTAAAATGAATAGGAACTCAAATTTGAATCCTACTTTTGGATACTTTCGGGCTAGTTCACATGGACGAAGTGGAGGGATAAGACCAACCTGCTGGTTGTGTCAAGCATATATTCTATGTTCAGCCATATTTGAGATGTCTCCACTACTATTGAAGTTACTATTGTTTTGGGATGGGATGAAACCACTCAGCCCTCCGGAAAGTTATCAACCAACAATACTGAGGATTCAACTAGCGTTAAATGGTGATTTGAGCTTTTAGAACCTCTCTGCAAGTGCTGCGCGGCGGTCTGAGTTGTTTACAACAGACCGTACGGATCTATGGCATTCTATGGGCCCGAATTTGCACCCCTGCATTGATTTGTAGCCACAACTGGATGGATTGTAGCCATTTACCTTTGTTTTTACATGTTGGGGTTTTGAAAGACATGCAATACCACACCAGATGTATACTGTATACTCGCTTCTTGAAAAAAAAAACGTTTTAGCTGGGTGGCAATAATGCAATAATATTCACCAAAGTTTGGGAGGGGATCCAAAAATCGTGCAGGATTGGCTCAGCTTTTTCCATGACCCTCTAGTAAGATTGTTTCCTGGGTCGATTCGATGATGTTCTAGCCATCTTTGGTCACGAGGGTACAGGGTGGGGCCCCCTGACTTGATTCCCATCTTATAACTTGGTTCACTAGGCTTTATGGTGGATACATCTATAGAAATCATGGGGTCTATACATAAGGCAACAAACATCATAGGGGCGGCCCACCTTGTTCAAAAATCGGATGGTTAGATGATGTAAATCGCTGACTGGTCGACGTGAGACAACTGGCCTGCCTGCTGAACCCGTTGCCTTTGCACAACCGGTGGCAGTGGCCGTGCATGATCTGATTCGTATGGCCGTGTGTCTGAAAATGGGGTAAATCCCTAAAGATGAGTTGCACAAGATATACCAAAACCGGTCATCAATGATTCAATCAGGAAGCTTTTCAAAGACTCAACCATTGTTTCTAAAAACTTTGGGGCTACCAGATTTTCAGACACAGCCATAAAAATTTGCGACTCTGGACACTGATGTGATAAGAAAGGATGAAACGACTCGGAGGGATGATTCATGTGGGAATTTTGGTCGTCCCCGAACACGCGAAACGAACAACCATGATCTGTTGGATATGAATATCGAACGTGAATAGATGTGAATAGTCAGAGTGGGTGATAATGACGTATGAATATCTCCAGTTCGAAAAACATCTCTTGATATGGTAAATATCATCATATATCCTATGAATCCAAGAAACTTCTTAGAAAGTGTGACTGGGCTATGATGACTGGGGGGTTAGCCGTACCTTCTCAGACAGTCTTTGGATCTATTTTAGGGACTGACTCTCGCAGGTGCTTGGCTGGCGCTGGTCTAGGGTGTCGCTTGGTGCTGCTGTCCCAACCGTTGCCCAATGATGCGAAGCAAGGTGAGTTCGCCCGCAGCTGCTGTGAATTTTTGTTGCCGTGTTGGGAGTTCCAAGATGTTTTGATGTTTGGACATACCTCTGGAACATACACCAACTCGCCGAATGAAAGGAATCCTTTCATACCTTTCATAGAGCATCTATGCTCTAGAGCTCTGCTGGGGTTTGCTTCGAGTGAATGATTTTGCCGGAAACCCAAGTGGAGGAATATTAGCCAACAATGGGGATACCAACAAAGAAGAAGGCATGTGAACCAACAATCTGTCAATCTACATGGTAGGTGTGTTTTTTTGGACTTTCAACGTGACTAGCATGTGAAGACAACGCCTCAAAGGGTTGAAAAAATCGGGTGGTGACGCATGAGCGCCGCAAGAGGCCAACTCAAATGCTGGTTGGGAATACTTCATCTCATTGGATTGCTCATCTCATTGGATCTCATGCATTTATCAATGGGAATTTCAGGATCCTAAAATGGAGGTACCTACCATATATATATATATATATATATAAGTCCTATATAAGGCCTATGTAAGGGAATATCCCCACAAAATATGGCCTTATATGGTACAGTACCTCCATTTTAGGATCCTGAAATTCCCATTGAATTTATTAGATCTTATTGATTCTTATGGAATCGTATTGCAGCTCTTGCAATTCATGAGCACTCAATATTCAGATTTCCCGCCCAATCACTACAACCCCGATAGTTATAAGTTGGTCTACATCCCCATGTAAACTAATTATATTATATAAATTATTTTATCAGAAAGGTCGGTTGTACAAAATAAACAAAAAACGCAAAACATGTCGTAAAAATCAGCCCTCCACAGCGTCCCACTGTGTATTTTATCCGTATACATGCCGTCATTGGAGTTATGATTACAAGCTTTGCTACCATAAATCAGCTATACATCGCATGAAATCCCCATTTTCCTTGGGTTAAGTTAGCATTTTCCTATGGTTTTCCTATGGTTTTCCTATGATCTATGGTTTCCTACAGTTTTAACCATGGTATTCCATCACCATTTTCCGTAAAAAAAGCGGTTTTCCCATGTTGGTAACGGCCTTTGTTGCAGGCTGGAAGATGCTGTTCCAGGCACCATATCGAATGACCTGGGGCAACGCGACATGTTACGTCTTCCAGCATCTCGGCGTCGCTTTGAGCAGGTCGGACGCGGTTCTTTCAGTCCGGGAAATCTCCCATGTTCAGAACGTTTTTAGCTGGGAAATCCCCCAAACTCAGAGGTTTATACTGTAAATTAGCTGGTAAAATCAACGGAACATATAGGGAAACTATGGGAAACTTATCTATAAATGGAGGTTTTAATGGGAAAATCCACTACGAAGGACTATAGAAATTGGTGGATTTTCCAGCCAGCCACGTTTTTTCGCAAACCGGAGGGTAGATGGGTTTGTTGTACAACTTCAGTGGTCAAATTTGTGGGAACCCTGAACTGGACGAATTCAAGCAGATATATATAGGATTACTGGTTGGTGGTTTGGAACATTTTTTTATTTTTCAATATATTGGGAATAATAATCCCAACTGACTTTCATATTTTTCAGAGGGGTTGAAACCACCAAGCACTATATATATATAATATAAATTATATAGGATTATAGAGGGACATCTTATCCATTTTTTCCAAGGAGCCTGACTTGTAACTGCTCTTACATGAAACGACCTAATGAATTCATTGTGACATGTTTTTTTGATTTCTATTGAAATTTATAAGCCCGCGGAGGGGTCAATTTTTCCCATGGCCGGACATGGTTGGTGGTTTCGACCTGATTCAACCTGATGGATCTTAAATTGGCTTCCCAAAGAATAGGATGAAGTACTTGGATTATCCCACAATAAAGCGGGCTTATTCCATATTAATTATGGCTTATACATGTGGTTATGATCCAGTTATTTTCTCCGCGGGATGATCCTCCAAGATAGAAAGAGACTGTTTTTCTCGGAATGAAAAATCACCAATCAGTCTCTGGAATGATTGGGTTATAGTTGGTGTATATTTGTGTGTTTGTTGTCCTCCCCTAATATTTGCAGGTGCAAGCAGGAGACATCTGAATCTTTGGTGTGTTTCCGTCATGTTCATCCCCCACTGCTTGAGTGACCCAACGAGCTCCTACGCTTTCTTCGTAGATGGCATAAGTCCCGAAGGCTTTTCATGCGATCCCAAATCAATGATATATATATATAGTCTATATATAGTGTTGATCACGTGTCCCATTTCCTGTACTTTACCCAGTGGGACTACCCTCACCGTGGCAAGCTATCACATATGTGGAAAACACGCCTTTGAAAGATGTGTGTTTTCTATTATTATATTGATTAAGGGCTTTCCGCTTCCACCATTTCCGTTGAATGCGAGTGCCAGCTTGCAGACCAAGGAAGATCTCGGAAGCTGTGCCGGCGAAAAATGCGCGGCTGAGATGCACATGGCCATAAGTACAAGTCGTTGGCACCCCAAAACAAATCGGTCTACATGTGCCATGGTCACAACATGGCTTGTTTCCCTTAAAGGGGAATAGTCATCTGCCCGTTTTCATAGGGATTTACCATGATTTACCCATGTTCTTCAGGATTCCCAATATGGGATGACGGGTCCCACAGCTAGATGAACACTAGAGGAACACGTGAATCTTTAGGTTTTGACACTAGTTTTTGAGAATGGATCGAACCTGAATAGTCCAACAAAAAACGAAAAATATATCTATATTGTAAGTTGTGATGAAACACATGTTAATACGTTAATACTCAAGGCATGTGTTTAAAGATTACCTCAAATGTTGCTCAAAAATGGACCAACAACTTTGATTCCACAGAGCAATTTTGATATATATTTTGACCCACACATACAGAATATGACTTGTGAAACCCTATCTCTGCAATATCCCTTGTGCATGTATGACATGTGATGCTTCGATCCAGATTATGACGAATTCACCGCTATGTTTTTGATCGGAATCCTGCAGCCGTTGTAACTATTGAGGTATTATTCAATCCAACAGCGTATTATTATAAAGGACTAGCATGGGATGTTTACTATCTACGAACTAGTGCAGGATTTCGCAACTATCCACAGTATATAGGACATCCCGATACACAAGAGGAGAGTCCCCACTAAAAAGCCACGCTTGGCTGCACCAGGAAGAAAAGAATCGATCCATCCAATCTATAAGGGGTACACAATTGCGACACTGGAGACAACTCTCATTATGTGTGTGTCATTTTTCATGGTGTATACTCTCAAAATGGTCATTTTTCATAGGGAATTTGGATGATTTTGGTGATTCACCAGCGGATTTGTCTGTTCCAGTGGGACGGCGCCGGCAATTTGGCTCGAACCTCACAGGCATTGACCAGAAGTGATGTTTCGTTTGGAAAGCAGGCAGCTCTTCGTTGCCCAAATGGTGAGGTTGGTGGGTTGCCCAAATTCTTATTTTTGCATTTTAGCGTTCTTTGGGTAAAACCACATGGTGCCGTTTACTTCCAATTTCACTTGGTTTTGTTCTAAACAAACCCTATGGATCCAAAAACTGTCTCAGAAGGTACTCAACCCCTAAATCATACCCCAAACACTTCCTAGGAAGGTACTTGGATCCATAGGGAAACAACCAGCGATGCCCAGCGATTGAACGACGTCTTGGGGCATGCAGCGATATGCAGCGTGATGGCCGATGCTTCGAGGTGCCGAGATGAGTTGAAACCACCAACCTGTCAATGGATTGGTTAGAGGGAAATTTTAGAGGAAAACCCATGGAAAACCCCATATCCCATAGGATCCATGGTGCTGCTATATATGGTAACATGGATCCCATCAATATACCCCCTTTATGTTTGCATATATAGCATACATGGATCCTATGGGTATTTTAGGGGCACAAATCGATAGTTTCCGGTTTTCCAGATTTTCCCGACTCAACCAAATCCATTGAGCTTGTTTTTAGCGAGATTGAACATGCTTTTGGTTGTGTAGGTCTTTTGGTTGTCCATTTTTCACTACCCTTCTTAGATGGCTCTTCTGGCAAGATTTTTTCATGGAAATCTTGACGTAGACCCCAAACAAACAAGGCCTTATGAAGGGGCCATCAACCCCGGCCCCCTGAAGCTTTTATGGCTAGCCCTGTGATGCCCTGTGCAGATTGACCAGCGCATTGAAAAGTCCTGGAGCCAACATTCACGAGGTGGGAACCGGTGCATGGGATATGATATGCTGGCATTCTATGCCATTTAGTGGATGTCAAAAACATGTACAGGCAAGTGAAGTAGGCCGCAAGGTAGAAATTCAAGACGTACAGAAAATTTATACATATAATATTAAATAATTATACATATAATATTAAATATATAAACATCCGTATCAATGTCCGTGTCATTTTTCAGACTTCCAGCGAAAAAATCACCTTTGAAAAAATCGAATCACTTCGATGCTCCGGTGAATCTTAGGTCCTGAAAAGGGCGGAAGCTGCCGAACTGCAGCTGAACGCCATTCACCTCAATGCCGCCATGGGAGTCCTTGAGAAACGGCACAGGCACGACGTGCACGAAAAAAGAGGCTCCTCCAGGCCTCCAAAAAAAGGGGGTTCCTGAATGGGAGATGTAGCATGTATTAGCATGTATATGCCCAAAAAATGCCCTAAAAATGGCAGGATCCATATATGTCTATAGAAATGATGAAGCAAATATGTTGCATTCTGGATTGAGTAGCCAACTTTCGGACGAAGCGGCTTGACCCTTTTTTCAGACACACACCAAGTCAGATGTCAACATGAAATTGCCATGTTATATTTATATCTATTATACTTATTTATATCCTATTTATAGATGGATTTTAATATACTATATCTCATCATAAACCCATCAGACCTTCCAAGGTGGGTTGTGGGTCCGGCCGTGCCTCGTTCCCAGCGGAGGTGGCAAGAGGTCTGTCATACAGCGCAGAGGACAGCAAAGTGATTGCGGTGACCTGGATACATCTTTGGATTTTTTTCCAATTTCCAAGGCTTCAAAGAGTCCAGCTCTTAACATGGTTTACCCTCTGGTAAACTAACATAGCTAGTGAAAATGACCATTTATAGTGAGCTTTTCCATTAAAAATTGAGATTTTACATACCCTGGGGATCCCTGTAGCACATTATTCACTACGTGGCCAATGTCGCACCTGAGGCGCTACATTCAGCATGTCAGCTCTCAGAACAGACGTTCATTAATGACTACCCCAAAAAAGTCATAAATGGAATTTTATGTGAGATTCATGGATTATTCACGTGATTTTACTAGAATTGAACTCATATCATCATGCTCAGATCTTTCAACTGTCATGATCAACATGATATGTTCATGAGATCCATCGATAAACCTGTTGTATCCAATCAATGATCCATCATGACCAAAAAACCTGCAGTTTTTCCATCTCTGAATGCAGCGAGCAGCTGCAACATGTCGCTTTGACACCTTTTGTGGTGTTTCCGTTGAAGCTTCAGAAGGTGCCATTTCTGGGGATCTCATAGCGTGAATTAGCGTGAATTAGCGTGAATTAGCGTGAAAATCATTTATAATGTCATATATGAGACCATACATTGGGCCCAATGTCAGCTCTCAGAACAGACATTCATTTATGACTTTGGGGTTTGGCGTGAATTAGCGTGAATTAGCGTGAATTAGCGTGAATTGATATCCTTATGCTTGAAATCGAGGCATTTGGCCGTAGGAAGGGGGTGCAAGCTGGGCTTAGTTGATCCCAATCTACCGCTGATGGCTTCATTGCCAGCTGATTCCCTTGAAGAGGATGCTCTGCTGGGTGTTTCTAGGCTGAAGCAGCCAGTAGATATTTGCACGGCCATTGCCACAGCTCTTTCAGGAAGTTGTAGACCACTGTTTCTGTCAGAAAACACTAGCAAATTGCTTCGATTGTCGTGTTTGAAGTTGTCAGCCTTCTGCACCATGCCTTCTTAGGCTATGAATGCTCTATCTGAGTCAACAGCAAGCGGATGAAATTTTGGCTTGCAGTTATGAAGTGACCTGGTAAAGTGTTTCTGTGCGTGTTTGTGTATATATATATATGTGGCTTTAACAGTTTTTAATGAAGATGTTCCAAGGGGGCTGGATGAAAATGATCCTGTGTTCTGACTCTATTCATTTTTGTTGTGGCTATCCAAGTTACAGCAAATCAACATCTAACCTACACTGTTTTGGCACAGAATCATCAACGTATGGGTTCCCTTCGATGGCCGTTCAAGCCGAAGCACCATGTGCCCTGGATTTGCTTTGAACTAGTGGCATCTTTCTTCTTTTCAGCTACCTGAAAGGGTGATTTTTTGAAGGGTCTTCTCTTGGAATAATGACCTTCTTTGAGTCTTAAAACATCTCAGGCGTTCCAGGAGCTGGCCTGGTTCATGCGATGGGAGCGGTACAATTGCCGTAAGTACCATTGCTTTGTGGATAAGGATTGCATAGGCTTTATAAAAGGGTTCTGTCGACGTGTACATCGAAGGATGCTGGAGTTGAGAGTCCTGGGCAGATGGATGATTCGCCTTGGTGCTTACCGGCGGAAGCCGAAAAGTGTGAAAAATGAAGATTTGGAATTGGGATTCGTGAGTTGTGAGAGGGGGGGAAACCCATAAATGGGCACCAGACAAAAGTCATAAATGAATGTCGTTTCTCAGGCTATACGCAGGGCAATGTAGCAAATATTTCTGACATCGTTGAATGTAAGGAATAATTTCAGACCTTCGATCCACTGGGATAGTTATGTTAGTTTACCAGAGGGTACCTGCAGGTCCTTGTTGATTTCCTCCATGTTTCATCATTCTTCAGTCGATCCATGTCAACCCATAATCCACTGGGGCAACTGCTGGGACGTCTTACATTCCTTGCACACCAAAATCGGAGCATTGTGGAAGTTAAGCCAGAAACATGTGTACCATACTTCCATCATTTTAGACATATATTCTCCTGTATGTTTGCTTTTTAATGCTATGGTATCGGACTATCGCCTTGAATTCCTGATTGTTCAAGTGGCTTCGTCTGAAAGTTTGCGCATTTTTCCATGAAACCATATTAAACTTGGTTATTTGGGGGTATGCGACGGTATAGCACAGTTTTAGGCGCACCCAGGTTGTTTCGTGACCCTCATCTCAGCTCTCATCGGCAGGATGTCCAACGTGAACATACGAAGAGATGTCATCAGTCGCTTGACAGTGTGGCTGAGTCAGCCTTCATGAGATACAATCTCCCTGTTTCAAGGGGTAGTTTTGGTTTGCTTTCATCCAGGTTTTGTGGGTGTTTCTTTTTGGTTTCAAATGATTAAAGTTCTGAATGATTTGGTTTTGACCTTCCTATCTTCTTGCTTCTTTTGGGTGGGCCTGTTGCGCCGTGATTTGTTGATTGGCGCCGGCGTAAAAATCGTGCTCGTTTGGGTTCCTAAGTTTTTCACACCACAAATGCAAACTATAGTAATGATCATATGTCAAAAATACTTCCCCTTGAGATATGGGTATGTCTAAAATAGCTCAAATACCCCCAAATGTTGCAGCCAAATCCTCGTCCGAAATTTCACACTTCACCGAAACCAACTCAGGTTGCAACGTGCTCTTGAAAGTCGGAGAGAACTGGCAGCAGACGCTCGAAGGTCTCAGGAGAATGGCTGGGCACCAAAACATTTGGGGTGTGTGGGTTCACCCAGTGTTCTCAAGCTGGCAAAGGAAAGACCACCATTCATATCCATTAGTTTTCATAATCCATTATGCGTTGATTGATGTCAATTAATATGCATGCCAATTAGATATCCGTTGGTCAGTGTCAATTAACATCAATCAATACCAATTCACGAACATGGTTTTCCTTGCAGAAAATCACACCCAGACAAAAAAAATGCGTCGCCCCTGAGCAAGACTTCTGTGCTTGTCTTTGACGGAGAATCAGTGTCCTGCATGTCCAGACAATCAGCAAAAGACCGAGCCTATTACCAACCCCAAAATTAAGTTCAAATTAATATAGACCCTGAGGATGCAATTTTTCAGTTGAAACTCGTCTTTCAAGCCCCGGTAAATGGCAGGGTCGTCATGTACATTTTGGGGGATAGTATTTCCCGGCTGCCTCAAGTCTCCCCCTTGAAAAACATACACCAGGGGGCTGCAGTTGGGGTTACAAGTGGATACATTGCATCACAGTTATAGGGACCCCATATCCCTTTTGGAGGCTACCATCCTGGTGATACTCATGTTTTTCACCCGAACTGCACCAACCATGATTATTGGAGCTTTTACTACTCAATATATTGGGGATATGCTACCCTTGATCTATAGGAAATTGCTATAATCCATCCTGGTAATCCTCATGACCAAACAGCATCAGTTTGGTGAAAATATATAGGATACCCCGAATTGAAATGGATTGCCATCATTTTCCCCACCAAGTAACCAGACATCAACTGGGTGTAAACCCCCCCCATTCTCACACAAACCCAACTATCATATTGGTGGTTTTATGTTCTCACATCCTCAGTAGGAATCCCTAAAACTCCCCATGTGTGAATAATTCTGGTTCCACAAATCAGCCATTGTCCTACAGCAAACCTATAGAATGGAATTGGAATAACCCACATCATCCTGCACCAGTGCTCGCATAGCTGTAGCAGAGAGACAATGTCGCCCCCCCCCTAATTAATGTTGCTGGTTGGTGGTTTGGAACATTTTTCATTTTTCCATATATTGGGAATCATCATCCCAACTGACTTTCATATTTTTCAGAGGGGTAGGTCAACCACCAACCAGTTTTGCTTTCGGGGAGCCTTCCGGTGGTGCAGCGTTGCAACCCTTCAATGTTAAACAGGGAGTGCGAGGGTTGCGAAGCATCCGGGGCTGCAAGTGGTGCACGATTCTTTCCACCGTCTGGCGAAACTGTTTTCTGCTTCTCTCAGAAGCACCCTGTCTGTGCGTCTCAAACACAGTCTTCACATCACGTTTGCTCATGATGGTTGCGTGTGCCAGCACCAGCTGCGACCACTGCGCCCAGGTGCATCACGAGCAGGTACGTTTGCACGACCAAATGGAAGGTCTTCGTTGGCGAAATCCCGTCGGAAGGGTCTTGACGTCCTACGGACGTGACGTGTCGAGCACACACTAGACAAGAAATGGATCATTAGAGTGATCCGTTGGGAACTGAATCCTGTCACGTGCAATTAGGTTAGATGTGTGTGTGTATATATATATGGGCTACGGTGGCCACCAGCTGCGACTTAAATGCGCCCAGGTGCACCACCAAAGCCCAGCAGGTACGTTTACACGGGTCCCGGCGAGGTGTCTTCGTTGATCACCGACCCCCCCGGGACCCCGGTGATCCCCTGCTGTAATAGAAATATTTAATAATATAATATAATATATATATATATATTTTTTTAATACATATATAAAATATGAAGCGGCGGCGAAGTTTTAAGTATATTCAGACGTTTCACACACACACATCCTGCCAGAGGCAGGGTGGTTTGCATGCAATGAGGTGAAGATGAGGATGAAAAGGGGAATCAAGATGAGATGAAAGTGAAAATGAGATGAAAGATTACTTAACCGGAACCCGAGGAGGGGAACGCAAAAGAAGAGGGAAGGAGCAAACACCCACACCAACACACCTGGCCCGGAGCGGGCAAACCCTGAAAGGGCAAGGGAAAAGAAAAGCGGAGGCCGACGGACACGGAACAAGACCAGCGGAGGGGGGGAAAAGGACGGAAGCGCCTGAACCAACCTACCACAGCGAGACCTACGCCTACCTAGGCACGCACAGGACCCAACCTACCCTGGGGAGGGAAGAACGCATGAAATAGGGGACCGAATGGGGGACTAGTTGATGAAAGACGAAGAAACAACAGCAATTAATTAATTAAATGGGGTTCAGTTCAGCCCTAAAGAGTCGTGCGTTAATTACTCCCTCAAGGGGACGGTAGTCGGTCAAGCCACACGGACTGAAACAGCTTTTCGAGTTCAAACGAATTGGGTACACAATATGTTCAAACTATCAAAAGAAAGTAGACCACACCTGAAGGCATGAACCTGACACCTTTCATGGATCCTTGCAGTTGTTCTGTCGCTGTGTTGGAATAAGAAAGTTTGTGGCTGTTCCGTACAGCTTCACTTGAGCGGAATCGAAATTGTCCCAGGGTTCGCAAGGACGGCAGGAGCGGCGAGACGTCATAAAAAAGTGGTGAACGGAATGGCCAGCTGTTTCACTATACTTAAACGAATTACTAGATTAAAATGTGTAAATTCAGAAGTCGGTCAGTCAGCATTCACCCTAAAAAGGGTTCCCTCAAGTGGGTCCATGGCACCTTGTCGGGGCCACCATGGAAGAAGTCACACTAGACAAGAAATGGATCATTAGAGTGATCCGCTGGGAACTGAATCCCATCACAGGCAGTTAGATTAGATGTGTATATATATATATATGGGCTATGGTGGCCACCAGCTGCGACTTAAATGCGCCCAGGTGCACCACCAAAGCCCAGCAGGTACGTTTACACGGGTCCCGGGGAGGTGTCTTCGTTGATCACCGACCCCCCAAGGACCTCGGTGATCCCCTGCTATAATAGAAATATAATACATATAATATAATGAAGCGGCGGCGAAGTTTTACGTCTATTTAGACGTTTCTCACACACAGACACATATGCGCAGACAGCACGGACGCACGCGCGACTGCAATACTATCCTTCGCCACCTGCGGTGCATTGCATTTTCCCAGATATGTGTCTTCTCTGTGAGCATCTTGGCTCACGGTCTTGTTGCGTTGTGTCCTGTTTCCTGCCGCTCATGCGGGCAGCTGGCTGGACCAAGATGTCTGCTGAGGACATTCGCTTAGCATCAGAATGGTACGATGCTGGTGAGTCATGTAGCGAAATAGCAGACAAGCGTGGGAGGAACAAGTCAGCCATCACCCGTCTCCTGGTCAAGCAAGTCGAGCACAGGCCTCAGGGCCGACCACGGTTGATCACCAATGCCAAACTAGCTTTCCTCAAGAGGAAATTGAAGGAGCTGGTCCAGAAAGCTGATGCTCACTATACAGTGATTGTGACCATGCTGAAAAAGGCATGAAAGTACAGCTTCACCAGACCTTTGTCACTGTCCACGGTGCACATTGCGGAGTGTGCCCGATGCTTTGCCCAGATGGTGTGCTGCGCTTTGGACTGTGAGTCTAATGCGAATACCTGTCGCTCATGTGGAGCCTTGTCCGGATGCGGCGTCCAAAAAGACGGGTGGCAGATGCAACACACTGTTTACAGTACTGTGGATGGAGGAAATTCTGCACCAGTACTCGCATAGCTGTAGCAGAGAGACAATGTCGCCCTTCCCCCCCTTAATCAACTGGGTGGTGTTTTGGAACGTTTCTTATTTCTCCATATATTGGGAATAATCATCCCAACTGACTTTCATATTTTTCAGAGGGGTAGGTCAACCACCAACCAGTGTTGCTTTCGGGGGGCCTTCCGGTGTTGTAGGATTTTGTCCATTCAACTTCTTTTTCTTCAGCAGCGTTGCAACCGTCCAATGTATCTTCGGGGAGCGCGAGGGTTGCGATTCTCTCCGGGGCTGCAAGTGGTGCGCGATTCTTTCCACCCACCGTATAATAGAATAAATGTATATATTTATATTTATATATATATATATGTATGTATTTATTTTACAATACATATATATATATATATTTGCATTAGTTGCCAGAAAAGGAAAAAAGTATCTCAGTATATCCCCATGAAATTCACATGTCTCCCCATAACAAGCACAAAAAAACACATATCAATAGCCATTTGAAACTGCCGCAGGAGCACAGAGCCCACCGAGGCGACCGAGGCGACGGTTGTGGCACTGGCGCTTCCAGTGCCTTCCTGGCCACAGGCCGGAAACTTTGGGTGAGATGTCAATAGCAATGATATAACAATGATCAATAGGTAACATCAATAGGTAACCAATAGGTAATCAATAGGTTATAGCAATGATACGTTGTTTTCATTGAAATAGATGTCAACAGCACTGAGATGTTATAGCAATGATGGATAGGTAACATTAGTTAACTGTCTAATATAAGCTAATATGGTTCCATATTACTTGATAGTGTCATAACACGTCATAGTGAGATTGTATCTTGAGATGTAACAGCAATGATGTGTTAGCAATGATAAGCTTGATATTTTGTGAAGTATCGATGCTATTATGTTTGTGAAAATGGTGATGTTTTAAGCTCTCCAGCTGGGTCAACCGACTGCTTACTTACGAACCAGTATTTTTTTTTGTTTACTATAAACGGTAAAATTTGCCCTAACTGTGGGAATATCATGGGAGAAACAAAATATAATATATATATATATAAATATCTAATGGGATGGACATGGTGATTTAATGCGATCTTCAGCTGATATAGTTTGGGATGTAGATATAGTTAGTTAGTGACCATCAATAAATCAGTAAGTGACCACTAGTTAGTAGTCATAGTTGTAACCCATCGACTATGGCTATCCAGTGGTGAATGGGTGAATGGAGGGAGCGAACGAAGGAGCCAGGGGCATTCAATTTCTCACCAAAGATGGGGAGCCAAATGTATCGAGGAATTGAGTTTCCGACAATGTGATAGTACAACTTGTTCCAGCCTGTTCAACCATATTAATTTGTTTTATGTTCTATGAATTTCTATGTTTTTGTTTCGAACATGTACTGCAACCTCAGCATGTTTATGAATCATATTCATTCATCTTGGAGGTCTAAGCACTTTATACGTTCATCAACGAAACATCAACTAATGTATTCAAGATATTTAAAATTTTTGTTAAACACAAATTTGTGGATTTTGAATGATTTTTGACCTAGTTTAACAAACGAAACTGGGGTAGACAAAGTTGCAGCTCTGGGGCCATCTTAGCAGGGACACAAGAAGTGGGAAACTGTGGCGCGAACAGAAGGGAAGAGTGGCCCTTGTTTTTATGATGTAGAGATTCCATGAACAATGAATGATGCACATCTAATAAAAAATGGTGAGCATGTTGCAATTTTGACATATCTCAATGACACGTTTTTGTCTTGATGTTTCCGTGGGTGCTTTCGTAGCTTGTGGAATTCCTTAAGTGGAACTTCTTCGCACACATCTTTGACATCAGACCCATTCGACCCCAACAAACAACTTCACCGCCCTCGTGCTGGGTTTTGGGCAAACCCTGGAATCTGCACACCTTGGGTCTGGGTGATAGGTTATGCACTTCCTATGGCATTTGAGCTTCTCGGATGCATCCTGAACGCATTTGTTGGTGTCATTTGTTGGGGGAAATGAGGTTCAAAGGAGTTCAAAAAAATGCATCTTCCTGGACTGTAGTTGCTGAGTATATGTTTCCTCATGTTGTTTTTGGAGGTTTCCTAAAATTCCTAAAGTATGGCTACCCCCAGACTAAACCGAGGCGCCAGACCATGACTCAGTATCGAAACCCATGGTGACTAGGGGATCCTTCATTTTAAGAAACAGCCATGAATGGTTCATACTAAAGGTGTTCCCTGAAATGGGGGTAACCTCCTTGCATCATCCACGTGATTTTCGGATGTTCGGTTGTAAATAAACCATCCAACTTACAATGGGGATGCCATTTTTTTCCGAAACCACCATATCTTCAAAATTAAATGGGGGTGCCCCGATAAATCATCCATTTGATATTGGGATTGATCCCCCATGGATTGGAAAACCCCATATGGGCGATTTTCCACTAACCTATCCATTACTCTCTGGTAATTTAACATAGCTTTTGAATGCTATTAAATATGGCACATCTAGTTCGTTGATTTGCCTATTATTTAAAGATTGTGATTTGAAAAATAAATCAACTATACTATCATTATACTATCAATTGTACTATTATACTATCAATTTATAGTTGATTTACCATAATACTATGTTAGATCACCAGAGGTATTGATGATCCCAAGAAGCTCAGGTTCCCTCCGGCTGGAGCTGACAATACCTTGCTTCAATGCAGTGCCCTGATGGATCCCAACAGATCGGGAGGTTTCCTGGGACCCCCAAATCCTCTATTTCGATAGGATGTTCTATTCCAAAACCATCCATTTTGGGCTACCTCCATTTATTGAAACCTCCATATATAAAATATATATATATATCTATCTATACATACATGCATACATGCATACATGCATACATGCAGACATACATACATACATGCATGCGTACATGCAAACAGGCATACATGCATACATGCATGCATGCGTGCATACGTGCATACATGCATACATGCATGCATGCATACATGCATACGTCCATACCTCCATACATGCATACATACATACATGCATACATGCATACATGCATATACGCATACATGCATACATGCATACATACATACATCCATACATGCATGCATACATACATACATGCATACATGCATACATGCATGCATGCATGCATGCATACATACATACATACATAAATACATACATCCATACATCCATACATGCATACATGCATACATTCATGCATGCATCCATGCATCCATGCATACATGCATACATGCATACATGCATACATGCATACATGCATGCATGCGTGCTTACATGCATACGTGCATAAATGCATACATGCATACATGCATACATGCATACACACATACATGCATCCATGCATGCATGCATGCTTACATACATACATGCATGCATACATACATACATGCATACATACATACATGTATACATGTATACAGTCTACATGTACATTATATATATATATATTTAAATATAAATAGATACATAGATAAATAGATAGATAAATAGATACATTCTAGATATAAACCCGTTTGAGGGGGATCAATACCTCCTCATTGCTTACCCTTTGGCAATAAAACATGAAATTGGTGGGTTACAACCCTCAGGAATAGTGATTTAGTGAGGTTTCAACCACTAAGAAGACGTGGATATATATATAATTGATACAACGTTATTATTCTTAGTTGTGAGTTGTGGTTTATTCACCTACCTGGTTTATTGGGGTTTACTAATCCCATAGTTTACGGATGTCAATAGGATACTTTTGGATTTATTGAGTTGTTTTGACTCTGAACAATGCTATTCACAGTCATTAAACCCCACCAGTGTGGGTCAACAATCTTCGGGGACCCCCAAGGATCCAATTTACTGTTGGTTACCTAGCATGGGGGGTACCCCCTTGCATCATCCAAATTCGACAATTTTAGTATTGACACCCATGGTTTTGGGGATCTATCATTTTAAGAGACCCCTATATTGCCTATATTCATTCTTCTCGCATGTTCGATATTTCAAAGACTTGGGTGAAGGGAAATGCAGAGGAAACACCTGTGCAGTCACATGTATCTATCTGATTTGAAATGTACGCAAAAGTTTCCAGTATCTTTCTTCGCAATAGGAAAAAAATCAATGATATCAAATTCCCACGACTGGTTTAAGTACAAGATTGCAGGCCCCCTTGTTTGAGGGTTCCTCTAGAAATCCACCATATGTTTGATGGTCGCATACGTAGTTTGATGCTCAAGCATCCTAGAATTGTATGTTTCAATCCACCCCAGATCAAAAAAAACACAATTTAATTAAACTCATAATGTCAGTTGACTTAAATTCCCATCTAGTTGGTGAATCAAATACAATTTTAGTTGGTTAGATATAGATCAGCGGCTACAAGAACGACATAAACGAACACATATCATGTTTAGTAGTTCGTTTGTTTTGCATGAAATCACAGTTGTTTGCCACTTAATTAAATCTCATCATGTTTGTTGGCAAAAAAAAGATAGTGTAACGCTGTGGGGGCGTCACGTTTACAGTGTTTTTTCCCCACCTGCCAGGTGAGGGTTGTTATCTTTTGTCAGAGCTGTTCTCCTCCTCCTCCGCCTCCTCCTCCATCTCCTCCTCGTCCTCCTCCTCGCAGTCCAGATCCCAGTGGGCACTGCCGGACCTCCACCGCGAGCTCCAGATCCCAGTGGGCACTGCCGGGCCTCAACCGCGACTTCCAGATCCCAGTGGGCACTGCCGGGCCTCAACCGCGACTTCCAGATCGCAGTGGGCACTGCCGGACCTCAACCGCGACTTCCAGATCGCAGTGGGCACTGCCGGACCTCAACCGCGACCTCCAGATCGCAGTGGGCACTGCCGGACCTCAACGGGAAGAATGTCAGAAAAGATGTCAGATAGAATGTCAGAAGATATGCCAGATAGAATGCCTGAAAGAATTTCAGAAAGAATGTCAGAAGATATGCCAGACAGAATGTCAGAAGATATGCCAGAAAGAATGTCAGAAGATATGTCAGATAGAATGTCAGAAGATATGCCAGATAGAATGCCAGAAAAAATGTCAGAAGATATGCCAGATAGAATGTCAGAAGGTATGCCAGATAAAGTGCCAGAATGTTTGCCAGAGAGGATGCCAGAAGATTTGCCAGATAATATGCCAGAAGATATGCCAGATAGAATGCCAGATAGAATGCCAGAACATATGCCAGGTAGAATGCCAGAAGATATGCCAGATAGAATGCCAGAAGTAAAGTATTGTTTTTAATTTATATATATATACATTATAAATATATATATATATATAATTATAGTGTACGCTTATTTATACTCATATGTTTTGTTCTTGTTCTATTTTCTATGTTGTTGATATTACTTTGTTTCTGTTGCATTGTTACCTATTGTACATTTAATTTGGTTCTGGAAAGTTCATATAGAATAGCATAGTTGGGGTGGAGATAAAGCTCATACCATTGGTTCTACACTGTTTCTTCCTTTGCAAAAGCAGATTATAGATAGACCCATGGCAAGTAGCAAATTCAATATGTGTATCATCATATGAACATGTAACATGTATATATACACAGTTGTGTTACAATACCCAAGAATGATTAATGAGATAAGCTAAGTAAATTTAAGTAAATCTCATAGTCTGTGTTAAACTTAAACAAGTGCTCGTTTCGACATCACCATATAAACTTCCTCATGCAACTGTATTACTATTGCTTAGATTTGGTGGCTACCAGAAAAAAAGAAACAACTAAAATACAGCCTTGCAACATCAGGCAGTTGTAGTTGCAAAGGGTATATCAACAGGACTGAAGTTTTGTCCCAAGATTGACAAAAGTTTGAACATCGATTTCAATGGCTCTACCAAGTCTTGCAATGAAGTCCAAGCTTCATCACAAACTAAGAGTGATCATGGAAAAGGCATGGAGCAGATCACTCTTCTCACATATGTACAGTGCAAACTCATGATTTCAACCTTTTTGCGCGCATGGAATATATAAGAATACTTAGAACCAATCTTGGAACAACATGGCAAAATCAATCTTACATGCACGTAGCAGTGATCACCTTCAACCCATCACATGCATAACCATTCCAGAAACTTAGAGTCTCATGTAAGAAATTATGACAATCAATTTTGTATACATTTGTATTCTTGTCTGGGGTCTACCTGAACTTGTACATGTTTCTCTGGTAAGCCAACAATGCAGGCAAACATGAAACTTTGCAAATATTGTCACATACAAGCTGCAATAGCTACACAAGCAGATAGCATACATATACATGATTTATCATCATGTTCTGGAAATTGCACATGACATGGATTTCATTGGCAATACCTTTGCAGAGTGGTGAGTTGTATCTGTATCAGGCTCTTTTCATGCTATGCTATGCAATATTTTTCAACAAATATGGAAAGAATATGGACATAATATGGAACAAATCCTGCAATCAAAATCTGTGAGTGAATGTGCTGATCAAGCAGTTTGGTTAGCCTAAATGGAGTTTGCCTGTGATCAGCGCAATCAAACAAGAAAATATCTTCAAGGGTATGCCTACATATAGCCATGGCAAGGAGCAGACCTAGCATAAAAGTGAAACGGGATGAAAGCAAAAACTCATGCCAACACCTTCCCAACGAACAACTTGATTTTCCGTATTTTTCCAAAGATATTTTCAGGTTAAGATACTGCAGCAAGGGTGATCCTAGCTATCTCTTGAATTACCATGTAAATAACCAATAGAAGTAATCATTGCACCATGTCATACGTTCCCAGCTTGTGTCTGTAGCTTTGAAAAGTTGTGGCACTATTGTTGGCTCTATTTGAAATCGAGCTTGAATTGACCCATGTGTCGAGTTGGACTGCACAAAGACCTCAATGAGAGTATATTTGGCCACGCAAATCACGAAAAATATATGTTGCTCCCCTGGGGTGGCTGTAGATGGTCATTCCACATTACTCATTCAAATGAATATTGAGCTTCCTGGCCATGACAAATGTAGCATTTTTTGAAATAAATGATTCTATTCTATATATTTAGTAATATATATATATAGTAATATATATATAGTAATATATATATATAGTAATACATATATATAGTAATATATATATATAGTAATACATATATATATATATTGTATATATATATATGGTTGTATATGTATAAGGGTTCTACTTTCCATCCTGTTTTCTTCCTGTGCCACTTTTGAATATCATGCACTGGCCCTTTTAGTGGCACAGCATAGCCCTAAGAGATAGTGTTTTCTTTTTTCAACTTAGTATGTCCTTGCCATGCAGTGAAGAAAATCCAAACCTCTAAAAAGATAAAAAGATCTTATCCAAGATCAGATGGGTTATAGTTAGTATTGGTCTAAGGATGAATTTACATTCTTTACTGATGAGGCTGTCTTTAGAATAGACATGACAAATTGAGTGGTATTGCTCATACTACGTAGTGTAAACACCGTTGGGCTAAGTCGGGCTAAGTCCGGCTAGATCCCGTCCGGCCGGTGCCGTAGTGCCGTCCGTGCGGCCGGTTCCGTGGTGCCGGTCCGGATTGAAAGCTAGCTTCCTGGGGTCTGGGGGGGGGTGAAAAAACGGAAAAAGAACAACTTTTTTTTTGCTGCCCCAAATTTCCCCCCCCCCCTCAGGGAGGGGTCTAGAAGGCAACAACCAGAGCTTTACGGTTTCCAGAGGTCTCGAGGAGGAAGCAAGAAAGGGAAAAAAAGACTAAACAGAAAGCTTAGTAGCAATATATTAATCCAAAACTTGACCCATATCTGTCCATTCCTCTTTCCAGCTCTCCACAACGTCCCTTTCTGAAATATAAACAACATTTAAGTAACATTGTTCTCTCATATTATGGTGCGAGATATTGCAAGACATGCAAAACAATCCACACACATGTCTCATCTTACGTTTTGCTGTATTTCCAGAAACATGGTAAAATGGCCCCCGTGGCGTGACTTTCTGAAAAAAACTAGGTATTTGGTGGCTCATCACACTTACCAGGATTTACTAAGTAGGTTATATCAGGTTATATCATGTTATATTCCCTCGTTTTGTTATTTTGATAAATAGGGCTAATCCACTTTTTTCAGTGGGGTGAACTACCCTCCTTCACGATTCTTGGATCAATCACCAAGTATAGCTACAGGGAATTTTCCAAAGTATGGTAAAACTATTTCGTAAATATGGGTTATGGCTAGTATATCTCAATTTTCCCTGGGTAGTAGACCATCCTCCATCCCCGAAAGCAGTTATACCGGTATACCGTTAATTACAACGATTAATGATTAGTTATCCTCCAAATTGTAGTTAAACAGGATGGTTTATGGCTATTATAACTTAGTGAAAGACCTACTAGGTTACAATCCCACGTGCTAACCACTAGTTGGTAAGTTACTTCTGATTAGCTACGCCATTAAAACTAGTTGGTAAGTAAACCATAAACTAGCCATCACTCACTTAAATGTAGGAAAATTACTATATTAATACTATTCAATAATGGTTGTAAACACTATAATATATATATATGAGCAGGGACCCCCACACCCCCCCCCCAGCCAGATGGTTCCCAACCCGCTGTGGAAGGGGAGGGGGGGTTTTCTCAGCAGCCAAGCCGATTGTTGTACAGAGTGTATGTGTGGTGTATATATATATATATATATATATTATATATATAGACATATATATAATATGTAAGATATAAATAGAATATATGCAATATATATATATATATTGAACATATATATATATATATCGTATATGTGGATTTTGATAGAATATAGATAGTATATGCCACATGCACTGTATCCACAGTAATGTAATATATACAATATAGGTAGATATGTTCGTTGAATAAATTTCACATAGTATATGTGGTATATTGAATATCGACAGCAATACACGCTGTATATCTAGACTTTATGTATATATGTGTATATATATAAATGCATATAGATATATATACAATTACATATATATATATATGCATTACACGCTGTATATCTAGACTTTATGTATATATGTGTATATATATGCATATAGATATATATACAATTACATATATATATATATATGCATATATATATATACATGTACACATATATATATACGTGTACAGTATGTACAATGTAAACGAAATATGTGATAGATACAAGATCAAGATATCAATATGTAGTATCTAGAATATGCATATATATATATATATATACTGTTTTTCTACTGTACATATGTCTAGGTTTGCAAAGGTAAGCTTTGCGTAATCCATAGGTAGCAAATATGTTGTAAACCATGTGCGAGGCACGCTATAGGCGGTTCGAAAAAAAGGTTATGATAGAAATATACAGGTAGGTCCGTTGACGAGGTCGTGGCTCTCAAGTGCTGCAAATAACGTAGAGATGCGAGGTTGGAGGGGTGGAAAGGGGAGTATATATGTGTATATGTGTATGTATATGTGCAAATAAGATGCAAATACTAGGTTTTGGGGGGGTGGGGGGTTAGGAGTGGAGGAGTGGAGGGGGATACCATTGGGGGGGGTGTGGGGGTCCGGGGACCGGGCTCATATATATATATATACATATATATATCCCTATGAATCCAAACACTGTCTGAGAAGATACAGCTAACCCCCTAGTCAACATACCCCAGTCACACTTCCTAAGAAGGTACTTGGATCCATAGGGTATATGTATATATTTATATCTATATATATAGAGGAGGTTTCTATAAGTAGGGGGTACCCCCAAATGTATGGTTTATAGTTTATAATGGAAAATCCTTTGAAAGTTGATGATTTAGGGAATGATAAACTAGATTAACTAGGGCCATTAATTACCCTTAACTACCTCCAAGGCCCTGCCTCGCAGCTGGGGAGCAAGCCTGGAAGTCTTGCAGAGCATGCGGAGGAAATGGCACAGACTGGTCATGTTGGGATCCCAAACATGGTGATTTTATGGTAATTTAAACTGATTCATGGGGATTTCAATGGATTCAATCGGATTTCATACTGATTTCATAGTGACTTCATTGGATTCAATGGTGATTGAATACTGATTTAATGGGGATTTGAAGATATAGATAGATCTAGGATGTAATGGACATTGGGATTTCATGGGAAATACCCTCTGATAAACTAACAAAGCGAACTGGACTCCACTGGACACTCAGCGTGTTCATAGCGCAATCAACTCTTTCGCAAACTGGGCCATGGCCAGAATCTCAAACTGTAACAAGTTACCAGGAAAAAAACTAGAAGATGTTATTATCTCGGTTGGATAATTTGAAACTCATTAAGGCCATTGAACTACCATTACTGGTTGGTGGTTTGGAACATCGTTTATTTTTCCATATATTGGGAATAATACTCCCATTTGACTAATATTTTTCAGAGGGGGCTGTCGCTTCACGTCGCTCCAGGAGACAGCTGTTGCCGGACGAGGTGAGTTTTTGCAAAATGGCCTGCCAAGCACGGGAGGCCGGGAGCGCAGCGAGCGAAATGTCATGTTTATGCTGGCTAACAAAAAACATGTTTTTAATATAGCAATTTTAGAGGCTCCGGACCTTCGTCCAAACTCCAAAGTGCCCCAACTTTTATATTTAAGATTCTTCAAAAAGGGATCAAATCCCCGAACCCTGTGAAACTATTACACTCATTGAAGATCTTCACAAGGTCAAATCCACCACCCCCGTTAAACTATTGTATACATTCATTGAACATCTTCAATAAGGGATCAAATCCCCCACCCCCGTTTCCGTGGAAGCATTACACTCATTGAAAAGGGTCAACAAGGAAATTTGGAAAACGAGTTTTCGAAGACCCTTACAGCACTCGCAAATCGCAGAGCCATGTTCGATCACAAACAAAACGATATCAATATACGTTGATACAGTCATTTTGTACGGGAATTACCACAGTTTTTGCTCTTCGTCAAGACGTCATGAATTGCATTCCGGGCAAACGGAGACTCCAGGCCACAATTTTACATGTTAGATAGGATATATACACAACAATCCATGATATGGCTAATGTAATACCATGATGGTTGGAGTTAGAACGGGGTATACTGTGTGGGGCAGGAATAAAATTGACCAAAACTCGTTGTGAAACTGATGGGATTCAGCAGGAACGACCGCAGTATTTCAGTTGCAAAGAGGTGGAGGTTGGGATCCCCAAAGCTACAACGAAGGGGTACACTGTTTCCTACCTTGGTTCCCCTTATGATCAAATGACATCAACTGACATCAAATGACATCAAATGACCATAAATGACCATAAATGACCATAAACGACCACAACTTTCACTGGAAGTTAATTTTTGATTCAGAACCAGAGTGCCAGTGTGATGAGATTGTTCTTTATCCGTGGCAGAAGGTGACCCTCGCTGGACGGTTTTAGACTGCTTGTTGGGTCTCAAATCCACCCGATTCTGCAAAGATCCAGATTTCAGGAGTACATCAAATAATCCAAGTTGAAGTACCAGCAGTTTTTACTTGCATCCTCGTTAAATCTAACCTTCGAACTCCCAATTTGATGATCAAACTGTCAGCCGATTTGGGTGTGTTGATTCCACTTTCTGCCGATTTGGGCAACAGAAAATACCTTGGGGGCATCCCGTGCGGTTGAACTTTATATGAAAAAATGTATAGTACAAAGTGGGGCCCGCAAACGATAGCTAAGTTGGTGAACATAACTCCAATAACTATGGTTTATGGTACTTATAACTATAGTTACTGGGGCTTATATACCAAATTATAACTGGGGGGGCCACATTGTATACATTGTATACCCTCTGGTAAACTAACATGTTGACCCTGAAAATCACAAAATTTTAGTGGAAACGGGTCTATGTTAATTTACTGGAGGGTAGTTATTGAACCCTATGGATCCATGGCCACTGTCCGAGAAGGTACGGGTCACCCCCCAAAACGTCATCATACCCCAGTCACACTTCCTTTCAGAAGTTACAGCTGGATCCATAGGGGAAGATTGTGCTAATTCCCGATTCCGACTACCCCCCCCAAACGAAACCACGAGCGGACAATGTTGAATCCATACATATCTAAGTTATATAAGTGATATCTGATTGGTGGTTTGGAACATTTTTAATTTTGCCATATATTGGGAATGTCATCATCCCAATTGACTAATATTTTTCAGAGGGGTTGAAACCACCAACCAGAAGTGATATGCATTTGGGGGGTCTCTCAATGTCTCTCAAGTTGGGAGATTTCAACATATGGCTGAGATTCACCGGCACCTCATGTGCTGAGGGGAACTGGTCCTTCGCCTTGCACCATCTCTCCAAGTTTGCCACCTTGAGGTGACATCTGGCGGTTGGCTTCGATGGTGAATTTACATGTTTTTTTTTGGGGGGGGTAGTGTGGGTAAACTGGAACATATCATTAGGATCATATAAACCATATATTGGAAATATAATCCATATGTTAATTATAATAAACATATAAACATATATAAACCATGTGGGTAATGTGGGAATGTAATTATAACTTCCATAATAAACCGTCTATTAATATCATCAACAACCCATGGCTGGGAATGGTAAGCTTATACCACCTATAAATTTATGGTGATGACTGGGGGCATGGTTTATGATTTATGTCATTGGACATTACCCACAGAAAACACTCATTCATCCACAAAATTATCACCCAAAGACCAAAACTTGAAACAAAAGAAGTGGGGATAATGGACGGGCTGGAGTGAGTGAGAACTGGTTGGTGGTTTGGAACATGAATTTTATTTTTCCATATACTGGGAAGTTCATAATCCCAACTGACGAAGTCATATTTTTCAGAGGGGTAGGTCAACCACGAACAAGAGAATATGGATATATGGGGATCGAGTTCATGTCCTGGATGCAAATGAAATCATGGGATATCCAATCTTGGGTGTCCAAATTGAACCAAACTGGTTTCGTGGATGAAAACAATGACTTACTGATAAGGCTTAACTGAACCACCAGCCTTCAGACAGGTAAGTTCCATTTATTGACATGTTATTGACATTTTCTAATGAGAGTAGTAGTCCAACTTGTCATTGGTAATAAATGGACAAGTGGGAGCTATATTGTTACATAAGATTGATTAAAGCAATTTGTCAAACATGTCAATGATACAGAATAACATGTATCAGACACTTTGTGATTGGGAGCTTTCTGGGGCCCTTTTTAGCCCGTGTTTTGAGGAGATTCCTACACGATGGCCCAATGGTGAAATGAATATGTGCTTCCCACATTCCATACACAGAAATGCAGCTCAACCTTTGGATGAGTAGACCCCTAGCTGCCGTCAGCCTGCGTTTCAACAGTAACAAGGTGACATCCCTTGTCGAGGACCGCTGACGTCAGGTAACTTCGCGAATGTCCAACGTATTCCTTAAAATAAAGAAAGACAGGACAGGACAAATTGGATTTTTCAGTACCAAGATAGCGGTTGAAGCAGGTCGTCATAAGAACTCAGCTCGTGCGAAGGCTTCCCGTTGTCCATAAGCTGCAAGTTCCATTTGTCTATTTTCTTATATTTTCTTGTTGCGTTATTGACACCTGTTGAGTTCTAACATTTGAAGAACATAGTTTTTGATAGGTTGTTTGCACTCTTTGTAATGATTGGTTCTATATGCCCTAGGTGAACCTTGGTGTTTTTGCAATGGAAGTGGTGGCTACAGATCCCACAAACCAACTGATCCTAGGAGATTCCTACATGGTGGATGGCCCAAAGAGGAATAAATCAACGCGACCGGAATCCCAGTATTTATCTTACTATTTCATTGGAACCGTCACATGTTCTAATTAATTTTCTCGGTCGACCTTCTGTGGCTATTTTTACTTTGATTTTTTTCTAGAAACGAGGGTTTCTTAAAGTGGCGGATCCCCAAGTCACGGGTTTCAATAGTGAAATGGTCATCCATGATTTCGATGATGCCAGGGAGAATAGCATTGTTTTAGGAAACCTCCAAATGATAAATGAGTCTCTGGTTGGTGGTTTCAAACATTTGGATTATTTTCCATTGCATATGGGATCATCCTTCCCATTGACTTTCCTATTTTTCAGGGGTAGGTCAGCCACCAACCAGTTTATATAGAATTCCAGGAATTCCAGGTGATTCTGTCCATTCTGTGTTTTTTTTTAAAGGTATCCGATGGCATGGTATTTTCAGTGATGGAATGGGCCAGGCTGATGCCAGATGTGGTGAGTTGCAGTAGCTCCATGGCCTGTTTGGAGGCGCTGGAATGCCATAACTCGAGGTATCTCTATGTGCCATGGTCACATCGCAGAGATGGTCAGAAGTTGGATTATTGGTGAATCAATTGGAAAAATGATATATTGATTATCTATTGAATCTATTGGTTAATCACGCTGAAAAATGATACTCAAATATCAGAGAATGAGTCATTCAGAGAATGATTCCGTGAGGATTCCCTCTATGGGACGGATGACAGCAGCTTCCTTGAAGGTGAGGCACCGTTGTAATATGTTGTAATTTGGTTCATTACCACCAGCTGATATGCAGTATCTACAGGTATCTACCATAAACCCAACAGTTATTGAAGTTATCATGATCCAGCAACTGTGCAACTCAAACTATGTGGTTCCACCTTGTTTAACATTCCCATATGCTCCACGTATGGAATATTTGCCAACATTTACCCCATAAATGAGCCAAATGTAGGTAAATATACTATACATGGAGCATCTGGGATTGAGTTTTGCAGGCCAAGTGGGAAAGCGCCCTGCTTCAGAGACAGGCGGAAAAAGTGCCGTGGGGATGATTCTTCAATAGATGAACAAAAAAAAGGGTTAACCTGGGGTAAACATATAAAACATTATAAAGCGATGTGAACAAAAACCATGGTTTCCCTATAGGAAAAACTATCTACACATTTTGGATTGTCCATATCCATCATTTTCTATATTAGTTCTCAACAATGGCTTACCTGGATGTGCTGCAGGTGACTTTTAGGTGTTTCATTGTTCAACTGTTTCTGCGAGTTGCTCCACAAAGAAACGCTACATGGAAGAATCCAACAAACTACCCCGCCGAGTCGCAGTTTTAACCTAATACCCTCTGGTAAACTAACATAGCTATTGAAAATGGCCCATTTATAGTGGATTTACCCATCAAAAATGGTGATTTTCCATAGTTACGTTAGTTTACCAGAGGGATCCAGAGGGTATATGGTTGTTTGTTGTTCTCTGCCCAAAAATGCAGATGTGTGTTCCCCCAACATGACATGAGATGGTACTTACCCGCGATGACCGGCAAAAAAAAACTGTCAATATCTGTCAATCTGTCCTGGGCCGACAGAAACAGCATTGCTCACATTGATTTTTTTTGTTGCGTTTGCATCCATGAAGAAAATTGAGATCGTCCTGTCCTGGTGAGTTTGTATCGTTTTATGGGGACGATGGTTCCATGGTCTCAAGGCTCTCATCAGCAGGTGCAATGGAACCACTATTGCTACAACTCGATGATGAAGGGAATGCCCAGGCCAGAGGGCATGGAGATGGTCTGGGACACAAAAAATGCCTTGTGCAGTGAAGATGGGCTCCGTTTCCATGTGAGGTGAGCTCGTTCAACTTTTGTTTTGACCTATATTTAGCCATTTAAAGTCCATGCTCCAGTCATTTAGATTCTTTTAGACAAAAAAACAGAACGCGGGATCATGGGGACGTGATTTTTGCTTCAAAACCCTTACAACATATACTGGAGTTTACAATGTTTTGTGATGGCCAGGGGTCCAAAACCTAGGTTTTACAGTAAAAATTACCTCAGGTAGTTTTTATTGGTAGGAGGTATTTATTATTAGGGTGCGAAGCTTCCCCCTAATACTAAATTTAAACGAAGCTTCCCCCCAATACTAATTTTAAGACCCTAATATAAAAAACATTGTTTTTTTAATTTCCAAATCGATTAGATTTCCTTTTTAAAATGTTGCCAAAAATTGGATTTCGAAGCTTCCCCCTAATACTAAATTTAAAACCCTAATATATAAAAAAAACTATGTTTTTCTATTTCAAAATCGATTAGATTTCCTTTCAAAATCTTATTAACATTGCCAAAAATTTGACTTCGAAGCTTCCCCCGAACGTTTAAATTTAAAACCCTAATGTAAAAACTTTTTTTCTATTTCAAAATCGATTAGATTTTCTTTTTAAATCTAACTAAAATATTGCCAAAAATTGGATTTCGAAGCTTCCCCTCTAATACTAAATTTTAAACCCTAAAAAACTATTTTTTCTATTTCAAAATCGGAACGGCCACTTGGCAAAGCACATCTTTCCGACTGTTTCCGGTGATTTCCTTTGGGAACCATGGGGACGTGATTTGTGAATGAAAATGAGCACAAAACACTGTAAATACGGTCTTTCCTTTTCAACATCAAACAAGCTCATCAAACTTGCACAGGCACCAAAAAGTGCAAAAAAAACAAAGCACAATTTGCACAATCTCACAAAACATTGGCAGGCACCAACAAAAAGAAAAAAACAACAAAATCTCAGCATCTACTCAGGATTCTGGACCCCCATAGATTGTTGTTTTTTTTTTTGTTTGGTGCCTGCCAATGTTTTGTGAGGTTGTGCTTTGTTTTTTTGGGGTGCCTGCCAATGTTTTTCGAGCATCATTACAAAACAAGATGCAAAAATGTGCGTTTCGCCGCGGTTTCAGAGGCATCAGATGCAGAAAACATCGGTAGTTACAGTGTTTTGTGCTCATTTTCATTCAAAAATCATGTCCCCATGGTCCCCCGCTCTCAAAAAAAAAGGTCAAAAAATGACTCGGTGCCCCCTTCATGGGCCCTTGCTTTCGTCAGGTGGGATCTGGTTCTGTGGCTCTTCGTTGAGATGGTCCTTGGAACTGTGCTTCCTGACACTTGGGATGCTGGCGATGTCGACTGCCTGGAAAATCCACTGTAAATGGAGGTGTTTCGTTTGGAAACGCGAAAAGCATCTATAAATGGTGGATTTTCATGGATTTTCCGTTTGAGCAAACCGGCGGCAAGATAGATTGGCCATGATTTTGGCAGATTCTGAGGCATGCTCTGGTCATGATTTTCGGACTGTGCACATCCATGGGATTTCCCCATCTTTTTTGTAGGACGATGTGAGAGAACCCCAGCAATCCCACAGAACTGGAGGGCTGCAAGACCAAATGTTGGAGTTTTGGGTAGCAATTCTTTTTAGCAAACGGTCGATTAACTGAAGTTCAAAGTGAGAATCATCATATCGCCTATATAAATTTCATTAATTCAGGATATTCCATAATTATTTTGCTAGATTATGTTTGTGTTATTACAATATATTATTACATATAAATAGAATTAAATAGAACTAATATTGATCGTTATCAATTGCATTAGATGAAAACATTACAGCCCGAGAGTTGGTCAAGAATCCGAAAGCTTGAGGCCCAGGGTCCCTCAAATTCTTATTTTTAAATGCAGGCAAATTTCCACCACAATAGGTCGAGGGTCCCTCAAATTCTTCAAGTACTCTGTGCTTGGTAGACAATATGTAGCCCGCCTTGGATTCGAGTCCCTCAAATTCTTATACAGTGAATTCTTATACAATCCCAGATGCTCCATGTTAGTATATTTACCTAGAAAACTGGCTCATTTATGGGGTAAATGTTGGGATTCATATTCCAGCACCATGGAGCATATGGGAATACTCAAGCTGTATTATCATTGATATACCTCGAAGGTCCCAGAGCCTGCAAGGACTCAGTCTCCTACACGCTGCTGGTCAGCTCTTTGGGCCGTGTTCCTGGGCTAGCCATTAAAAGGTGCACCGTACTAAACAACAACACAACAAGAATGGTAATGATCATGGTATACTTGTGTAATGGTATGATCATCATCATCATCATCATCGCCATCATCGTCATCATCATATGTATATATACATATCTATCACCATGTTTCTTCTTGTACAATTGATTAGTATATATATAAATTGTATACGTGATACCATGATTGTTGCAATAGTATACAGTGCTACAAAAGGGATATGTGATTATATATATATATATGTTATATGTTATATGTATATATGATATTATAAAAGATATGGGTGGCACAACCAAACAAACATACTGTATATTCCTACAAGTTGGGAACCGCCAAAAAACAGCTAGTCGTTGACTTATCGCTTGCTTTACTGTTGGGTCGAGGGATACAAGTGTAGTATTCATCGGTTTATAAACCAGCTTACAACTGGGGGTCCACCAACAGCACGGCTTTCTCGGACATACCTTTTGCGATCTAAAGCTCAACAGCATGATAGACCACGACTTTTCACGGGATTCTTGTAGATTCTGAAATTAAAACAACTATAATCAAGACGGATCAAGACCCGTTTTGGTAGATGATGTTTGTTAAACATGTTGAGATTTCTCCAAGCCACACCCGCTTGAAAGCTGGCAGACATCACGTATGAGCGCGTATGAGAATTGCAGAGAACCATCTATGGTGCTGGGAGATTACCTACATGGGTGATTTTGGAGGCCTATCTAATAATATTAAAATATATTATTATATTATATAAATATGAAGTAAGTAGGGAATGGGATTGCACGAGTTCAGTTGGGGTTACAGTTTCTTGTCGTCCAGGCTGGGCAGTGGCAGCAAGTGTTGCACGTTTTTAATCGATCAGAATTTCCACGGGCCATCGTGGCACATAACACTGCGACCCGGATGCAGGTGAGCTTGAGATGTTTGAGGGTTGTGTATTAAGGATTTGCTGTTGTAATTTAACATTGCCATCGAACATGGCCTGTTTAGTTCAATGACTCAATGACTTACCTATTAAACATACGTAGTCATTTTCAATAGCTGTGTCAAATTAGCAGATGGCACTGGGGATTGTATGTTTCAAATAGGCGGAAATATGGTTTGTGTATATATATGGGGATATTGGAATCGTCAATCCACCATGATCATGTTTGCGTCAAATGATTGGGGATGATATGGGATGATATAGGTTTTTTTTTGGGATTGTGTGTCGCCCGCCATTCTTTTCATCAAGGCTTGCTGTATCATGTGTATATTTTTGATGGATAGGATTGTCGGATTGTCGACACTGGTGCTAAGCATACCACTAAGTGTTTGAGGGATATTGATTGGTGAGTTCTTTATTGGACTTTTTTTAGTTTGGGCGCCAGCGTTTTGCGGATGCAATTTTATGCGTTTCGGGTTGGACACCATATTTTGCAGAGGCCAAAACTTCAGCAGTCGCAGCGCTCCAGAATCATCCCCCGAATCATAAGTGGTTAGTAAACCGATCGTTCATAAGTCCCGTGTATAAGTGGGGGTAATGTCTAGGTTCTAATATACGGTTACGTATTATGTACATGTTATGAACATCATGAAAAGTGGATCCTCCAACTACTTGTGAGAGAAAATCCTTGATTATTTGATATAAACTTTCATTTTTTAGGTTCAAGCTATGTCAACACCTTGACAGAAGAATTCGAGCTTTGTTGCAGAGCGGAGGATCCAGCCATTTCCGGACATGAAAAGAATAATATTACTGGGGATGGGTCGAAAACTATTACTACCATATGACTGGTGGAATAAACATCCAGCTATACCAGCTATTTTGATCTTCTTTGGGGTTTACCAGGTACCAGGCTTTTGATTCATAACCATATCTCTACCCTGAAGTAGTCAAACATTGCAATTGGAGATCCCCTAGAAATGGAAGTTTGAACCGGAAGATCACATAACCGAAATGATTTTTGAGCAAGCCATGTTTGATTGCCGAAGGGTTAATTATTGGGCAATGTAGCGAATTTGGTGATCAGCAATCATCACCTGGTAATTTCAACAGATTTTGGTCATTGTTGTTGATCCGGTTTCATGGTTTCTTCCATCCCAACAAATAGGATGGTTCTCCGAACAAATCTTTCTACAAAAGATGCAAACCCGCCAAATTGTAATGAACCATCAGAATAACTTTATGGTTTGCCAACATCCATGAATGATAATCGGTGTGTCTGAAAATTGAGTGTAGCTTGCAAATGGCCCGGTTTGTCGTGATAATTAACCACTGGAATTTGGTGCACCGAAACGAGGGATTCCGCCAAGCCTACTGGCCTACAGTATCTACCAACAAAATCACCGCAAGTAGCAGAACAGTTTTTTCGGCCCCCCTAAACCCGTCTCTATCCGCTGTGGATGGGGAAATCCAACATTTATGTACTCAAATGTTCTGTCTTTTTCACGGAGGTGTTTGCTTCTAGCTCGGAGGATCCAAAGGATATTTTTTTCGTTCTTTCATGATGTTTTCCTTAAAATTAATCCACTCAATGTCAGATATCGAATGTGTTGATCAATTCCTTCGTTAAGCTGATCACGGAATCCATGGTTTTTATACTCCCTTCTGACCTGATATTAACATATATTACAGTAACATATATTAAACACCACCCAGGAAGCCATGGTTTAGTAGTGGAAGTACACATATTTGGGACCATACAATGCCGGTGTTAGATCTATTGGGAAGATTGTGTTTGTTCCATTTCCATGCCTACTTGGGGATGCGGGCCCACTTAGTAAATGGGTCAACAACCCCACTTCTATATGGACAACCTCCTATCATATATGGGATGATATGGGTTATATATGGTTACAATGTGAGGCCCCCCAGTTATAAGTTGGTTTATAAGCCCCAGTAACTGTCCAGTAACTGTAGTTATTTGCGTACCATAAACCATAGTGAAATTGGAGTTATGTTCACCAACTTAGCTATCGTAAACGGGGGCCTCACGACTTGTATATATGGAGTTTTTCAACCCACTTACGCTTTTTGGGATGCTAACCTCCAAGCGGTAATGTGTTGGTCACTGAAAACTGCTGAAATCATCACTTCCATTGGATCCTCATGAAATCCACTGAGGATTCCAAGTAATAACCACTTAATGAAAACCATTGAGGAATCCATGTCCGAAGCCACGGATCTAACCAGAATTAAGCCACATCAATATCCAGTGAAAAATATCCACTACTATGAATCAGTATGAACCATGATTAACCATTGTTAACCACCAAGTAATCCATAGTTCCATGATGAACTGGTCAATCTCTCCCATATCCCAGTGACTCTCCAGGTCATGCACGCCTTTGTCGAGAGCTCCCTGTGGACCTTGGCCCTGTCGGTCTATGACCAGCTTCAACGAAGAGCCGTGGCGGCGTGAGAGCCATGGAAGGTGGAGGTCACTGTGACACTGTGGTTATGGGTCAAAAGCCTGGTCCCCGAATGGTCCAAGTCATATAGCTGGTAATTATTAATTTTAAGAAATCAGGTATCATAATCATAGGTTTCGATGAACCATGTGGATGTTAACAAAGAGAGCTCAGAGTTTGCGAACTGGAAGATAGCCCGTTGATAGTTGTTTTAATTTGTTTTACCATGATTTACCATGGTTTACCTATTTTCCATAGCGAACGATGTGAAACAGCAAAGATAACTCCCAGATTGCTATGGAAACGAGCCCATTTATAGTTGAGTTAGCTACTAAAAATAATTTCCATAGGCCATTTTCCATAGCAAAGATCAAGATGAGAAGCGGCTGCGTTCAACCCCTGTTGGTTGAAATTTGGTGAGTCGCAACTGGGGTAAGTACATCCCAATACCTTCCAGTTGTGAGATGTTATAACGGGCTATGGCCACCTTACTAACCCCCTACCCTTTGGTAATCAAACGTGGATAGCTCGGAAATCCCCCTATATAGGGTATGTTAATGGGAAAATAATCAAAGTAAATTGGATTTTCTAGTAGGGCATGTTTGATTACAGAAGGGTCTGTTGATTGCTGCCAGAAAAAATGATGGATACAGCACACATTAATATAACTCATGAATGATTGAAGATCGGGATAGCAGCCAATAAAAATTGGTTGTGACCCACGTTGGAATTTTGACATGTTCAACCAACGTCAAGTCTGGCTGCAGGGGGAAAAACACCTGGGTAGAATCAAAGCCACGGGAAGTGAAGACGGTGAACTGAGGCACTGAGGATTCAAACTTGGTCATTTGGCGATGCTGAATATAGCTTATATGATGATATTTTATATGTTTCCCTGGTTGGTAGAAGTCTCAAGTTGTCTTATGTGTGTTTGAAAAAAAGAAGGTGATGCTACTGACAAGAAGGGTTTGATCAATAAGCTAACTGGGATATATATATATAATATTCATTCCGCTTAGATTTACCGTCGTTTTCCTAGATTTTGCCAGACAACATGCCCAACCACACAATGTATGTTATATGATATATAACATAATGTTTAGCATTATTACTCTACATTATTTCCAATAAATATGGATAAATATATACTCCATAAATGCAGCATCTTGATTACATGGTCCCATCTACAATTCCAACAAATACCCCAGTATTAGTATCACAATAAGAGTTCATTTAGGATTTATCATTATATTGATGATGATTGTCCAAAGTATCAATGAATATTACTTTATATCTCAGCCATCACTATCAATACTATTGTATATATAATATTCATGATGATCATTATATTAATAGATTAACCATCAACAACTATTAATATATATATATATATTAAACACTATTAATCTATGATCATATTGATGATGATTATTATCATAATATGTGCCCACCACTGGAATTCTGAGGATCTTTGCAGTCGGATCACATCACCTACAGCATTGCCGCTGAGTTTTTTTGGCCGACCAGCCGATTCACCTTGTGTTTTTTGCAGGCTTTTCAAATGAACATAGAGATGTTGCTAGTATAACTTGGTAAACTCCCCGGTGACATTGAACCTGGGGCGATTTTGTTTTGAAATGTTCGTGAACATTCGTGAACATACACTACTCAGGAAGAAACTGCATTTTTTTTTGTATGATGAAGCCATGCCTCATTTGGATACAGAAGAAAAGTCCAGATCTATGGGTCCAGCTGAGACTGATTGTCCCCACAGTGGTACTGATCCCACGGAACGTAATTAAGTGGATAAGAAAGGCCGATCGAAAACGTCCCATGTAAAGTTTGTGTGGGTATCCCATTTGGATCCATTTGGCTCAAAAAAATGATTGAATTTTGGTAAAAAATGTTGAACATCATGGAATAAATAATACCTGGTATAACATTTTAACATCTTATACCAAATAAAGTTATACCAATGATATATACCAAATAAAATTATACCATTTATATATATATATATATATCATTGGTATAAAATAACTGGTTGGTAAGAAATATCATCGAATGAGATTTTATTGTGTTTTCAGAGATTTTATGTGTTAAATTGTGGATGTTTTTCCCTTTTTCTTGTGATATGCATGAACGGTGAAGGTTAACTGGGTAAGGGGCTGCTGGATGTGGGTTCATGGTGCTTTGAGTGTTCAATACGGGGGGTTGGATTGCTGGATGCGGCGTGGAGAAAATGTAGACGAGAGCTTACTATTTTTTTCTGTTGGAACATAGGTGAAGAAAGAGGGAGCAAGGATCTGTGTATATGTTACTTTATTCGTTGATGGTGTAAATCAGGCAGCGATGAACTTTCGAGTAGCAAGATTGGGTTGGCTTTGTGTCTCGGGGAGTGCGATGGTTGAAGTGGCAATCTGACGCCAGATTCGGAATGCAATGGAGATTGACTGTCTTAATGGTAGCTGTTTGTGAGTCAATATGGTGCAAAAAAAGTTTTCGAGAGAATGTATTGGTCCTCGTGGTTTGTCCGTGTGCCAATGATGTATCTGGAAGAAGGAGGCAGAGCGATAACGGGTATCGGGTACCAGTTGACCATTTGCATCAGGTGTGTGTGTGTATGTGTTTGATGAGGGCTTTTTGTTGTTTGAAAGGTTTGATGGAATGAGACGGTTGACCTGATGAGCCATTCCGTCGGTGAATCTGGAAAAAACATCCGGGGACCAAAGAAGATCAGTAGAGATGACGCAAAAAAGGCGGCTATGAGTCAGCGTTGTGCTTCAAAGTGTTCGTGCACGGCAGGAAGGGGGAGTTGCACAATACCAATTTGGGGTCTGGGTAATGTCAGAGAATCTATATAAAGAAAAATTCGTGTTGTTTTGACAAAAGAGTGATCAACAAATGTTGAGAAATGACAGCAAAACCGATGTGTCATATGGATTGAATATCTGTACGTTATCACTCTGTCACAGTGTGTCAGGAGCGAAGGCTTTCGGACATGGGAGCAGGCGGAAAAACACGAGGTTCTGTTTCTGGGTTTGAGGTGGTGTTTCGGGGCGGGCAGGGAGGCATTTTGCAATTGTTATGCGTTGATGCATGAAGAAGGGGATTTGAAATTGTTGTCAATGCGCAGGACATGGTGGCAGAAGAAATAAGAAAAACTCCAGCAGTAGTTGTTCTTTTGATAGAAGGTAGGAAAACACTCATTGTCTGGTTTGGGGGGATTCAAGTAGAATGTCTGTCAACCTCTTTTCGAATAGCTGGAGAAGATAGAGGGTCAAATTTTGACCATCTTCTTGGCTTTTGGCATGGGGTGAGCAGCGACAGTCTGCCGGATATGGAAACAGGAATGCATGGGAGTGTGATTCTCAATGCATTTTTTCTTCACAGCGGGAATGAACATATTATTTTCAAAATCATTGTGCCGAGGGATTGCAGGTGTAATGTTCGATTGGGGGGGTCTGAAAGTTGATAGGTCAATGAGCCGTTGGCATCAGTATGTTGCCTGGAAATTTGCATTTATAGGATGACATGGTTGAGAGCACCGATCAGGCGTTTACAGAAATTAAAGCTGCCATGTTTTTTTCATGGAGGATGATGTGTTGACCGTCTGTTGGCATATGTATTCCCAATTGCTTGAGTGTTGTATTACGTGGCAATATGTGTTTGAATCTCTGGATGCAGTAACATGCTTGAATATGGTATTGATAGGCTTGTATGATGATGCAAAATGTGAGGGACAAACGGTTCGTTTTTTGTGTCAACGACATGGTTGGAATGACAAGGCGAAGTGGTTTGATCATACTTTAGACCGTGGTATGGAAGGGAATGAAAACATGTTGGCGCTGGATAATATTGTTCTATTGATTTGTAAGTTTGTGTTTTGTTCGGGTATCTGAGATATAGAAGAAAAGAGCACCGGATAAACGGGCATCGGTATTTTGCTGAGATGGAATCTTACAGCGTAGAATTTCATGATTGAAAGCCAGGAACAGGCGTTTGCAGACAGGATATGATCCGTTTTCTCACAGCCTTGATGTTTTGGAATATCGGGTTTCAAATATATTGCTACTTTGTATGACTGGTGGCTGAATGGAACTTCGGTGGTTCTAGATGGGTTTGCGTGTATGTATGTGTGTGTGTGTCTGTGTGTATGGGGTTTTGTTTGAAAAATCCTGTCGATTCGTGGATTGATGGGCGATGGAGGTGTTCTGTTTGGAAGGAACGGTTGGGCGGATTTGGCGGGGGTTTACACTGTGTCAAGGAGGTCCTTGGAAGAACGGGGCGAAGTGATTCGAGATCATGTGTGTCCTATGTGCGAGGCATGTTTCGATGTATTGATGTGTGGGTGCAGATTGAGGTCGGGGGTTAAAATCATGGAGTTTTGAATGAGTGTGGCAAATGTTGGGGGAATTTTTGGGGTAAAGAAGATGAACAGGTAGGAATGTCTTTAAAGCTAGGATGGAAGTTCTGTAGTAATGAGACAATAGGTTACCAGGCACGAAAAGAAATGGCTTGTATAACAGTTGGAGATTGGAGGCTGAGGTTGATAGAACTGCGGATCAGATTTGAGAGGATCATTTTTTCGTATATGAATTCGTGTATCGCAGCTCTTTCCCCCTCAAGACGCTGTAAGTGCGACAAAACTTCTCAAAGAAGCATGAGTCGCGGGGGGGAACGCCCAACTGCCCGTCGTGTGGCATGCACCAACTCACCACGCTGCCGCTTGAACTCCAGACGACGTGGGAGGACAAGTGGGTTCTTCATTTTCGAGAGGTTATCCAATTCTAATTGAAACGATCGTAGCATTATATGATGAGGTGGCAGAAAGGTTTTTGGGAACTAGGTTGTGAAGTCAGTTCGATGCAGGTGGATGTATATGTTTTGGTCATGTTCCTGCTCGAACGCAGGAGTACCAAGGGACGAAGTGGCGGGTACTAGGTTCTCTCCTGCCAGGCCTGGAAACATGGTTTCATCTATGTCAACTGATCCTATCCTGAAATTTGTCCCCAAGATATTTTCAGCTAGAGGGCAATGAAATTTTACTAATTTTGGCTCTCGCTGACATTTGTCCCTCAGATCCTACCCTGAAATTTGTCCCCAACACATTTTCAGCTAGAGGGCAATGAAATTTTATTAATTTTAGCTCTCGCTAACATTTGTCCCTGCAGAATCAAGGCAGTGTAGCAAAACTGAATTGGATTCCGCTACAGCACCGTCGGACTAAAGCAATTTCAGCTTTTTCTTGACTGCATCAGCTGCCCAGTTGCCCCAGCCCTTCCAACAACATTGCCCTGGGTTTTGGTTTTGGTCAATTGCACAGAAAAAAACCCTACGTCCACAAACCGCCAGCACAAGTTTCCGCTGCTCGAATCTTTTGGTGTGCCAGACTCTGACTTTGATTTTGAGTCTGACTCAGACTCTGACATTCCAGTCTTCCAGCCAGTCAGAAACATGTGACAAACCAAAAAAAACTCACAATTTTGCAGTCCTGAATGCGCGCAAAGAAAGAACATCTAGTCAAAACTCAAAACTCAAAACTTTAAACTTTAAACTTCAAAACGCAAAGCCATAAAAGGCCTCGGCATTCTCTCAGCCGGTCCCGGTCCCGGCGCGGTCAATGGAATTTGGAATGGAATGGAATGGAATGGGTGGCACGCACGCAACGCAAGACTTTTTGGTCTACCTGGTGCCGTGTCGTACGGTAGGGTTAGGCTCTTTGCAATCTTAATTGCGGCACAACAACCCCTAACTGAGGGGACACATCCGACCTGTCGTCGGTAAGTCTTTCGACGTATTCGTTCCATGCAGCCCAATTGGTAGCTGAGACGCGGAAATGTTCCTCAGCATGAAGAAAAACAAAGATTCCAGATTCCATCCAACGGTACCTATGTACCAGAAACGTCGCGACCAGCAGTGGAGTGGAAAACAACGTATCGCTTCGACTGACATCAAAAGGGAATTGTAGGATTTGGAGAGTCCCGTGAACACGAGTGTTAGCATCATCAATGATGTCCAGACAGGGGTCAAACATGACCAAAATATGAACTACGTTGGGCGGTGGGTGGCTGAAATTTCCCACACGGGTTTGGACCAAACTGCCCGAAACAAACAGTTGTCAAAACCCTGATGCATGCAAACACAACTCAGTGTCCCAGTGTGTCACAGTCCCAGTAAGTTTTTCAGTTTTCACCGAGATAAATCTACTCCTTTCTTCTTCTCGCTTCATTCAAACTCAAAGACTCAAACCTTTTCTCATCTCATTCTCAAATTTCCATCATGCCATTTCCGTTTTCCTTTGGGAGAGGAGGAAATAATAAATAAAGGAAACAGGAGACAAATGACCAACATCCAAAAATAGTGACCCAGGTTCATTCGCTCTGAAATCAAATCCAATCTGCCACTGCCACGGAATGAACGTAAAGCAGATTGCGTTTTCTCACTTGTCTGCGGTTTCTATCATGCGATACTGAACTGAGCGAGCACCTCTTGAAAGTC